GCCCCCCCCCCCCCCCCCCCCCCCCCCCCCCCCCCCCCCCCCCCCCCCCCCCCCCCGGGGTGTGTGTACGAGGGCAAGTACGGAAACAGATACTTCTATGCGTTGCTACAAGGCATACCTGCATTGCCGGCATGCAGTGCCCGGTGGACACGAATTTTTCTTTTCAGCCATATTTACGACTATCCTCACCTGACGGATGTATATCTTGGAACCCGTCTCTGGAGCATTCCAGCCCCTTCGATTTCCATGGGTTCACATGATTCGTTGGTGCCCTTAAAAGTGATAGTATGCCACCAGAATAGGTTGAATTTAGGCGCCAGCAACCACCGCTTGCATATATTTACTAACATATCAATCCATTTGGGTTCTATTTTCCGGTTTATTTTTTCAGAAGAAATATCCTAGTGGTCATGAAAACAAGCTCACAGGTTGTCAAAACCTCTTGAGTGCTTCTAACTAGTTCCCTCTATCACAGCCAGGTGCGTCATTGTTCTCAAAGGCGTTCCTCCGTCTATTCAAGCTGTCTTATAGATTCCAGTCGGTAGTCTTCTACTTATTTAAATGGTGAGCATAGGACGCCATAGATAAATGTGGATAGCTTTGATATAGATTTAGAAAGTTTCTAATTAGTAAAGTATCCGTAATTTGCACCAATAGAGAAGGCTAAATAATAGACATTCCCTTACAAGTTGCATGAACGTAAGGCTTTTCTGATTTGAATATTACCTAGGTAGGTAGGAATCTAGCGCTGGCGAGGTAGGCATCCACGGCCAACACCACAACATGAGAGTAACCAAGTACATTCTCACCTCTTGAAACATCGGCAAGTCCGACTGTACCCATCTATGAGGACCGTAGGGGTTTCTACCTACTGTCATCTCCCCCCAGGTACAGAAGGGGCACTCGACCGTACAGATGGTTGTAAGAACAGACCCTAGTAAGAAGTCACATATCTAGTACGGAAATCATAAAGGTATTTTTCCCTTCAAGGTTGTACGTAGAACAAGAACACGTGTTATGGTCCCATTCATTTACGAAATCATGGTGTCGCCTTGTCAAGTTTCCACAGATTCTCATGGGTTGCCAGGGTAGTCGTGTTAGGCCAATTTGATACAAATCTAGAATGTACATATGTAAGTAATGATATTACAATTGATCCTACATAGACCCAACCCGGGCTAGTAAAGAGGCCGTTGGGAACGCATGTGAATATTGAGATTAGTGCATGGCATGTCATTTTAGAGGATTTGAAAGATTCCCTTCGTCCGGCGACTGAAAGTTGGTTATTACTCATTTTATCGAGTTTTCAAGTTTACCTAGGTATCTGCTTTAATATGATATTTCTGGGCAGAATCACCGCTGCCAGGGGGTTGGTCTGATTTTGGCCCATAGGATACCTGCTAGGAAGGCAATTTTGAGCGGCTAACTCTAGACTAGACTGGAAATTAGACCTCTCTTGTGGATACATTGACTACGTGGTCGACGGTCTTTCGGAGCTCATCGAGTGGTAACGTCCATGCTTTTGCATATGTTAGGTCTACTCCATGTCGACCATTCTTGTAACGTAGCTTCTAGGTACCTACTCCTAAGAATAGGTAGTTCAAAACGAGGTCTAGAGCCGAGACTAATGATCATCGTGATCATCGTTCCGAACGTCAGCTGTAAGAAAAGGGTATTGATCTAACACATCGGAATGTTACGAAGAGAAAAAGTAGGGTAAATCAATCCTGAAAGTGATACCATTCTCTCCATTTTCCAATCACACCTCCAACATTAGCGCCGACAAGGCGGACACAGAAGGTTCTATGGGGTCATAGATTCAATCCAGGCCTGCCGTCATGGGAGTGTAATATCCTCCTACAACGTCGGCATGTCCGCGTAGACCTTCATGATATATTCGCGGCCATATCTGCGGCCGCGAATGTCTAGGCTCGTAGCGAGGTTTGCTTTCAGGGAGTCAGATATCTTATCCGGGAAGGAGACTGGGAGATCCCTAGTACATTAATAACTACTATGTGATTCGATTCGGTTCGGTTCGACGCAAATTACTCGAAGCATTGCTTGAATACTCAACGAGAAAGTACGATACGGTATACCAGGCAAATTTCCCTAGTATTAGATCATTTGGGGAAAAAAATCGAGTAAGCGGTGGTCAGATGAGCGGGAAGCTTTATAATAGCTGGAATTTTTAATATCCATATATCACCACTACCGTTGTGATGGTATGGTATGCTGTTGATGGTGATGGATAAGTACTAGGTTACCTGATATATGAATGACATTAAGTTACTAGGTACCTAGTACATATCATGAACACCCTCGGGGTGGACAGTATCTGCTTGCTGAGGCAGGTACTTGGGTACTTCTGTGCTAAACCTTGCTAGAGTTGGCCGTAAATTTTCGAATTCAGTAAAAATAACGGGTTTCTTCCGGTTTGCCAGTTCTGTAGCTAAAACGGTCGCAACTTTAGCGCCGTAACTATTCCGTCCACTACATACCTTACCGCCGCATGGGGGTATATTTTAACCGTAACTATTCCGTTTATCAAATACCAACGGTACATATACCGCTTAATGCAATGAACAGCTCCTTATTAGAACGCTCGATATCTGATTGGCTCAAAACTTAAACTGTATATACACAGCTCTTTCCCAAAACATTCAAAACTCTAAACACGCTTGCCTAATTGAACCAGGAATTCCCCGTTTAAGTAATTGTATGGGTATATATGCAGCTCAATCGGGTTTGAATCGTTCAATCTTTTGAACGCTCGAACCTTGAACCGTTTAATGCGATAAAACCCCGTGCGCGTGCCCTTTTAGCCGAGAAGTCCCCGCCTTATATACTAAAACAAAAGCTTATGCACTTACGCGTGATGCAGCTGTAAGCTTTGTAATCGTAGTCAAGTGGCAAAGCGACCGTAGCTCATCCAATTAAAACCTGTAAAGCCCATGGTTCGAGTAAGAATATTTCCAAAAACTGTAGATTCAAACTGTGTGAGATTAATAATCCTAAGAGTCTAAGTACAGCTTCCATACAATTAGTATGACAGCAGTACTTAGAATATCTCTTTTTTCCTTTATTCAGGTGGTGGAACAGTCAAGCCGTTTAAATGCATAGCGGCTCAAAAGTTAGAACGTTCAATCCATACAACGTTCGATCCGAAGTTGAGCCGAATATATACGGCTTAAAATAATATAAACGGCTCAAAATAATCCAAACGTTTTATTTTTGAGCTAGCCCAAAACGGAGCGTTCAGGTTTTTTTAAGCCATTTGATTGGCTTAAACTTATAAAAAAAGTTAGCCTGCATGTTTTCATAAACTTTATTAAACGGCTCATATTTGGAACTGTACATATACCGTACATATACGGTTTATAAGACCCGGGAAACCCACCAAGGTAATTAATAATAACAAGTACCTCATTTTCAATTCATATCGAAAGCTTGTGCAGTACGAAGAAGGACACTTGATAATACTACTACTCATCGTATCATAATATATCATATACTTTATTTATTTTATAATATTATTCGCATTTATAGATAAGAGTTGAAGGAGAAAAGTTATTCATTGCCTGCGGTGACATTTGCCAGTTAACAGTCACGTGGAGATGTTGGATCTTTGTGGGTCCGATGGTATGGGGGACGCCACTTTTGGATCTTAAAACTTCCAATTCCTGAACCTCCCATACCGGAACGGCTCATCTATATGCAATATCTGGTGTAACTCTACGAGAGCCTGCCATTGCTCAATGCCTAGTGCACAAGACTGCGTTGTTAGACGATTATCAATCTCCATACACTTCTTTTGAACCATAACAAGCCCAGCGTATGCACCCTTGACCTCGGGAGCTGCTTTACAAGTTCGGTAGCAGGTAGAGGAGGATGGGAAGGTTTGACATCTTCCATTGTGACCTTTCGATCGGTTGCACTTCACCCCTATTAGCTTATAGTCTGTGGGTGCCGTATCTCTAGCATATTGAGCGGAATGATCTATTAAGTAAAAGGGAGCTTTGTTCTTATAGAATGTAGTGCTAGATATACCACGCTTAGCTGAGGTAATCAAGGGCTAATCCCTATAGGGATGGATTACCTAATTGCCCTGTGACAGGAGCATAGTACGAATTGCTGGAAATACTGTGACCCCTGTACTGTATATATGTCCAATATCTCAATTGAACTGGCGGGTTAGCGGATTTCGTATTATTGACAACTCTACGACGAAACGCCTTCATCTATTTTAAGCCTTATGTTACCCATCCACCAAGAGAGCTAGAGTTCTTCCTCAACACTGTTGTCGTCATACAAGTCTCCCTCGGGGTATGCTAGTCTGGTTTGCGCGAAAGTCTCAGCTTCTACCGATCTTCTATTGACGTAAACTTTCTGAGGATGTTCAGGGATGTTCGATCGTGGAGTACTAGTTTGTTCGGAACTGCCAGCAGGTGGAGAGACATCAAGAAAATTAGGTGGGTGAATTGGCGGTCGTCCTGACTTTGTCTCCATGGAGCTCTCGGAAGAGGATATACTTGGTACCCTAAACGTGGAGGTCTTAGGAGGTTGAATTGGCGGTCGTCCTGATTCTTTCTCCGTGGAACTCTTGGAAGAGGATATATTTGGTACTCTAAATGTGGAGGTCTTAGGAGGTTGAATTAGCGGTCGTTCTGATTCTTTCTCCATGGAGCTCTCGGAAGAGGATATACTTGGTACCCTAAACGTGGACGTCTTGGGAGGTTGAATCGGAGATCGTCTTGGCTGTGGCTGGGTATGTCGCGCGTTGGGTGGCGCCTTGTCCTTAGATATCATAGCAGAACTAGCACCATTTTTTGGAGTCGGACGGCGGCTGAGAATACGTTTCGTCTGAGGTTGTGAATGCTCGAGGTTCGCCATGGGAGGGTCTTCGACTGCCTTCCTCTTACCCTTTCTATCCTCTACAATTAAGGAGACTCCGCTTGGTGAGGTACGTGGATGCAACATTTCTGGTGACTCCATGAGTGGGTGTTGAATGGTAAGGGGTCTACCAATCACTTGGCCGACCCCTGAAGTATTCGGATCCTCTTCATCGTGATGTATCAAGCTCTCAGAAGTGATTAAGGTGGAGGTTCCATGAAAATTGTCTGACATGATTGCTGGTATTGCTGTGGGTTCTGGTGATTTGGGCCTGAGTGGTTGGTGGTGGGCCTGGGTCTGAGCCATTTTATCTTCTATTATTATGTTGGAGCTCTTCTTGAGTTTTTTTTGGGGCTTTTCCTTTATCGTCATTTTGTTCTTTGTTAACTTTTGTCCGGATTTTGAGGTGGAAATTGATGCAGGAGGTTGGCTGGAAGGGTCTTGACTGCGCAGACGAATCCTCTCACTGCGCCGTGGTGTCTGTGGTTCTTGATTGCGCAGGAGGAGCCTCTGACTTCGTCGTGGTGTGTTGTTCTCTGGAGAGGGGACCTGAGATCTCCTTGACGTCTCGTTAATTGTTTTTTCTCGCAGAGAACCACGGGCCCGGATAATGAGATGTGGTGGAGTGATCGGGGAGCGCAATGCGCCAACTGTAAGTCGTTTAGAACAATTCCGGAAAATAGTATTTCGAGACGAAAATAACTTACTATCTGACACTCCGGGTGACAAGCGATGACTGCCATGGCTAGTATCCTCCTGAGGTATATTTTCTGTTGTTGGCTGGGTTTCCGCTGCCTCGTCACGCCTTCCTTCCTTCTCAGAAACGGGAGTCTCATCTATAGACTCGCCTAGCTTTGACATGGACTGGGGTGCCCGCATATGGCTCGGTAGGTATGTTGACAATCGCCTAAGTAAGCCTTTTTTAGTAGCCATAGGAGGCCGGATCGGGGATCGCTTCCTCCTTTTTCGAGCTTGGGAAGGTGAATTGACTCTATATGAATACCGGCTGGCTGTCATATTACCCGTAGACCTGCGAATGAGAGAATCTCGAGGAGCTGTCTCCTTGGCTGTCTTTCTAGGTTTGGCTGCTACCTTCTTCGTATTCTGTGACAGCTGTAAGGGAGTAGGGCTGGGGGCGATGATTACTCGACTGCTATTATCTTGATTTTGAAGAGAATTTTCTGCCCTTTGTTGCGTTGCGTCTCCTGTTTGAATGGGAACCAGCTCCTTTCTCTGAACAAGCGGAGGTTCGTCCATTAACGTGCTTATACTTACTGGTATCGAATGGATCTGGGCTTGTGTAGGACTCTGTGGGAGGGGAATTATGGATCTTCTCAAGTCAGCTTCGTTTGGCTGTTCAGCTCTGGTGATTAAAGAGCCCGGAGGTTGGATCGGAGACCGCGATGGGCCTACGGCTAAGCTTTCTCGGCGGCTTCGAGGTACAGTATTTCGAAATGGGGGCGAGGCGCTTCGTGTTTTACGTGGACCATTTCTTCTTCTGGGTAATCTCTGGTGGTCATTAGGGGCATTGTCCTCATCCTGGACTTGTTCACGTAGTATAGACTGCTCTATGGTACATCTTGATTGACTGAGTCGTAGCTCTCGCAGCTGGCTATCAGAGACTTCGTATGCTGATGAGGTTTCTGTAAGCCTTTCACCAGCGGATGGTAAAGTGGTATGAATCGGAGGTCGGGCTGGAGTTCGTAGCGAACTAGCAACAGATGGCCTCCTGAGGTAGGGTATCTTGCGAGGCGGCTTGCTATCCCGCTGCCTAAGAAGTTTATTACGACCATTTTTATTAATCTCGTCGCCTACAACTATTTCCCCCGTTGATTCAGCATGAATCAACCATTGTTCATCCACCTGCGATGTGGGATCAAACATTGGCGTCCGCATCTTGGATGAATCTGAAGAATCGCTTATCTCCATTGTTTGGGGGAGAGATTCTTGCATCGAGAATGCTCCCTGGGGGTGTTGGCTTTGTTGTTGTAAAGGAGATTGGGTGTCATCAATCTGCATTACGGTGTCGGGTGACATACTTGGGCCTGCATCATCAATCTCCATTATTTCGTCTCCGTCGAAAGGGGTCAGATCGCTCCCCACTTCCGACCCATCCGTCATGTACGACCATGGGCCGAAGAAGGCCTCCAAAAAGTCTTTTTGTACAAAGGCTGCCGTAACTTTCTCTCTACTATTGGCTTGTTCGAGCATGGGTAAGAAGGCGTCATGCTGTAGTTCGAGAAAGTTACGAGCGGTCGGCTTCCCGCCTCGCCAATCTTTTGCCCGTCTGTCCCAATTGAGATCCCAATGCAATTGACGCGGTGACTGGGGCTTTATTCTTAGCCCATTGCTAACCTTAGCGGTGCAAAAGCCATACTGTCTTGCTCGGGCTCGAAGCCGAAAAACGTACCAAGGATCCACAGCAGCCGGCGGGACAGGCTCGCCGCGCCTGTCTTGGAGAATAGGCTCATTCGATAAGTGAATACAGTCTCTCAACCCATCAAGAAATAGTAGCATACGGGCTAATCCATCATCCAATGACACCAATGGTTGAAACCTGCCTTCAGAAACCTCAAGAAGCGGTCTTTTCGGAGAAGTCCAGAAACTTCCCAGAGATTTAAAAAAAGGGTCGTCCCCGTCCTTTGGATTTCTATCATGTAATTTCTCAGTGTCGTCCATGATATGGTTTCTCAGTATCTTGACTCCGATAGAGAAGTATATCATGTTCTGGTGGAATGTCTCAAGGCTCGGAAATATAACGTCAAGAGATAGTAAATTTCGTGTGATACTTCGTCGAATAGTGATACTTTTCACACCTGAAAACATTTCGCCTGTATCCATCATGAGTCTGATGTACTTTCCATCAGCGTTATTTGAAGGGTTGCGGCGTTGAAGACAGCTAATTGTTTTGGAGTCCATATGTGGCACTATGGACGCATCGCCTCCTATGACCCCCCAGTAGATACTTAACATCCGCTGGAGGTATCGAACAGCATTTTCCGAGCACCGCAGGGGAGTATATTTATGCATCGTACCAAGCTTAAATCCTCTTCTGGTGCCAGGGAATTCGAGGACGGCGCAGAGAGCTATTACGATATCTCTATGTTTGAATATTCCATTTTCTCGTCGGAGCAGAAGGTTAAGAATTTTCTTCTTGCTTCTCGACAGTTCTGATCTCCAATCCCCACCCAAGTCTGGTTTGCCAAGCGCAAGACGGAAAAGGTGCCAACAGATCTCCCCATCTGGGTATTTGGTCTGATGCGAAAACCTCGGTACACGGGCATCGCGGTAAAGCTTCACAGGCCACCAGAATCTCTTCCCGAACTTGCCCCGAGCTGCAGCAATTCTTTGTCGTCCATCAAGACAAACGATACGTTTCCGGAGACGCACTCGTGGGTATCTGCCCGTTCCCGCGGTGCTCCGAAATTGGGCTTCGGATATGCCTAAGGCAATTAAGAGTCTACTATAGGTTGCGGCGTCGATTTCACCCTTGATATGGTGTTCCCAAAGTTCCGGCTTACACCCCTCTCTTCCGAAGATATCTGAAAGATGATTAACGATGACCGGATCTTCGTCTCTTCCCTTGTCAGGCTGGTAGGTGTATGCATTCAATGGGACCCAGACGACCCCGAGGATTTCTGCGTCTACCATCATTGGTTTAATGAATGAGTAAAGAGAGGAAATGTTTTAGGCTACCAGCGTCATAAATTCCCCAGTTTTGGCTGGATGAGAGCGACACCCAGTGACCAGGAATCTGGAGCACGAACCCCAAATTCCAGGCCACAGATGCCGGATTAGAATAATAACCTAAAAATCGATGTAGTCACGTGGTCATAATTCCTAGGTAGGTACCTTAGTATAAGTGGTGAAAGAAATTCTCATGCGGGTGGCTATCTAGGTACACAATCCCTCTTCAGACTAGATCATCAGTGTAGAGAACTTAGCACGAGGTCGACAACGGATCTTGGAAGGTTGAGATGGAAGTTTTATGCAGGCGCTATTATTAGAAGGTAGGTAAAAATGTACCAAGTAGGTAAGCTGCAGATCATCCTGTGGTTGCGTCAATGGGTTGCATTGGGTATCTGGGAGGTTTATATTTTGGTAGGTACCTAGCTAAGTCTTCCATTCAGCCCTAAGGTTTAACACAGATTCACAATGTGCTTAAAGGTTTTTCCGGGTGCCTAAGTACCTCTGTACTTACACCCTAATAGGTAGGCAACGTCGGACCCCGCTCGTTCCCCTAAACCCTTCAGGCTACCGAGTCTACATCCAACGGAAGACGGCCGTACCTAAGACGGGTAACACTGAGGCTCGCCACGAAGTGAACCGAGGTTCTCTCCTTTTTTTTAGGGGGGGTTCTTGATGGATACAGGCGACGCCGGTCTGGCTACCCGGATCCTTGGGGCCCTCACACGAACCAAATCCGGGATCCGGGATTCCCGATTCACTTCATTCCAATTCGCTCAGTATCTAGTAGGTACGTATCTACATCACGTGCCCATGATAAGATCTGGTCCGTGTGTTAGAGATACCTAGGTACCTAATCCTCAAAGGGCTTGGCTCCTCACGTGACTCTCTTCGAACCCCTAAATATCTGGAGCGTTTGCAGATGTAGCCCTTGACCTTGACACATGATTTAATCAATAGTGATTGGTTTGAATAACATCCAAATCCATGGACGTCTGTATACCTAGGTAAATAGGTACATTTGTGGGTTCTAATCTATCTTTTTCTGAGCCTTCCGCGGGACGTCATCGGCGAACGTGCTGGTGGGAGAGGCAAGCGTTATTTCATCCCATTGCTCATCCTCCTCTGAGTGTATCCTACGTAACTTTTGTCTTCCCTTCTCCAAGTCTACGTCATGGATAACGTCCTGTTTATATGCTCCCTTCTCCGAGCTCACAGCATTTCTAGTGCGAGATGACCTGGTGTTGGGTCGGTATTGAACTTCGACGAATTCAATGGATCGGGAATTTCTGCGGTCAATGACAGCTTTGCGGACATCGGCAGAGAAGGCGGGGCCACCGCAAGCTTGGCCGGTCGTTAGTTTAATTCATCGCCTAGGAGCCTGGCTGAGGGTTACTTACCTACAACTATACCCTCCTCTGAAGTGGCGTCCATCATATGTTCGAGTAACAGATGACGATCGACATGATGAAAATACAGCCAATGGCTAGTTTCCTCGAAGACCGGCTCCTCCTTCCCTTCGGCTGGGTAAACGCACCATACAACGAAAAGTTCCTTTAAGTATTAGTGACCGATTACAAATGGCAGAACTACATAGATAGGGTACTAACATTGCCGGCATCTAGTTCCTGCAAACGTTTCAGGTAATCTGCAGCCCATCCTCCCTCCGAGTTTCGCTCCATACTCCAGAAGATGTTCACTCTGCGGAGTATGTCACCTGGTCGTCGATTCTCCCAAAGACTCCTGGCGATAGAGAGAATACCCAATATCCCAACCCCGTGTGCTGTGAGCATCGCGCTTCTAAAATAATTGAGACGTAGGTTCTGTCCGTACGGACCATCTATCAGTAGTTTTTCGCCCTTTGTGAATCGCAGCGATTTGAGAGGGCGGCTATGCAGAACCAAGAAGGTCAATTCTACACTGTCATTTCCCTCAGTGTCTAGCTCGTACCACAGCACCGTCATCGGATAGCTGGTAAAAAGGTTATAGTGGAAGAACGATCCCGCCGGAAAGATATAAAAATAACTTCCTGGAAAATGGCGGAAGCGGCGATTACAGGTCATGGTGATGCGGGAGACTTCAGAATCTCCAGTCTCGTCGGTTATCGTCGCTCCAGTCGTGTAAAACAGAAGTCTGATGCATGTGTAGGCAGCCGTCAACACCCAAACCCCGCCGGATACCAGAACAATCATCTCAGCTTGCTTAGCCGCCAGGCTAATCACATGCCAGGCAGTTGCTCCCAGCGTGGTAAGCGCAAGAACAAGGTGTAATTTGGCGAAACTTCGGAAGAAGTATCGGCGCATGCAGTAGAAAGAGGTGCACAGGAGGATAAGAAGTCCTCCGAAAGCCTTTGCTTGTCAACTCAAACTCAAGCAAGTGGGCTTTCGACTTACAATATAGCCTGATGTGGAGGCCTGGTTCAGCCTCGAGTGTCTAAATGCAAGGACGGCGTGTAAAGCACCCTCCATAATCGCAACTCTGCCGATAAAATGATGAAATATGTAATACGTCGACAGAGGAATGCCAACAAAATCCGCGATAAGGTTAGTACGTCCCCCAAGGAACAAGACGGCTGCGTTGGCGGTAGCTAGCATCGCCGCCACCGATCCGATATCTGTTCTTCTTATAATGAGAATAGCACAATTAGCCCCAAAATAGGCAGTCAGTATCACAGACTCTAATCGAGTAACGCTCATCCAGTATCTCCTGGGTAAGAGAAGGGGATACTGAACATTGCGAGCAAACATAGCTGTTCCGGGGACCATTGAGAGCAACAACGTCGGCAAAAGGTAAAAGACAAATGGCAATAAGGATGTCAAAAAGTAGCGGAAGGCATAATGCAAACTAGAGTAACGCCGCACACATCTCCACGTAATGAACCGCAGACAATTCAGCATGGGATAAAATAGTAAAGAGAAGGCAAAGACTGTTATGACGTATATTGTGGTAAAGTCCATCGTGACCTGGAATATTTCCAAACCCGATATATGGCTATTAAGGATTGAGAATGCATTTTCACGGTCTCCTATATGCAAAACTAGTAGGATCTAAAGCCTACCTCACAAGTCCCTAGTCCCATCTCTGGGTCCCCGGTTCCCGGTCACAGCGTCCCGTTCCAAAGATCAGTCCCCAAAAGCCGGAACCACAATCCAGAAAGATCCGGGGACCCGAGTGCCTGGATCTACAGATTCTAAGAGAGCACTCCATTATTTCTCCGATATAAAGATATCAAGCATTTTCATGATCTCCAAGGCTTTTGTTCTCATGCAAAGCCTTGATATTGAGATTTATTCGTTCATTCAGTAAACCTAGCAGCCCATAAGAATGGCAGACATTAAGGACAATGGTACATTACTAGCCCGCCAGATGCGGCGTTTTATCGAACGGAATCCAGAAATCGAATTCCTACAAGATGTTCCTGATTCTGCAAAAGCATCCATTTTACAGCTGGGGGATCCGGATTTCTACCAGGACAAATCAGAGGAAGCTGTACCGATTCCACTCGAATTATCTAATAGAAGAACGTTTCAATCGTTATATAAGCGACTCCAAAAGGAATACCTAACCCTACCAAATTTGAAGAGTCAAGACATGAAACAAGACAAGAAGAAAGAGGAAGGAAATGCGAAGGGGCATGAGAAGGATGACAAGGAGCAGGAGGGCGAAGATCAAGAAACTAGCCAAAAGAACCCTCCAGGCACACCGAAAAATGTTCACTTTCAGCGACCTCAAGATGCCATCCCACCAACAGAGGATGTTGCCTTTAGCCAGGGTACCTCCAGCCAGGGTACCTCCAGACAGGGTACCTCCAGCCAGGGTACCTCCAGCCAGGGTACCTCCAGCCAGGGTACCTCCAGCCAGAGTACCTCCAGCCAGGGCCCTGGAGAGACTAATCATGACATCGGGGGTGCTGGAGAGACGACAGCCGAGTCCACTAGTGGCCGGAGCTCCGGAGAACCCAGTGCCGAAGCCATCAGAAACCAGGACACTAGGGGAGAAACTCCCATCAAAACTGAAGATAACTGGAGCACTAGGGGATCCAGTGCCGAAACCAGCGGTGGAACTGCATATGTTTGGCGAAAACTCAACGAAGCACTTCTCGACGACGGGGATAATCTATTGAAACGCCTATCAGAAAGAGCTCAACAGAAAGACTGTGACTTTTCCGATGTTAAATTCTACTTGGAATACCAGCTGAACCGAAATTCTGACCTCACTAAGGAGGGGCTTAGTGATCTGGCTATCAAATTTATCGACCATTGTCCTCAGTCACAGGCAGATCTTTGTAAATCCTTAAGCGAGAATGACCCTCAGCTTAAACGAAGATACGATAAATATTATGCGTCCACAAATTTATCACCAGAGATAAAACAGAGACGAGCGTGGGCTAGGAACCCGCAGGCTTACAGGGAAAGGATGTTTGAGGGTTTGCGGCCAGATAAACAAGGATGGGACCAGATCACACTAAAGATTGATCCCGACACAGGCAAGAAGAACACCAAGGGGAGAATCACTGCATCCATCGATAAGTATCTGGATGTTTGCCTTGACAGCCTTAAAAGAAATGATGAGGAAAGGCACTATCTAGCATTGAGATCCGAATACCCCCTAGAAGCTGAGCGCTTCGAGGAAAGCGAAAGGGGTCGACTGCTGACGATAAAGCCACAGAAAAAGGGGAGCTTACAAGGTCTCCTGAAGACGGACATAAAAATTATAAATTACTCCTGTGCCGACCAGTTACACCCGGATACTAACCCGCGAATGTATTTTTTCGGATTCGATAAGAGGAAAAAGAGGATCCTCAAAGCCTGGGCAAGAACTACATTTTGCGAAGTGAAGGATTTTAAGGGCGGATTTGACGATCTCAACGACCAGCGGAAGGAGTGCGGCCAGAAAGAGATTACTACAGTGAACAGACCGCACAGAAGGTGGCCTGGCCACTACAGGGAGCGCGGCTCTGATTCTGAGTCCGATTTTGATTCTGACGGACTGGAGGACTTGATAACAGATATAAAGATTGAATAGCGGATTACATGGAAATTATAGACTGAACTATGTGGTGGTGGATTTCATAACAGCAGGCTTTTCTTAACAAGGTTGATAACACTCCTTACCTAGGCTACGAAGTTTATTTCAGTAATATGCATTCCTATAAGCTTCTGTGTTGTCCCAGGAGTAATCTAGGTGCTTAGTGAAAGCTTATATGTAGTTCCAGTGACTTCCTCACATGTTCAATTCCAGAATACCTAACCTACTAGGTAGGTATGTAGCCGGCAACTGCCCGTAGCTTAGGTATCCCAGTGATCGACGGCTAGCCCTATGATGCCTCCAAACGCCGCCTCGGCATCATCATTAATGGATGCCTACCTACTCAAGATTCCAACGATTTCCTACCAAGGCTTTAAATCGAGGAATGGGTTCTATAGAGGGAGAGAAGAGTAAAAACGAAACAGCGAATGCTTCGAGATCTGGTTTTCCTAAAAGGCTATCCGCAACAGTTCGTACACAAATGACATACAAAGTTATGTTTTATTTCCGATAATGAATTGCGAGGACTACCTTGTGGAGCTGACGGAGTTCCACAATACCAGCGACAGACTCAACGGGAGCATCCTCGAACGTAAAGCACACCTAGGTAGATATTCTGTCATTCATAGGACCTGTTCTTCAATACAGGTCCGGTCTAGGACCTGACCTAGGGGAAGAACGGTTGCTCTTATATAATCAGTCCCCCAGGGCTCTTCAACTGACTAAGCAGCCCCTAAGCTAAGTTGACTAAGCTAGGGTTGAAGACTGGAGGGGTAGGTAGTCCCACTTATTGAAGAGGATGCACCCAATCAATTGATCGAATCTTCTTTTTTAGCCAATTAGAAGGGCGGGCGACTTCACAGCGGCTGGCAAGGGGGGCGAGGGGGGACGCGCAGCGACCCCCGAGCCAGCCGCGGAGGCTGCCCGCGTTGGCTGTGGGGGATTTGTTTGGTTGATTTATGTTGGACAACGGGGATATCGGGTAAACTCAGGGCTATTGTGCATCCCCGTAGGGGGTGCCTCCTGTGCTGAATTACGAGAGAAATTTGAATCTAATGTGGCAATGGTTGGGGCTTCGGAAGGACTAAACCTGCGGTAGTAACTGCTAGGTACATCTATATACGTCGATAAGGGCATTCAAGTTCATAGCCGGACTATGAAGGGAAATAGATTTTTATTTTTCTTACTTGGAGATTACTTAATCGGGCTGGGGGGACGAGCTAGGGTGGGAGAAGACCCGCTGCAAAGGGAAATGCATCCAATAAAACGGGTGAGATAAGCAGGGGAGAAAGAGGTGCACCGAATTAAACGACCAGGATAAGGGAGTTAGCGTGAGATTTAGCGCTTTTTAAGGTGGTCCATGCACTTTTTTGTAGAGAGCTTTTGAGCTGTCAAATAACTACAGCAACAGCTGGCAGATAAGTGCTAGCTCTTGGCAGGAGTGCTCTACATTAAAAACTTCTGATGCGGATCTTTATAGCAGCCTAAAATAATTCCTAAGTTCGCGACAGCCTTACCCGACCAAAAAAGAAAAAAAAAAGAAACCCCGTTTTTTATTTATGTTTCTTCGTAACAATATATCTGCCATCAAACACTTCAAACTTTGAATACTTACCTGCGACATATCCAATGGTACGCCAAGAAGATGTTACAGATTTGACAGAGGATCAGATCCTGGTTAAAGCCGCAAACTGGGTAAGGACTCAACTCGGACTCAACTCAATGTTGCCGCAGTTCTTCCCAACATTAATTAATATCTTAGCTCGGCGAAGACTCGGCGAACATTATGCTTGTTAACGAGAAAGAAGGGGCTTTAGCCGTACTTATTTATATAAAACAAGATGAATTTGGAATGCCTATTCACGACAATGGTAGTGTAATGATCGCAGATTACGAAACGATTCTTGTCGGCGATTACGCGGATAGATCTGGAGTTTGGCTATTTAAAGCTTCTGGGGAAGATCTGTTGGTCTACAAAGCTAAAGTGAAATACATTAAGAAGAAGGGTTGAAATATTCGAAGAGGGTACGAACTGCCATGCCTGAACATTGGAGGAACTTAATCCAATCCTGAGCGTTAAGCCATTTGATACGCCCGCCTACCTTAATCTCCATTGTTGGTTGCAGTCTAGCGCTGAAAAGCACTGTCATTATGTGGTCTCCATCTCCGAGTAGGTTGCGTGCTATTGCTTCCCAATTCGTGGTGAACGTGGGCGATCCTATGTTATGTTAGCCTCCTAATCTGTGTGGAAGATCGCTTGCTAATACCTTCGCTAAGCGGATAGATTTCTTTAGCGCGCTTTGCTGACAGATGTACTTCAAGTATGTGTCCACAGTCGATAGGTTCTGATACATAATCGTATGGCTCTATTGTTGACCGCCATGAGAAAGAAATGTTCTGGATCTCAGCTGGCGCTTCGAGATGGAGGGAGTTTGTGAATAGTTCCACGGCAAATGTACAGACCCACAATGTGCCTAGCACAGTATTACTATGACTTGGAGGAGGAGCTAAGAGACTCATGTTAACATTCAGGGAATTGGAAGCGACACATCCCAGGTGCATACCATTGCTAGGGCTTAGCAGGCCATGCTTCTCGGCACAACTTTGGAACACCGGCAGCAAACGCGTTAGCTCTTTGTCTTTTCCCTCAAATTCGCGGGAAACCCTGCTGAAATCCTCATTTTTCAAGCTGCGGGATGCCTTACTTCCGACCAGGATGGCGCATAAGGCAATAGCAACCGGTCCATGCTGTTGTACATCTTCCAGGAAATGCCGATACCGTTTTACATTCTTGTGGATTGCATTCGTCTTTCGAAGGATCTCGCCCGCCGTTTTGATCTTGTACTCATCTTTACTACTGATACCATGAACAAGAATCTCTTTAATCTTCAGGGATATTATGTCCCATGTGGGTACCACAAATCTCGTCCGGGTAACCATTATGCAAACCTGCGTTCATTTACCTTAGGCTTACGCCAAGTCTATCGATTGATAAATGAACACGAGATTTGTAGGAAGAGATACCTGGTAAGGAGATGACGTATAAAGCGAGGTGAGAAAGAAGGTGAAAAAGAAGGTGGGAAAGAAGGTGAGAAAGAAGGTGGGAAAGAAGGGGGGAAAGGAACGATATTTGTAGGGGTGGTGGTGGTGAGCGGAAACGCTCACGAGCGCCACCCACCCTAGGTACCTAGTCATTCGGAACAATGTACGTTCGAGCTTGGATGATTGAAGATATCACATTCCCCTCTAGGTTAGCAAAGGGAGTTTATTAATGACATACCTAGGTACCTAGACATCCTCAAAATGTATCTAAAAGGCCTAACGAAGCTGTCATAAGGGAAAAAAGGACAACTACTCCAAATATCAATTTCCTAAACATGGAAAACTTTTTCGTTGACACTCCTACTGTTGCGGTCGTTCCCGTACTACTCTCCGTCATGATGTGTATGCACATATTCGTTCTGTTCCAGGCCAATAGGCATAGGGAGCGGCAACCCACACATGCTGCATATTTACCAATTCCCTCTATACTGGGACTTCTTATTTTTGGGGGGCTATTCCATTATTCAACTACAAGGAAACGGTCATTCGAACATAGCATCGCCCTCGCAATTTCTATGAGCCTCGCTTATGAGGTATGTCGAAATCAAAAATCAGTTAATGAAGCTCTTGAACTAATTAACACACATAAGCGTCTCTGGTGGACTAGAGAATGGGTAGTTCCATCGCCAGCAAGTTTATCATCTTTGATTGCTGTGTTTTTCTTGTTTACTTTTGCGTGTCTTCAATTGAGCGCGGGATTAAACCAAGATATGCCGGTTTTGGTTCCAATTCTACTCAATAGAGACTGGTCATGGGCGGAATGTTTTGTTAGGTGGCATGATTCAGACATAAATACCCCTTTGGTAGACCGCAATAATCGACCTACTGGAAATCGTACGAGGAGAAAAGGGCGGGAAACGGTAATCATACTATCCGTCAATACCTTTTGTATGGTTACAATGTTCGGGTTCTGCGTTTCGAAGCAGAGTCTGTTGCCAACGGTTGGGGTGCGATTCTCGTTACCTATTCTATATTTTTTATGCCTTCCTGGTGAGGTGCTTTCCCTGTTGCGGGCTTCCCCGTGGCGGGTTTCCCTGCAATGGGTTCGAGAACACTGCTGTTCGTTCCGGAGAACGAGAAGCCCAAGAGAGAATTTGATAAACTCGTCACTTGGTATCCCAATTCCGTAAATGACTGTTGTTAGTGTGGGATCTAAGCTGAGTGGGTTGGAACAGGGGCGGCGTCGGCGTCATAAGGGGTGATCGGCTGGGTACTTGAGCAAATATTCAGGTAGGGTAGCATGTCGTATTCTATTTGAGCTGATAGTTGGATTTGTTTGGTGCCGGTAGAATACAATATTGAAGAACTATTCGTCAGAAGTCTGGTCGATTGGACTGTACATTGAGACATATGCCCATCTCTTGACAAAATAAACAACGAGAGTCTTTCTGTACCTATGTATACCTACCTCAACCGTAGCTAGTTAGGTTAGAGCTCCTTGCTAGTTGTTACCTATACTACATAGTCTGCCTCGTGACACTATCTAAAAAAAGCCTTGGAGCCAAATCATCGTTGAACACACGTAGACACTTTGATAGTGAAACAGTCTAGTACACAAATATGTGTGATGCTTTATTAATATGAGTATCGACATCTTATGGGCACTTGTACCCACGAATTATTAGCAGTTGACCTCAAGAATTCCCAAACACTTTTCAACATGACCTTCACCGGCCAACATCCTGACACACTTGCCTTGGTACCACTTTCTAGTACCGAGGAAAATTTTAATCATTAGAATAGCTGTTGACTTACCTATCACTAGGGAGGTACACCGATGGGAACTCATCCAAAAGTTTGGGAAAAGTTTCAGCGACCCAAGTCCTTCTAGAATCCCAATTGGATGCAAGAAGCAAGTGCGCGGTTTAACTATCGATGAATACTAACGGTAGCAGCCGTCTCTGTCCCCGAGAAGCGAACCTACTTGAGCATTACCCGCGGTCTGATCATACAACCCGCCTTCGCTGGGAGAATGGATGAAGCCCGAATCAATTGCCACTGTTAGTTGACTAGGGAGGAAGGTAGAAAGCTCGCTGATGGGCTGATTCGCCAAGCGTCTTTCCTCTTCCCTATTTCCTCTTTCCCCACTCATGTATGTTTGTGATAATCTACACTGCATACAAAAGGTGGGAAAGAAGGTGGGAAAACACTAGTACCTAATTCCTACCTATGTATGTGCCGAAGAGTCTTCAGCTAGAGAATGAAGATGATGTATCATATTTCCATTCAGAAATGGTCCGTTACTATACCCTTGTAGTAGTCAAGGACTGAAGGTCGGGGTTGACATGGCTGACTTATTACGACATCTTTCATCACACTGGAAGAATATGTACAGCTACTATGGCAAGGACTGGTCGGATCAATATGAATTCTGAGACAATAAGCTAGCTATATGATCCAGTACGCATATTGATTCTAGCCAAGGCAAATCTCGCCTGTGAGGTAAATCACAAGTACCTCATGAAAGAGTATCCCAACTTGAAGGCTATATCACAGATGACAGCTATCTTCTCTCATAATAAACCTAGTAGACGGGTCGGGTCTGTCTTCGAGATTTCAGGTGGTGAGACAAGAATAAGCCCAACCCGATCCGTGATGGCAAACATCCTTGCTCCCGTCGATCTCCTCTTCCTCGTCAAAGCTGCAGCGCAACCCACCAAACACGTAATATATGTACAATCAGGAAACCAACTGCGTAAACAAAAGACACGTTTCTTCATGTAAACCCCTGTCCATATCACGTCTGTAGGCTAAGGGCAAATGAACAATTAAATCGCTCGGAAACAAGTGAAGGAAGAAATGGAAAGCGCGGCAAATCCTCCTTTATGACTTGTCCGAACTATCGCCTTCTACTATTGTAACCTAACAATGTATGAAGCTATTGAAGGAAGATACGGCATGACTTTGTAAAACTGCCGGCATATGGCGTTAGACTCGACGCGTTGATATGCGGATCGGGATTTGATGCTAATCTGTAAAGTCGCCTCAGAGATACCTAGCATAAAACATACCTAGTACCTAGATATTTTACTTATATATATAGATAGCGAGACCAAGGGGAAGAGACAGACGGCGTATGAGTTTTCAGATTTCAGGGCATAAAACTACTTCAAATTCTTACAATGACGTCCAGAACAAAGTTCAACAAATTCGAACTACCTTTTAATAGGATTATAGATTACGACTTAGGCCTCTACGACCAAGAATTCAGGATAGTAGTGAGGAAATTTTTGGAGGCTTCGTATGAACAAGACCATGCTGAATATCGGAGCAGTCAGCTTGCGCAGGCGGCTGAGCAAGCTACTTTCTCAATGAGAGAAGGCTATTTTGTTTCATGCGAGCAACCGCCTGATGACACAAGAAGAAGGATGGACATCAAAATTGAGAGAATGGATCCAGATCAGCATACGATGATTACCACACGTGTCGGAGAAGTGAAGAGGGGTAAAGGTAGTGTTCGGGTCGTTGAAGACCAAGCATTGGATGCTGCAAAGAAGACCATCAGGCACGAGGGCTTACTTGGCACATATGCCGTAACGATCGTAGGAGTTTATTTTCGGGGGTGGCTTGTCGATAGATTGCGCAAGAAACTCGAGCCATTATGTGGACCCGACGACACGGCAGATAAGTCAAACTATTCACCAATAATCGTGTGGGATTGGGTGCTTGGGAGGTTTCGTTGGCATGATGTGTGGGTGAGTGAAGCCGACCTGATCAAGAGTGAATTCCCACGCCTTCAAGCGCCGCCTACTCTACCAAGCCAGGCACTCGATCAAAACGCGATGTCTATCCAATATCCCCAATCTTCCACGGTTCCGTCCCCGGGAGGAGGATATACATATGGTCTTCCAGATGAAATGGATATGGGAGACTATGAGGCCGGGACGTCGATGGCGGAGGGATATGCCAATCCTGGACAGCAGCAAGACGCGATGGATATTCAGGATGACACCATGGTTCAGACCGAAGCAGAATTTCCTGAGCAAAGTACTGGCCCGCCTGCAAACCGCTCGGGAAATCGGTGGAACGGTAAAGCCATGAAAGAGGTAAAGGTGAAAAGGATCACCCATTTGTTACAGGGTGATGAATTTGAGTTTGAAAATCGAAAAGGCACCACGACGAGAGTTCCATTGAGGGACTGGCATGAACACCAAATTGATGGTCATTCTGTAAAGGCGTACGAGACGGACAGTACATTTTATTGGTGTCGGAAGTCAAAATTTCCAAGATAGGTAGATCGGTGCCTAGCTGGACGAACGTGGAAGACGCGGATTTATGTAGTACCGAAGCACAAATACTTCCAACTAGGTACCTACTAGGTAGGAGGTACATACATCCAATGTATGTAGGTCAGGTACATGGAGGGTATCCACTCATTTAGTTACAGTTACATCCGAGGTAGGGGAGAATGCTTGGACCACCATCATCATGGATATCACGTTCATTAGTCAGCCCATTTATCCTTATCTGTGCTAAACCGTGATTGTGTTGAAATAGTCTTGGGCTTGGTGGTTTCAAATCATATTTCCATAACACACCTCAGTCATGATGGCTATCGTTTGTATACCTCCCCGGTGCAGTTTTTGCCGATTTGAATTTTGCATCGGTACGACTATTGTCACGAGTAAGCAATTGCTAGTCTTTCTGATTTCGAGTACTATGTAGCTGACAAACTGCGTTTAGTCCATAAAAATGATACTCTTTCTAGGCAATTTCCGTATGGGACAGACTCCACACATCTATCCATCACTTACACTCAGTGTCATCGCGCATGCAGACATCATGGAGAGAATGGAGGCCTAGCTGTGGCTTGTCATTCCGAGTGCATTAAATTTCTGCCCCATCAGTCGTGGAAATTTTCTCAAGCATTGCTTTATTCATTCGAGCCTCCCTTCTCCCAGGAAAAGCGGCGTGTCGCCTGGCTTCGCTCAAGCCTGATATCAAATTTAAAAATGCCATGTGACTTACCATATGAGATAAAGAGCAACATTGCTCAAAACCTGTTACGCGAATACGCTGTTGTGAAAGCGAGAAGCTGCTGGGTTGATGCTAGGGAATTCCAGAAATCCACCGATCTATGTATTAACCCGTCAAAGACAGTATGGGCTCGGTATATCGAGTTCGAGGGCGTTAAATACATCGCGTCGATAACAAATGAGCCTAGCGATGGTCATGAGACATTATTCAAGCCGAGTTCGTCCTCACGTGTCGATTACGTATATATTTCCGAGGATCATTTAGGCATCAGACAGATGGTGTTCTCCCCTTCTCAAGCTCCAACCGTTCCTCCATTACCGGGTATTTGGTGGAGGATCCTACCGATACCTCCTTCGGGATGCCAGCTTTGCGGCAAAACCGACGTGTGTCTCATCTATTCCGCTCCTGTCCGAAGGTGAACTGATCTTGCCTTAATAGGGAATCAAGCTTCGCAGCCTAGCTAGCACTGGCACGGACGATCTAGCGTCAACTTGCAATATCGCATGGGACATTCCTCCCACCACGCTAGAAGTTATGGCGTATGAGCGTACTCGATGGCTTGCCACGCTACCATATAGGATGGTTGGGTTTTGTGAGGCGCTAGGGCGTATTGACGGTATTAACTCGGCAATGCGGATGCGGATGGCCTCATTTCAATGTAATAGCCCAACAACGACTGGCTATTCGTTTTGCTGGAATGTCTCCCTCAGGTTCGTCCATGCTCACACGGCGGGCGAGGACTTATCGTTTTACGGGTCTATCGATAGACCCTTCGAAGAAAAGAACATATGGTTCTATGTGCCAATGCATCCTAGTGAGTATATTACCCACGTATGGAAGCGCCATCGCCAAAATGAGCGGGAGCTTGCTTTAATTGTAAGTTCGGTGATTATAAACTTTGCCCCTTTACGAGGAATAGGTCTAATTATCCAAAAGATCGAGACAAACGCCGGTCGTAAAGTTGTCGTAGGTCCTCACCTGCGGCCGAACTGGCCTTCGTGTCGTTGGACTCTTCTGAGTACGTTTCAGCCCAATCCTAGTCGAATATTCTTTGAGGACTCCCCTCACGGCATCCGTTGTCTGGCTTTCGAAACCCCTTCACCAAATCAATATAATCGACCTCTCATCCTCCCGTTCCCAATATCTCCTTTCCCGAAATCCACCTCTATCGAGGATTATTTCTATACGTCTGCTGTCCTTGATAATGTTGTTGAGGTCACACCCTGCCGAACAGTGCAGTCCGGCGTATGGGCTATAACGGGTATCCTTTTATCGTATGCCAACGGCTACCAAATCGCCGTGGGGCAGGTTAGGTTGGATCACCTTAGCCCTACCATGAGAGTTCTGCCGTCGCAAAAGATGACTTTTACATTCTCTGCAGTAAATGGCTACCCTTACTTAGCCAGTATACATTCAGCCCCACCAATGTGTAGTGAGACCGACATGGAAATATGTTGGCACGGGTCGTTGGAATGGTGGTTTTCGCGCCGCCAGTGCAAAATTTATCATAATGGGCAGGCAAGTCCGGTGACCAAATTTTAAGTTAGGAGATCCCCCGACGTACGAGCAACATTGAAGCTACAGTACAAAGAAACGGTTTAAGGAAGGCTGTACTTAATTTTAGCTAAGAATGGATCAGATAATTCCCTGAGTCCACGAAGGTTATTGTGTCGTGATGTTTTTTTTCTTTCCTTTGCGAAGTGGTTCGAAAAATTATTCAAATAGGCAGTTCTGAAAACCACTGTTCCTGCACTTGAAAAGTACCTAGTACCTACATATCCATTGCTATTCCTTGATATATCCGACTATCGAGGTCCCCACACGTATATATCCCTGTATCGTAGCTGCCCACGTTGCAGGGGAGACCGGGATGATAGGGTACCGGGCGGGCGATAAGCGTATTAGGTACTAGCCCGTACCTAAGCAGAATGACCGGGGATTTTAAATTGCAACCTCGGTTATCCCCGCTCTTCCATCTTACAACTAACTGCCTTGGTGTTTCATTTTCTCACGTACGTCCGTTGTTTCGAGTACCCGAGTACATGTGCACCTAGGTATCCATTTATACCTCAGCTACGAGTGGGAAACATTGGCACTATGCGGCTGGCCTGTGTCGACGGTGATGGGGAGATTGTAGATTTCGAGAACGCTTTGCAGCAACAACCGTATACTATTCGTGGATTGCTCGCGGATGCACTAGCTCACTGCTACCGCATTCTTCCCGACTCCTTGGAGTTTCTACGAGCCGAAGGGGAGGTCCGTGAAGCGCTCCGAACTTTTCAAGGTGACCAGGATAGATACGCAAGAGGTTACGTTCTTTCGCGGACGCTCGATAGTCGTGCCCAGCAGACACCTAGGGCTGACCTCATCCTGTTGGCGCTTCATCGTGGTGGTCCCCTTGCCTTAGTTGGCATGTTTTACGCTACTATCGACGCACACCGCAAGCCAAGTCACCGCGATACCCTAGACTACCTCCTGAATAGGGCGACTGATGAATCCAAGCTCCAACTGATCATGCGGTCAAGCACCTTTCCATGCAACCCGTCCATAAGCAGTTGGCTTGTCCGCATATTCGAAAGGCTACGACCCAATGCACAGAACTTAGCCTGTATCTTACGATGTCTCGGCACGTCAAACGTACCTCAAGCCCTGTTTCGCCGTCTGTGGATGTCTTCCCTGTCCTGGGGCGCTAACGGGGAACCTGTTGAAAGCAAAGCCCATATGATCAAATCCGTATCTGATGAGCGGAAGTTTACGGACGCTCTCCGTGATCTAGAATATGTTGGATTCATACGAATATCCCCCACCACTATTGACCTTGATATGCGCATTTCCGAATTCCTCCGGTTGGAATTTGAGGACCCCCGTTGGATCGCTGAAGCTGTACGTATCCTGGCGCATGCTTTTCCCAAGCACCGCCCCCTTGAGCCTACAAGGTATGTGCTTAGGCAGTCATAGGTATCATTTGCTTTTATTAATCTCGAATGTACTGACATTCCTTAGTTACATAGAAATGTGCAAAATCTTGCAGCCCCCGCTTGAGACTGTCTTTTCTTACTTGAAGCATGTGCCACTTGGGTCGCTTGCTGTCGAGAGGCAGTGCCTCGAGCAGTTCATCGAGGTATGCCTATCCGCTTCGTATTTCCGGGACAAGCCCTGGAAACTCAAAGCAATCTCTATCGTCATGGAAGCGTCTAGTGTCCTAAAACACTCTTTCTCTGAAAACTCATTTCTAACAGCAGCGATTGATGTAAGAAAGTCATCTCTATCTCTCATCTACCAGGAAAGGAGTCAAAAAGTGAGTCGTATTGTTATACCAACAGTAGATCATCGATCTCGCGCGCTTTCCGCGGATGTAGCTATCTTGAATGCTCGCGAATGCGTCAGTCTCTCTACGCTAGCATCAGCGTTGGAGTATCTTGCAGGTTTTGATCCTTCGTGGCAGGGCTGCGTGTCAACGTTGGGAGCAATACAGGGGAGGGAGGTGATATTAATGCGTGCCAGGATTTTGCGGTTCACAGGTCGTTTCCAAGAAGCTTATGCTCTCATCGAAACCATGCCACCGGATGATCGGACGTTGCCAATTATTGGCGCTCTCCTATGCGAGCTAGGCAGGTGTGATGAAACTATTCGTCTACTAAGCACGCAGGTGACGGGCAGAGGGGGCATTGTTCGAGTCAGGATCGCGTTGGCTCACGCTTATCTGCTAAAATGTATGCAGTGTCATGTCCAAGATCAACCGTTGGATTGGCGCTCGCTGCAAGTCACTCGCACAATGTTCCAGGAGCTACTCAGTGGGTTTAAAGCTGCTTCCTATTTCAGCCGAATGGATCATCTCTCGATCTTGATTGGTATAGCTACAATCCACCACATGGATGGACAGTTAGATTACGCTCTGGAAGGCTGGCAGAAAGCTCTCGCTGCTTCTCAACAATATCTCTCCCCAGGATATACAGATATGATAATTTACTACTCGATGAGTGAGTTGGAGAGCAGGCGGGCAGCTTCTGCTCGATCAGACATGCTTGAAAATCAAGCGAGAGATCTTTTCGCCAGAACGGGACGCCAATATCACTTTGTTGGCCTCGGATCAATGTGGCCAGAAATTATTGGCAAATCATTGGTCGCGCGCGGTCGGCGACCTGTAATTCCTTTAATGATACATCAAACCTAATTCATGTTGGATAGGTATATTATAATTATGATGGAGACATACTACCTGGTCTGGAAAGCCTTTCCGGGTTTCCTTCCGAGTCAATCCCGCAATCTATGCGAACAACAGTCCGTCTTTTTGATCCCGAGTGTAACCACTACGCATGACGGGAATAACCAACTTAGGCGTCAAAGTTGAATACAACTTCACCTTATTTCATAATACCGGATGATAGAGATTAAGTTGGACATTTGCAAGTCAACGAAGGAAATAATATTACCACATAAGTTGAACTATCGTCACACGCGCACCCCGGGTTCGTGCTACCCATTTTTCTATATAAAATCGCTAAAACACAATATTTATGATTAATTTAATAAAATAGCTTGTTATGTGAGCCTTGCCGTCGCCCACTGAACACATTATTTTGTCCTATTGATGCCGGGGCCGAAGTCTAAGAGACGTTTGTCCTTTTCGTGGGAGGATTGTGAGCCGTTTGAGTGGGAGCAAGATTATGCACCTGTAAGTTTTGCTATTCGTCCCTGAGTTCGTCTTCCAATTGGTGCTATTCCCATCCTTGCCGCTGCTACCCATCGTTGATCAGAATCTCTCAAGTAGCCCATCGCATCCCAGAATCATCCACTCACCCAGCCTCTATCCCCACCGCTTAATCGTTCCAGCCCTTCCTCGGGCACCAGCAACCCACAGCCATACTGCAACACTACCGCTCCGAACCGATCACGAGACCTCCTCGTGCGGCCTAACGATATGCCAGCGTAAACCTGAATCCCAGCCGAACTTAAGGAGTGGCAGACTCGAGCGCCAACCAGAGCAAAGATAACCGCAATCCAAACGAAATACGAGGAAAAACCGACACAACAACAGAAAACTTAAGCTTGAAAAAGTCCTGTTCATCGATATGTTTTTCCTTAGCAAGTCTAACGACTCAGGTCACCGTTGGCCAGGAGTACGATAATCAAAAGTCCCCTTCGCAGCCTTGTGCTTCGGCGGAACCTCTGCCACTTGGTGGTGGGATCCGAGCTCCAAAAGTGTGGATTGACACGAACGTAAAGGAGAGAACCGAAACCGGGATGGACAGAAACCAGCTCAGAGCGGGTATTGTAGCATTGCATTCTGTTTTGTTCCCTTTCCTCTACCCTTCCTGTTCCTCCGTTGCCCCTTGAGACACCTCGCCCTCCTTGAGCATCCCTGGCCACCGTTGGTCAGACCTGCCTTGCCTTCGGTGCCCCTGGCTGTCCCTTATCTGCAGGCCAGCCTGCTTATTCCCGGTCTCTTCGGTGTGGCATCCTCGTCATCTGGGCGCGTAAAGTACGGTCAACAACGCCTGATAAGATGGCCCATTAGGTGAGCACAAATCATTGATTGGCAGTCACGTTCCTTCACGTTGTTTTTGCTACCCTTGTAGGCTTTCTTGGCCAAACTCGAATTGGGCCAAGGAGTTCTATGCCGTGGACGCCACCCCCCTTTGCTGGTAACAGCTTGACTTGGAGAAACAGGCCTCAGCGAAGCCAAGCCCCCTGGCTTAAAACAACGAGCTGGCTTGGTAACCAGCTGTAGTGAGCGAATCATGGCTGACGCCGGCGTGCCCGGGGGCTGGTCAGTGGTAGTACACGTCTACCTCGTCGCGCGAAATCAGACGCCAAGCACCGAACGTGACGGAGCTCGAACGGGACCTAGCCCATTCTTTAAATGCTAACTAGCTTTGCCGCCCAGCTCATTCACTTGCGGCGCAGAACGAGAGCAAGATAGCAGAATTTCCTCTTCCCTTGTCCGCTTTACAACGATGGCCACTAGTGCTGGGCAGCAGGAGAATGTCGTCACTGTCAATGACGGTACTGTTCCGGACAAAGTAGACGATGGCGGCTGCCTAGACGGTTTCCGCGTACAGGAAGATATCGCCGCCATCCAGCAGCGCCTGGAAAGTCTAAAGAGAAGGCACAATGAGGATCTCGAGGGGTCCAGCGACGACGAGGGGTCCAAGTCTCAGAAGATGTCGACTCAAGACATGGATGCTTGGCTCGAAAGGCTTAAGGTTATGGAAATGCAATGCCATGATACGAACCATCGCACGAGGGTTGGGGTTGACATGGTTCCTATAGGTTCAATATAAAGGACAACTCGTACCAGATAGTCAAAGAAGACTCTAACAAGCGACGTCAGGCGCAGTCTGCATCTAAGCCCTTCTTCATTCGATCAAGAGCCGGTCCGTTCTCTCTTTTCGCGTCTTTGTTTGTCTGCCGGCTGACCTGACTTCTGGAAACAAGGCCGAGACCACCAGTCTCTCGCGCCACTCATCTTCTTGGACGTGAGGAGCCCAGCTGTGATAGCGGGCGTGGCAGACGCCTTCCGAGACGTTCCCGAGCTCGAAATCAAGCCACACCTGTCAAGAATCTTGGTAACTAAACCCAGACCCTTCCAATCCGCCCCGTCAGCCTCTGCTGGTACTTGTCGGTGCTGGCCCGAGACCGGAAATGACAGTTCGACATGAGAAAACTCTTCCGCCAGATACCGAAGCTAATAGAGTATGCGAAAACGGCCGAGAAAGTTCCGACAAGCCTCAACCTCCTCGTTTATTGGGCCGATATGTACCGCAAGCGGGTCATGCATGACTTTGAAGCACTTGTCGCTCAACGCAAGATTCGTTGGGAATTCCTTTGGCTGCTTTTCGAGCCCGGCACCCCCGTCTACTCCATTTGCACGGCGTTTACGCCAATCTTCGGACGACCTACATCAATTGCGACCCCGACGGCAAGGTCGGCTACTCCAACAAGGTGCTCGACATCTCCTTCTTTTCTGGGGAGAAAGATATCGATGCGCTCGAGGCCTATCCCTTGTCGTACCATCCCGACTCTGACAAGGCCCGTACGGCCGTCATCGATTCAGGACGCAGATTTGCTTCTTTTTGGAAGGACGGGCACGAGTTTTGCCAGAAACAATACCGCGGCAAGGCCTTCTACTTAGCCCGCAATGACTTTATTATTATTGACTTGGACACGATGCCAAACGAGCGGGCTCGGCGCATCGTGATCGACCCGTCCAGTTTCATGAAGTACCGACCTTCGGAATCCATTCCTGACGTGAAGGTCGGTACAGACGACTTGACATGGGAAGGGCTCAGCTATGACAACTATCTAGTTTGCTGTGGGACGACATATGCTTTCCTCGTCACTACCCAGAAATTCGGTACGTGTCCTATCTACTTTTCCTTCCCGTCCCACTCTTCTCGCTAACCAGAACCGTAGCCCATGTTGCCGTCAGCAATATCACCGACATCGAGTGGGACACGGAGGCTTCGCTCGAGAACGACGTCATCATCTCCGAGCAATCAAGAACCTTCATCTCGGCATTCGCAAGAGCTGCCCTCGTGCCGCGAGAGACCGAGCCCACCTCCGTGCTGGCCTCGTATGGCAACGGCCGCACCGTGGTGCTGTAGTAAGCAAAGCCAGCCCAAAAAGACCCCTTTCTTCCCCATTTCGCAGAGGCTAACAGAGAAACTCAAGCGGGCCCAGTGGTGTGGGCAAGACGTCTTCCGCAGTCACGCTGGCGGAGGAACACCGGGTGGTGCTCATCAAGGTAATCGATCCTGTCTTGCCCTGTCTTCTTATATCTATCGTTTCCTTGCTGGCTGCAGCCTGCTAACCCGACGGACGGCCCCCAGTTGGAGCCATCGCTCTACGGCGATCCTGAGGTCCTCAAGAGCTCTGTGCAGAGGCTCTGTTATCTGTCCAGCCGCTGGCGCGTCATCTTCCTCGATTCTATTTATATTGTTTGAGAGTATGTTGAAGGAAAGTTATTCGAGTGCGAACAGGCGGCATAGGTTGTATCCCGGTTTCCGGTGGTAGTGGCTTATCGATAAGCATTCCAGCCAGTCAGAGACCGCGCACCCGGACCTGAGCCACACTAGGTATTGAAATGCACTACTATTGAAACAGTAAATCTCTATAATTAAGATTCACATTACCTACTGTATCCCAATAGTACTGACCTTTCTCACTGCTTTTTGGTTCTCTTCATGCAGGATATAGTTTGTCTACCTAGCCAGAAGGTTACTCCCCCCAACTCTCCATTACATACTCTGCAGGTACCTGGGTAGGTACCTAGGTATTTTCGCATCCAATGTTGGCCATGAGAATAACACCCCCATGGACAAGTCTGTGCCACCTTTGCCAATTTCGAATCTCCCATGATGAGAACACCGTCACTGGTAAATAGCTATGTCTAACATTGAAGCTGCGGCATCTGATACAGCAACAGTAACCGAGGATGGGAAAGTTTCTGAGATATCCCAATATGAAACCGTATCGAGCGAAATACTGCGCGTCGTGTGCCATCCTGAATGTGTTGGAATCGCCGGTCAGGAGCGCTACAAGATCGCTTTGGCGACTTCTTACGCATATGAACCTCCCATGGGGGAAATAAAGCGACGTGTGGCATGGCTTAATTCCGACCTAAGCTCTCGCTTGGTTTTGTTCAAACCCCTCCCACCTGAATTGCACGAAGAGATCGCCAAGCTCCTACTTCGCGAGTATGCAGTGGCGAACGCAGCGAGATACTGGACTCCGCTTCCGCGACAATCTGCTGACATCTGTGTGGATGTTTCAGCGGAAGTGTGGGTTCGTTTTACAGAGTTCGAGGGTATAAAATATATCTCCGACCTAGCCAATAGTCCTAGTCCCGGATACGAGGTGATGTTCGTCCCAGACCTGACGAGGCGAGTCGATTGTATGTACGTGTCCGAGGATCACTTAGGGGTCAGGCAGATTTGCTTCTCTTCCTGTGAGGAAGTTCCTCCTGCCACTCCGTCGTTCGGCGTCTGGTGGACCATCTCACAGACCGCTTCCATAAAACCAAAGGTTCTTGGTAAATTCGACGTGCGTCTCGTTTTGCTTCTCTTCTCTTTGCATTGAGCTAATAACGTATCATGGTCCGCCAGGGTATCAAACTCCGCGACGTCGGCTGGGCCGAACCAGTACACGAGTTGTCCCCTGTCAGTAGATGTATGTGGGAGATTCCTCTCCCCCCGACGACACAGATCAGTTTTTCTACAATAAGGAAGCCCAGCCATGATTTGTTCTATGACCTTTTAAAGCCATTGTGCATCTCCAACAAAGCTAGGTCGAGGATGGCTTTACTTAGGTGTAACGAGTTACACATCACTGGCTACTCGGTCTTCTTAGACGGTAATATCAAGTATATCCACGCTCATATTCATGGAGAGAACCTATCATTCTATGACCATCCACCCTGCGCAGATGGAGTCTGGTTATATATGCCTCTACAACACGGCGAATTTCTCGAGGACATATGGATACGACGCCACAACTTCCTTGATGGGACTGGCTTGGTAGTGAGTGATCCCATATTCCCAATTTATCCTACGTCATCCACCTAACTCCCAGGAAGTTCCGAACCAACAGAGGACGGATCATGACGGCGGGGCCATACCTTCATGTTGGTCATCCAACATATTCTTGGGGACATGTACAAACACTGGAGCATGCACCTAGTCGGTTGTTCTTCCGATATTCTTCTGAGGGTATCTCCGAACTAGGCTTGGAAACATCTCCGCCGATTTTACGTAAGAATGCTGTCGGCCTAATCCCATTCTCACCTCCCCCAAACTCTCTATCATTTACATGTTACTTTTTTTCGAGAGCCTCTTTAGAAGATGTGGTTGAAGTTACGCCGTGTTGTATGAGCAGAGCAGATGTATCGGCCATAATCGGACTTCTATTCCGTTACGCTGATGGTCATCAATGGTCTGTTGGAGAGGTTCGACTTGACCTCCTCCAGGACAGCATTCAAGTCAATTCATCGGAAAAGATGACTCTGGGATTTTCGGCTCCTGACAAATATCCCTACGTAGCTAGCATCCATCATTGTCGTGTGGATAGGGGTCAATCAGATAGGAGTCGGTTAATGCTCCTAGATATTCATTGGACTGGATACTTGGAATGGTGGTTTAACTCTTGGCAGTGCAAAGTATATCACAACGGGCAAGCTAGCCCAGAAACCAGGCATTAGAGGGGTATCTGAACATCGAAGGAGAGCTCGTGGAGACATCTCAAGCTACCTTAACAAGTACGTACCCGATGTGGCGCGAGTTGGTGTCCAGGAAGAGGCGGTTTGTACCTAGTCATTAGATTTGTAAAGAACATACGCGATTTTTTCCGTCTTTAAGATATATCATACCATGTGATAGCTATACTCCGTTGGGGGCTGCCCGGATAACAACGCTCTTTAGATGAAATGTCCGAAAATGTCCACCTAGCATAATTTAAATGAAGTGACATTAGAACGTGGACTTGATCAATTTATACGGAAGTAATTTTTTCAATTATCTGGAACCTACACCACCAGAGATTCAAATGATTATTGGAATATACAATAGTCCCGAGAAATCAGAACCAGGAGACTAGAAGCCAGGATCAAGAAATAGATAGTGATCCTTCGCTACCTACTCATAGTTGCTAGTTAGCCGCAAGGTATGAAGAACGTCATCAAATCACTCGCCTCCGCCTTCTGGTAGACAATATATTGAATTGCGAGAGCGCAAGTAAAAAACGACTAATACATAGGTAGGTACTTATCAAGGGTTCCCTATCCCCTACAGCTGCGATTGTTTTCTTATCCTTGAATGGGCGGCGACGTCCGAGCTGACCCGGCGGCGTCTTGTAGCAAATTACCTTTTTCGCCACTCGGGAAGAGCCATTATCTTCCCGTCATCGCTGTAAGGGCACCTCTTGCGTTTCTTCGGAATCTGGGACCTGTTGACACTATGTACATCGCCGAGATGATGCCATAATTCCTCCTCTGTGAAAAGTGATGCGCTGCATGGTAGAGGACACGGTGTGACGCCTGCCGGCTGGACATTTTTCAGATATTGTGATATGCAGTGGGTGATATGCCTTTCCCAGGCTGGCTGATAGATAAACTGTTGTAACCTCTGAGATGCCGGCAAGTCCTTATTTCCAGGTGGACGGGACAGTATCCGGCACAAGCAGTGGCATACCGGAACACGACCGGATCACACCTAGACGGGGTGCTTTTGCTATCAATATGGCTCTGGAGGTGGCGTTCCCAGGCCTCCTCACCGGTAAACCACTCGCTACAGAGGAAGCAGAAATCGGCGCATCCGTAATCTCTCTTAAGGACGAAGCTCGCTGTTCGTGAGCGGTGGTCCCGGGGGCCTGATGATGAGAGAGCGCCGTTGGGGTTAGCCAAAGACCAACCAGGCTGCCAGGTACAGCTCTCTACTAGGTAGGTAGTTACCTACTAATCCAGGACTATTCCACGACGATTAAGAATAATAGGAGGACTCCGAGCCTCTTTAACCTGCTGTATCGCTGCAGCAGTAACGGGATAACAATCAATTTGCCAGGCCCCTAACTGCGCTAGGAAGCTGTTGCCCGGTCTCGATTTTGATCCATATCATATGGAGGCTACCTGATCGCCGGGTTCGCACAGTTTAGCTATCAGGTAGGTACCCAGCTGATTGCACATAGCTTAGAATGACTACGAGCGACGTAGAGGAAAGCATTCATACCATTATGTAGAAATACCTGACTATCGTGCCACCCGCATATACGCTAACACCGTCTCGTCTGTCACGGTGCAGACCTAAGGGGTAGGGAAATGACGATGTTGTTGCGCGAAGGGCTCTAAACTACTCCTTACTAGGGACGCGGTACCCACCTATACATACATGAAACTCTTCTTCGTCTGCTCCTTGTCTAAGAGCCAGCTATGCGGTCTCTGGCAAGACCGATCTCCGATACCAGACCCCGTGGGAAAGCTCGTGACGATTAAGTAGGTATACATTAGAAGGTGAAGTTACTAAGAGCAGGTAGAGGATAATAAATAGTACATGTATATCCCCCATGATACAGGACGTAAGCTTCCAGCCACCTTATAAATTCCATACAACACACCTGATAGGGATAGGTCAAAGACTTGCCGGGAGTGCGCTCAGGATAAGCCTCTAGATGATCACATTATTCATCTGCCACGACAAGTCTCATGACATGGTTGTGAATCAGTGCTGCATGGTTTCTGAATTGCAACTCATTCTCCAGCACTACTCCTTTTGCTTTGCAGCTAGGGTCGGGACAGGGTACGACGGTTGTGGTGCGTCTTTTGAGATGTCGGTCTTCGCAATTCCACATATTCGGATTCCTCGTAAAGCGATTCGAACAGAAGAAACACTTGTATGGCTTAGACGTAGATAGTTGTTCCACCAGGGATGAATCCATTCCACTCAAGTTGAACATGGGCACTCGTGTTATGCCAACTTCACTACGCGATGTCGTGGGATCTTGAACTATTCCTTGGCTCGAACTCGACTCGCTTGAGCTTATTGGAGTTTGTATCATTGATACATAGCGTGGCTTCGTTTTCATAGTCTGGCTATCCTTCGAATGCTCCAGCGCGACTTTGGATGATTCGGTTGGATTCGCGATCTCCGTCAGCGGCATTCGTAGGACCCCTTGGTTCTGCGAGATACCAGGCTCCCTTGGCTCGATTTTCCAGGCGTAGTTGATCCAAGCATTGATCGCATCGACCTTTCTCTGTACGATCCCAACTTCAGGGAGATCTTCGTCTAAGTCGCCGAGGATTGCAGCCAGGAGATTCCGTTCTGGCAGGCTAAAGATGATCTTCTGCAACCGCTGCTGGGGTTGATGGATGCCACACAACTGTCTGTCCAGCTCTGTGTTATTCCTCTTCCTGAAATAGCTCTTTCGAAGGAGATTTCCCACGTTTCTGCGATGCTTTTGTCTTGCTGTCTTCAGGATTCTCGCTTTCTGCTCGCGCATTTTCCGGTCATCGCCGGTAGCCTTGGTAGACTTTCCATATCGAGCTTGCAGCTCTGCTTCTAGGTCTGACCATTCTCTTTCTAGTTGGCGGGTCGTGCTGTCTGGCCCTATGATGCGCATTTCTTCATCGGACACCCCCATTGGCGCATTCTCATCATATTGCATGCCGAGATGATTGAGTATGTCCAGGTAGGGAGACTCAGTGCCGCGGCCCAAGCCGGCATCCTGAGACATAGCATTCCTCATGGCATTGGCATAGTGCCTCTGATACACAGCGCTATGGGGACGGTGGCGTGCTCCTTGATCCCGAATTGATTCACGGTAGTTCTCTGGTCCCACGTTAGAGGTTGTCGGATTATCGCAGGGGAAACTTACTATCCATGATTTCCAAATTTCCTCGCCGATAAATGTATGATTGAAACCGGTCAGGGAAGCCTGCTGCCTTCCCAAGTTGCTCTGAATTGTCATCAAACCTTTTCGCCTTAAGCGGCTCGTCTGACTTCACAGGGCCCTCAAAAGACTCGACAGTTGCCCGGAAGACAGGTTTGTGCCAAAACTGCTTCTTCCAAGGTATGTGTACGGCGGGCATACCAATCTTAGTATTAAAGTAAGGCTCGGCACGTGTGTCGTAGCCAGCCAAATCGACAACTCCCTCAGATATAGCCTTGGCGAGTAGCTTGGAGATTGGGCAGAGAAGGGGGAGCTTTTCTTCAACGAAAGGGAACCACGTAGGTACCATCTCCTTGTTGTGACCTTTATGGAAACGTAGAAGGATTTGCATCGCAAGACGATCTCGGCTACCATCACGCATCGGGTCGTGCAGGATCCAGAGATCAATGTCTTCCCAGCAAAGAACTTTGCGTTGCGCCTCTGCCCTCTCATCCACCCCGTCACACACCCAGCATTTCTTGATGCGTGGTGAAATGTAGGGGTCTGGTTCGTCCACATCGGTGTAAGCATCGGACTCTTCGTCATATTCCTTGATCTTCGTCTTCTTGTTCGGTGATTGGGCATACACCAACTCGTGCCGACGACAGCCCGTCCACATAAGAAAGTCGCGAATGAGGGAATCATCGAGCCGGTCGAGGCCGATCCTAAAGCTTGTCCTCCAATCTCGGACCCAACGGAAGTACGCGAGATATGTGAATCCGGAGGGATCGAGAACTTTTTTATGCTTCGGCTCTATACGAAGTCCAAATAAACGTGTATGTTCGAGCTTGACCACGGTAAGGAGGTGGTCTCGAAGCCTCTTGTCGAGATCTTTATCCGTGTATTTGCGGTAAATCATGTATAGCTGTCGCAAATATTGTCGAATCGTACTCAGCGCCATGATTCTGGATTTGTCTCTTCTCATCAAATACCGCGCGAATGCTTCAGGGAGACCCCTGTTCTCCCAACTCAGTGTCTTGAGAAGGGCCTTCCACTCGGGTTTGCCCGGCAATGCTTCGCAGAAGGCGATCCATCGTCGTGTACCATCAGCAATATTCACCTTGGTATTGTCAGCACGGTTTGGCGGAAGAGGACGTCTTCCATTGCCTCGGTCCCAGATATTTTGGAGTTCCTCCGACGTAAGTAACGGCTGAGCTCCCTGCCCCTCCCATCCCGCAAGCTCTTCTTGTACTCTTCCTAATAGATCGTAGTCTATTTGGGGGGGACCTCGACGGAGCTCCATGACTGATCTTGGGTGAGTGACACAGCGCGATATGGGTGCTTAAAATGCCAGCTATGCCGTAATTGGCGCTACAAAGATGACACTGTCTGCAGGAATAAAACATGACTCGACTTGGATTTGAAAACTACCTGATTGAAACACGAATGCAGCAGAGAAGCCACGTCTAAATGCATTTTGGTTTTTTCATTCTTCCAGCTTTTTTTGCGTCACGTTCTCTGGACTGTTGGTAGCAGAAGTCCCGGATCCAGTGCTGCGCCGCCCGCTGTGGTGATGCGCATCGCACGTAGTGAATATGTAGAGTAGACTTTAAAAAGTACATATACTCCGCAAAAAAGGTACTTATTATCGGGGGTGTCTTGGGTTCCAAAAATCATGGGCCTGGGATGCCATTTTCAGAAGGCCAAACACCGACACGGGAACTCTGCGTGTAATTATCTTGTTGGTTAAAGAATTTCACCATACTGTCTCTCTCCAGCGGCTCGCTCCATTTTTAAGTCATATGTACCTAGGTATACACGAACGTTGTTTGCATCCGCGAATTTTAGATAGAGCAGCCCTACGAAGGATCTCAGCAATGCAACCTCACCTCGCAGGGATCTAGGGGATCGGGTCTTACCGGTATCATTGTAAATGTATACAGTGACGCTCAAATTAAACAATGTCACAGGGCAATTAGGTAATCCATCCCTATAGGGATTAGCCCTTGATTACCTCAGCTGAGCGTGGGTATATCTAGCACGCCATTCTATAGGAGCAAAGCTCTCTTTTACTTAATAGATCATTCCGCTCACTATGCTAGAGATCTGGCACCCACAGACTGTGTGACAAACAACTACTCGGTCAGAATATTGCCAAGACAATTATCTTCATCTTAGTATTCCCAACTGCCCATAGACAACGACATGATTAGGAACCGAGCACAGGTTTTGGAATAAATACGAACATGTTTGGTATTAGGTAACATGGATAACTAATTCCAGTACTATACTCGATCTCAAAATCCGCATCTGAATGGTAAGTACCTGATAATTCGTATATCATCCAATAACAAGTCCGAGCTCCCTCGCAATAATATCGGCAGCTTTCTCGCCGATCATCAACGCCGTGTTGTTAGGATTCGCGGCGACGTTCTCCGGCGGGATGCTCAAGTCTGCCACCTTAAGTCCCCGCACCCCGTACACGTTGAGGTCTTTATCCACGACGCCCATCTCCTCGCGCGGTGCCATCTTAGCCGTGCCCAGGGAATGCCACGTAGTTTGGATATTCTCGCGAAGATACTGCTCGATGGCCGCGTCGTCTTCGGCCGAGTACTCCAGGTCCTGCATCTCGCAACCTTCAACTGGCGCGCTCCACTCTCTGAGAACACCCGCCTTGGAACCTTCCGGGAACCGGGGGTGACGACCCGGCACCTCGCCCCTATATATGCCTGTCCGCCGCAGAATCTCGCGGCCCTTCTTATACGCCCAGACCTGCTTCTTGAGGTCTATGTCGTTTGCGTCGCCGAAAAATCCGAGGTCGAAGTCTAGAGGGTCCTCGATGTCGGGCCCCGTGATGTGAAGATGCCCGCGCGAGAATGGGTATGCGGTATACGGCGCGAGGGAGATGTACTGTCCAGGATCCACGCCAGAAGTATCACCTAGTATGCTAAGAAAAATTGGGTCAGCGTCATGGACTCATTTCCCGAAAGGTTTGGTACCAACCCAGCACTCACGACCATCAGCATGAGTGGTCTATTAGGGTGGTCCTTGAAGTCCTTTTCCCACATGGCTTGGAACTCAGGTCCCATAGCCGCTACTTCAGCCTCCGTCGGTCGGAGTTTGGAGGAAAGATCTATGAAGTTCCACCTGAGATGTGGATGATTCTGAGCCACGGCATCTTCGTAAGAAAGCCGGCCCGAGATGATAGCATCAGCCGTTTCAATAGGATCCAGAGACGATTCGTATAGGTAAGCTATCAAGTTATGATCTTGATAGTTGTTACCGACGCCTGGGAGCTCTTCGACAATGGGAACCCCAGCACGATCAAGTACATCTTTAGGACCGACCCCAGATCGTTGTAATACGGACGGCGTACCACAAGCACCACATGATACCACAACGAGCTTCCGCGCTCTGACGGTCTGCTTTGGGTGAGGTGTCGCGAAGCTCATCTGGACCTGGAATTTAGGGTTGGGCGTGAACTCGACCCCACAAGCTCGCTTGTCCTCATCGAACAGCACTCGCACTACCTTTGACTCTACCAATACATGCAGGTTAGGGTGCTTCCCATCGCGTAGCTTGGGATGTATATATGCGTGGGCGGTATCTGAGCGTTTGCCTTCGGGGCTCATGTAACGAAGCCAACGCTGGAAGCCGTTGTTGGTATCCAAGTTCTGCAGGTCTGTTATCTCAGGGTACCCGAACTTCTCAGCGGCGCGGAGCCACTCATCTTCTACCCGCTTACTACGAAACGGGCCAGCGGAAACCTGGATTGGACCATCAAAGCCGTGATGTTCCGGGTCCCCTGGACCGTGATAGTTTTCAAACTTCAACGAGGAATGGCATTAGTAGTCCTCTAGGTTCCGTAAGTAGGGAAGCATAACCAATTACCTTTTTTAGATATGGCCATAACTCGTCTGCACTCCAACCAGGAGTTTTCCATGAGTCGTAATCATCGCGTTGAGCTCGCGTGTACCTTGTCAAGAATAGATTTGTTAACCTTGAAATATTGTTTTGACCTCTCTCGGCCTAGATACGTGTGTTCGTCTTACATCATGAAGTTGATAGATGAGCCCCCACCGAGTGTACCTCCCTGGGGGACGATCCTCTCTGCATTACCAGTATACTTAGATTTGGCCGCCTTGTAGAAAATTGTGTTATCAGAGTTTGGCTGGAGGTGTGAGTAGTAGAAACCCGGTGTTGTGATCATGGGATTATTGTAGTTATCTGGCCCGCCCTCGACCACAAGGATTGACAGTTCCGGATCAGCTTCGGCCAGGCGTCCGGCTATAATACACCCAGCGGTTCCCCCTTCATAAGATCACTAATCAATGTATGTTTGATGAAACGAGGTCGCTATTTCTTACCTCCCGCAATAATGACGTCCACCTCCTCAAGATCTGCAGCCAGCTTTTTATATAGGCCCATAATGATTTATGGGAATATCCGAAATGTCATAAGTGATAGAACGTAGGATATTGGATTATGTACACACGGTACATGTATTTGTTTATATACCCGACTCAAATCGCTATGTTCTAGTCGTCCCTTGTAATGTACTACCTATCACGGTGAAAGAAGCCGTATTTCCCCGCATGTATGACAGTGCCTCCCGGTTTGGCGACACAATGGCCATGATTAAGCACCCGTTGGGGTAACATCTTGGCTGAGTGGCGGACTTTTAGTATCATGCATGAGACAGGATGCTAGGCGATCTAATAAAACTAATCTCAATTGGAATGTCAAATACAACTAAACTATAGGTTCTGAAGCATAGGTGAGGCGTAGAACATAGCATTACCGCGGTAGTCATATGATTTTGACATTGTTCTAGGTTTGGCTTGTTGATGACGACTCGATAATTAAGGTAAAAATATGTGAAGCTCTGGGCATACTCCGGTGAGATTTGCCCCGAGACTCAGAGAGGAGTCCAAGTCAGCAGCTCGAATCCAGATATACCGGAAGGAGTTAGCAAAAGGGTCAAAAATCAACCCAGGTAAGCTTATCGACTACCTATACTACCTAGCGAACTGGGGTTTTCTCAGAGTCTCCCGAATCTTCATCGAGAATTGAGGGGAGAATAGTGAGCGCCACTATGCGAGTTATCATGAAAAGGGTATATACCTAACTTACACTAAGCGAGACCTACTATATTTTTGTCGACGGTGTGCTATTAATTAAACTATACTTGTGTAAGTGTGAACAATATAACGGGCTATTGGTTTATATTTTAACATACTGAAACGTCTTAATAATTTGAAAGGTGTTTTAGGTAGACCCGTGCTAGCAAGTTCGTGTTCTAGACTAGGTACTTTCAAATGAAATCTTATTAAAGAACTTCATTTGGTAACAACCATAGGAAGTTATGATAATGGCGATGATGCGCTCCAGCTCATGACTTGTTTTATATGAGATAGGTAATTAGTAATAAGCCATAATGGTGCACACACGTAATCAGAAATAAAAGAAGCGGTGGAATATAGCTCAAAGTCTGTTAATATTTTAATAGGGCAGAAGGCAGTATCCGTAGTAGGTAGTCGTTATATATATGTCCTGTCTCAGAATTTAATAATTTATATGGTGGTTACCTACCTACCTATGTACCTATCTATACACAAGTACGCAGTTAAGAGGTATGTAACACTGTTATTAGTCTTGCCTCACATATGGAATCTTACCTCTTCGCTATTGATTTCTTGGGAAGTACGAAAACGGTGGTACGTATAGCACAACATGAACTATTGGAGGTGGCTCCAAGAACAAAAAGGGTAGAAATGTGCTAGCGTCCAATATAAAGTCTTCTGGGCTACCTGCATGTGCGCCTCGTAGCTGTTCCGTGTCGAACAGCAAGCCACACGTAGTGATCTTACTGCAACAAAGAGGGTGATCTGGCGAGGTGATCAACATGTTCAATCTGGCAAACAGCGCTTGCTGGTCCCCTTTACCAATGTTTTCATTCCTCTCTTCTCATTCGAGGGATTTAAATAGTAGATATCAACGTGCTGCTTTTATTCGTTTCAATGATCGTCAGCTCGGTACGCTTAGTAAGCGTTAGATAAAAAGAGTGGATCTTCCTGGCACTAGGCACAGTACAAGTTAGGTAATAAATATCCTACATACGGCCGTACTTTTTCAGACGCCGTCCTGCTTACCGCATAGAAGTTTTACCATTTCAGGATTAGACAGACGTTAAGTGGGAAGTGATAATAAAAAAGGCGAAAAAGTAATGCATGAACGGGGAGTCGAACCCCGAGCTCAACCTTGGAAGGGTTGAATGTTACCGCTACACCATTCATGCTTCGGGACCATTCATCCCTATTGGATGAAAACCTGCTGCCATTAAACAGTCCTATAGATCCCTCACGCGTTTTCCAACTCTACTTCAGACCACGATTGTATTTGCTTGCAAAGTCGGAAGCGTTCATAATGTAAAGTCCTAGGAATAGGTTGATAAATTATCTCCTCGGAAAAATTATTGTCGAAATCCTGGACACAAATTCTGATGGTCACGTGTTTTCTCTTCCGAACCATCTAAGATTCTCTGAAATCACGTGATACGGCGTGGAACACATTGATAAAAGTACATGTAATACTAGAAACCTCTTCGATCTTTTAATCGCCTGCATTGGTTTTATCTGACAATTATCTCCTGTACCACGATTTTTATTGGACTAGCACTAGGCCAAAATTTCCAAGATCATCTACGATCATCGACGTCAACCTTGTCCTGATCGCTCTTTATTTCTCCTACTTGAAGGGGTAAAGTATCCAGGGCTGTCAGTTTGCTTACCTGGTACCTAGGTAGCCAGATGAAGCCGAGGACCTATACCAGTCCTTGCCCGCATATTATCGACTATATATTAATGATTATTCGTAGAATCCCTCCAATTTTCCAGCCTATCATAAACCCATACCATTTTTACCCATGCCTAGCATCTCACCTTGAGCTCCAACCCAGCCTTATTAAACCTCACGAACGCGAAGCATAAAAACCCGATAAAAGTCATCGAAGCTGCCCACGCTTGCGCACCTGTGAATTTTCCACCGCTGGCAGCCTGGATTGCCCCACCAATAGGTGGTCCGGTCAATGAGGCAAAAGAAGAAATGCTAAAAGCCATCCCCAGCCTCGTTCCAACCGTGTCCAGTCTCTTCGTGATGCTTGCAACCGTCGTTGCCGTGAGACATTGGAAGCTCCCCGAACAGATACCGTAGAAACACGTGAAGACGTACAAGCCTGGTACGCTGTGCACGCCCAACCAGCAAAACGCCACAAGAGCCCACGCGAAGGTCACGGGGAACATGACATTGATTGGTCCGATGCGATCAGCGATGATGGGAGGTATAACTCGGAATACGATTCCGGCTCCGTTGATAAGGATGACCATGATCGAGGCAGCCGAGTACGAGAGGCCCAATGATTCTCTGCCAAAAGATGCGATCTACATTAACAAGTTAGCGAAACCCTTACCGTCCTCGGTACGTTTGGTGCTACTTACATAATAGAAGGTGAAGTAGTTGGACATTGATGTCGCGAATATTCCGCCCACGACTCCCAAATATGGCAACTCGCGAAACGCGGACCAATCGATAATGGGGCCTGATTTCCTAGGCGGTAGGCGTGGGCGCATAAAGGCAAACACGATGGAAAGACATGTTAAGTTGATGAACGCTAGCACTCTCGTAGTCCATGCGAACCCTAATGTGGGGATCAACTGCCTAACAACGACCGGATAGATTATTCCGCCAGCTGAGTTACCCGTCGTCGCAAGCCCGACAGCGAGGCCACGTCTCTCGTTGAAGTAAGTCGCCACGAGGGCGAGAGACGGGGTGAAGAAGATTCCGGCTCCGATTCCCGTCAGGACGCCCTGGGTCAGCATCAGAGACCAGTATTGGTTTGAGATGCTCATCAAGAACATCCCGAGAACTTGAATGACCGCGCCGACCAGAAACGTCGGCAAAAACAGACCGGCGTCGAGCAGACGGCCAGATATGACGCTTATGACCTAATTATAAGGTTAGTAAAACGACTGAGCTATGTTCTATTAATGGAGATGCATACTAGGCAAAACCATATCTGCACAGACCCAATCCAAGATATCGCGGAGGGAGTCTGTGGCAGTACGGATGTGTAGTAGGTCTGAAAGCTACCAAACGAATTTACCCATCCCCATGTGGTGAAGATGACCAGCCAGCCCACTGTTGCGAGTTAGCGAACTTGGTCTCATTGTTTCTCAGAGCGTCTGAGACAGAAGACACTTCATGAGGAATGTTGCGAGGATTGCCTACTTGCGACTTGCGTCCAGGCATTGATACCTCCATCCGGCGGAGGCGGTGGTTCGGGCCATGTCCTGGTGGTGATGCGTGAGGCGACGTGTGCGATGACATTGCTGGTGGTTCTCCTTACTTCCTCTGAGACTGTCGAACGTACGTCTCTTGTGTCGGATCTCTGCGCAATGCCGTCCTCGTCCTTGGTTCCGTTTCGTCGGATAGGGATGTCATCGAAGGAAGAAGCGACGGATCCACCGTCGTCTTCATGGGGTTCGGCCATTGCCGAGCCTTGCTTTTCTTGGAATTGATCACCACGGTCTTGGCTCGCCATGATTGCAATTGTGACCGCCAAAAAGGTATGAAGAAGTTGAGTCGAAAGAAATTAACAAAAATTTAAGTACGATGGCCATTTCAAGCACATTAAAGTTGGAAAATCTCACCATAAGAACGATCAATCACAATAAGCACATGTCACGGTATACTTCGATTTGGCACTCCGCGTTCGGCGCCATTGAAAGGTTATTACCAAAAGAACTTAATAATATAGCCTATAGGGAACCCTTCGGCTCGATACGAACCCACCAACACGCCCCGAGTGCCGCTCCGACTGTTCTCTCAATGTGGAGGAGATGTGGAGCCGACGTGCAGGAATCCGGGGCGACGAAAGCGACCGGAGCGGCTCCAGGCGATCGTCACAGGGGAACCCACAAGTCCGCAACATTCTATTGGATACATGTTATCAATCGGCTGCTTTCCATCTTGATTACCCAGGGACAGAATTTTTCGATATTAGGGGCCATTTGTCTCCTTGCTTCCCAAAGGCCCCCCGACTTTTACTTTGGCACCTTCGATTACAAGATTCCACGTCAATTCCCACATTATGGAATTTTTCCATACTTGTTGATAAGTCTGAAGCCTTCACCGACTTTGGAAACCCAATATTTTTAGTCCGGCATCGCACGTGAATCGCGGTGAAGACGACCGACATCCAGCGGCCGGATCGTGCTGTTAACGGTTGAAGTAGACGTCGTGAATAAATGCCAACTAACCTCGGTCGATGCGGTTGATAGTGGTAACATTGAACACAACTTCGGCGGCATATTATCCTGCGCCATGCAACTCTATCCAACGGCATTCTGCTTAATATCCAATAGGAGGAAGTCCTACTTTTGGAGATGGCATAACAATGTCACTTCAATCTAAACATTTCTTAAACAGGAAGACGGCTTTACACCAATACCATGCGGAGAGCCAATTAGAACTTAAATCAAGTCTCATAAATCAATTTTCATATTAACTTAAGGATATCGCCTAAACAGGGACTCCGATCATCTACCCAACACTAGTTAGCAATTTAGGCCATACATTTGAGAATCATGAAGGGTGTCATGTTTGACTTTATTGAACCCTCGCGCCACTCACTACTAAATTCAAAGAAGATTCATTAGGTCAAGATACTAATAACAGTAGATGAAGCTTAATTACCTAAGATCTAGTATAAGCGAAGGTTTATATATCACACATTCTAACCCCATATTATTTGCTGTAGATGGTGGCGTATGGTTCGAGTGACTTTTTGCGGGTGATATAGGGGATTGTAAGCCCATGGAGAAGGAGGAAAACCCTCGAACTAACAAGATCTCAATAGCGAAGTTGCATAGCTGGAAACTAAACACTGGCGCATTCGGATACTATTTAAACCATAGGATATGGTTAACAGCTTACCGAGCCCAGGAAACCCGGATTCTGACTACCAATACTTCCAAGTTCTGTTGATTATTCAATTGCCCCAGGAAGCGATCAAACGACTGGGAGACGTCGCCTCGATATTTGCAACCATCACTAATTACATGGGAAATCATATTTTCTAAGAACCAATATATATCTAAATTTAGAAGGTATTCGACTCCTGCCTCATCAGATCATCTACTAAAACCATGTATATAGGTAGGTATTCCTTCTATACCTAGGTAACAGTCGATCGATACTGTCAACCAGCGAAATTCTCACGATGATCTATACCCCACCCGTCTCTCACATCGCACAAGAATGCACATGTTTCAGCCGTACTGAAGTCCGATGGAGGCGAGGCGGAACGGACTCAATATCAAGAAGTCGGCGCAGCTGAAAATCGAGAAAAGCAAGATGATAATGGTCCAAACGTCGGGACCGACCCATGCAACGTAACATACCTACCTCTCTGGGTCCATATTGTAGTATTGTATTGGGGTCCATTGCAATGTTCCCGGTGACGGTTTCCAGAGCGTTCAGCACATGACGGCTGGGGCTTGCTTCTGGCAGGTTGGCGGGTATCTCCTTAGTTGATGCAAGACTAATTCTCCACAGTACAGGTAGTGTACATGGTGATAATTGCTTCATGGAGCGACCTCGTGAGCGTTGAGGCTCTTAATACGACTATAAAGTGGATCTAGCACACCAGATTTAAGATGTTAAGAGTGCCGGTAGACCCCGGAGACTGTTCGCAATAACAATTACTAGTTCCGGTGGAGTTGCAGTCTTGTGCCAACTAATGGGATATAGTGCAAATGGCCAGTCGCCCCTTGTTAGAGCCTCTGTCTGCCTACCACGCATCGCCGTCGCTAAAGACAATAATAGAATGAGGGCTAAGCAATTGGTAAGAGATTGTTGAAAGTGGACAATCGGGCATTTGTACATTTCTGGGCAAATCCGATGTCATCAATCCCATCATTTCTACCTTACGCTGTACGCCACGCGTCCAAACGTGGGAAAGGGAAAAAAAAGAAATCCTAAGATTTTCTTCATCGGACCTATATTGCGAAGGTGGTAAGGCGCTTTTTGTAGTCATCACATTAGATCAGCGTGGGGTTGATAGCTATGGTGTTTCTTTTTATAGTCTGCGGCTGAAGTCAGCTCCTTATTCCTTATCAAGCAGCTGTTAAGGAATCCTACCTTGCACTTCTGTCAGCAGAAAAGCTTGCTGCTGCTCGAACCCCTGTACCTACCCAAGCTACAGCCCTAGGGACTGCTAGAGACTTTCGAGTGTTGGCAGGACTTCTGTTTGTGAAACATGCACAAGACAAAATCTATGCTCCCCTTAAGAGTGTCATATAGGGACTTCTGCTAGAATGCACGAGCTGGAATTTTTGTTTGTTGGTTTCTTATCATCCCAGCCTAATATCGATCCGGTTGGTAAGGGTTCGGGGTCGTGTCAGAAACAGTCGTTAGTCCCAAAACCCCTGATGAACGGTTTCGCAAGGTTTCATACCACTATTTCCGGCAAGCCCATTGTGCGCTCCACGCGAGGCTGGGGGAATCGATTCCTAGCTTCTAGCCCCCAAATGTAACCAATTTTTGTAAATGGGACTAAAAGCTCGGGCTCCGCCACGTTCACGCACATATGCAGGGAGCCTCATAAGTCACGGGTGTGTTTCTCCTCCTGGGTGCGCCAACGAAGTTGGGAAGCTGGAGCTTGAAGGAGCCGAATGGTTCGATATAGATATGAGTAGAGGATTTCCCGTGAGAATGTGTACGATTCTTTCTTAAATAATTAGCTAGGTAGACACGAGCTTCGTTACTGCCGCATGTTCAAGATCGTCGGCGATTCAATATCACAAAATGTTTCTCACAAATCCATTCCTCACATTAAGTTGGGCTCTGGCTCTGAGCTCCGTATCGGCAGCCACGCCATCACCAAATCTTGCAGTCGACGTGCGAAATGCCCCGGACTCATCAACCGCAGACACTCTTCTTGCGCTTCGACGCTCTCTTGCAGGTATCAAGAGAGACACGGTATTAAAAAACAGCACGACGCTGGACAAAAGCTGGAATGGCGCAACTTTGCTTAGCATCGCTGCTCAAGACAGCACGAAAAACAATGTATCGCTGAGCGCCGGCGTCGACATCACATGTACGACATGCTACATCAAAGGCAATGCGATAGCGCAGTTCTCAGTCGATGGTAGTTTCAATGCTTCCCAGGCGATCCAAAACTTCACAAGCGAAGTCATGACCGAGGTCCTAAACACTACCGACCAAGTCATCGACTCCATCGAGGACTACTTTCCAACGGTGCTCCACAACCTCGCCAACGGCATAGACCTAAACGACTTCGACTTCCCTCCCATCAACGTCACCTTTGACGTTGACATGCCGGATATCCCTGAATGTCATCTGCAATTCCAATTCGATGACCTAGAGCTGTACCTGCTCATCGACACCGTGCTATCTGCCGGGGCTACTTACAACCTGAACCTGTACTCCTCGAACACGCCCATCGGCATCTCCGCAGGCAATGACTTATTCCTCGGCGTCGTCTTCTCAGTCGACTTGATCCTAAGCGTCAACGCAGAGATCGACATCAGCAGCGGGATCCACATCAAGCTAGACGACGGCGTCGGCCTCGACATGTCCCTATTCGGACGCAACGTCTCCAGCATCACATTGTAAGCAACCATCCCCCCCCCCCCCTCCCCCTTTCTTCCCCATCCACCAGAGCCAAATCCCTGTACCTCGACACGCTAACACCAACTCCCGCGCTCTACAGCAACGGAGCGAACTTCGAATTCCTGCCCGTAACAATCGAAGGCGCAGGCGGCGTCCTCAACGCCGTGCTGCGCCTCGGCGTAAAAGCCGGGTTCGAGCTCTCGACGCCCGGCGTCGCGATCCCGAGCCTATCCTTCTCGACGAAAGCCAGCGCGGGCGTCGGCGTCAGCGTCTGGGCCGACATCGCCGAGTTCGCGACGAACGTGACGGCGGCGCCCGCCGGCTCCGACGACGCCGACGATGGCTGCGCGCTGAGGGTCGAGCAGACGTACCAGTTCGGGCTGGGCGCCGCGGCGGGCGCCACGCTCGCGATCGGCGCTGAGACCTGGGGCCCGAGCCCGAATACGAATATTCCGATTTTCTATACGACGATCGCGGATGTGTGCGCCGTCCAAGGTAAGACTACGACGACGACGACGGTTAGCGCGGCTACGGCGGGGGTTACTGCTAGGGCTGATGAGGGCTTGACAACTACGACACTTACTTCGGAGGTCACGTTTACGGGGACGGGGTGCCTGACTACCGGGTTGGTTAATTGTCCGGCGTCGTCGCAGACTACGACTAAGGTCACGAGTACCATGACTTACGTCACGTCGGTGGCTTCGGGTGTGGAGGCGACGTTCCCTGCGTCTACGGGAACTGGCGTTGCCACTCCGGTGCCCTTCGGCACCAATAAGAAGTCCATAGATGCTACGACAGGGACTCCCGTATCATACACGCCGCCGCCGCCGACGTCATCGGGGGATTCCACTGTTTCCGCCGAGCACCCGCTTGGCGAGGTCGACGGCGTGGATAAGAGGATCATAATCGGTGTCAGCGTCGGCGTTGGTGTTCCCGTGCTTATCGGAATTGCTGTTGGTATCTTGTAAGTCCCTATCCCCATCACCCCTGATTCGATGAGTTTGCTAACATCCAGCCGTAGTTTCTGCCAGAAGCGCAGGAGATATGCGTCGCTCCCCAAGGGCGATACAGTTTACTTCGGGGCACCCCAGCCATACGGAGGTAGCCAAATGGCAAAGAACAGGATGGTCGCGAACCATTAACCCAAGTACCTTGCGAACTATAGGATCATGTTCAGTTGGGTTACGAAATTTTTAGGGCGTTTTTGGATTTATTTCACGAGTTTTGATATCCAATGATGAATGATGTTTTAGGATCTTTATAGCGTAATTGTATATGTTCATGTTCATCATACTGAGCAGCGAACGTGACTGGGATCAAAATGGTACTTACTACTTTTCCTAGCATTCTGTTGCCCATATCGGCTTGACCCTCCGAAATATCGTCTCGCATCATAACACGCCCTGGAAAAGTGGTAATCCTGGAAAGAATCAATTGGCGACAAGGAGCCTGTCTTCCGGTCGGCTAGTTTGTGAAGGACTGAAACCAGTCTCGAGATCAAGGACTGTGCTTTGGCTGCCAAAATCATCTTGGTCGTGACGTGCTTGTAATTTATAGCGGTGATGCGTGTTCATTACTGGCGTCGAATCGCTACTAAATCTCCGCCGGATAGATCTATGTGCCAACCAGGCTAGCACTGGCCGAATTGAAGGTAGACAGCAACAAACGACCGCGCTTAGCATTTCCACGGCTGACCAAATCATGCCATGAACGAAAGAGACTAAAAATACTATGTTAGTAATTATACAGCTCAGCTTACGTTTAGAAATAGACATACATGAGAAATCTTCGAAATCCAGGTTTAGCATGAAATAGATGCGCATGCTGCTCGCGGCAACGACGAAAGCCCCTAGAGCAAAGACACCGCTGATGGTAAGTTTGCTATGCCAGGGTAGCCGAAGGCGCCATACATCGCGCATAGGGAGACATAGTAAGATGGCATCGGTAAGGATGTTAGAGATGGATATCCCGATGTAAAACCATTTCGAGTCGATGCACTTGGTGGGCACATTGTAGTCTGGCAGAACGGAATCCCAGAATCCTCGGATTGGATTGCAACTGAAGATAGAGACCAACACAACAGCAATACCCCACATAATGACTACAACAGCTAGGACCATGGTGCTGGCGAGCATAAACCGCGTGGGGAACAGCTGTCGATATAATGTAATGATGGATAGCTTGACTAATGTGAAGCTGATGCCGTAAGCCATCTCCCCGAAAAAAACATTGAGTAAGATCTGGCGGACGTCGCCTAATGGGACAGACTCGATATGCAAACCGAGGCCGAACGGAACTGCTCGGCAATATTGATCTCAGGTTAATTTTACCAAACCAGATAGAGGCGCCATGAAAGATGATTGGATAGGGATCTTACCACAAGCTATCATGAGCAGAGCCCCGAGCCACGAGAAGACTAGGCCACCAATAGCAAAGTAGTCAGACACGAGAAGCCTTGAATGTTTGATACGCCGAGATGAAAGACGCATGGCCAACGCGGCGAATGCGAGAATCATACAAGGAATTATGGTGCTGATGATTTGCCGGCGAGCGTCATCAGCCTGGTCGCGGGAGGGAGAGGTTTGAGATGGTTGAGAAGAACTCATTCCTGGTTAATGAATGTATTGAGATTAGGTCTGGTAGAATAAATGCTATATATGATCCGATAGTGAAGATTACCGATCCAAGGCCATCATGTAAACGAGATGGTTATGACTTGATGACCATTGTCTGATCTATAATGAGGCTCTAGCCTGAGCCATCAACCTTTTATTGATGCCATTAGAAGAACTCTTAGGTACTCAAGTACGGGATCGTGGAAGACAGCCTTGCGTTTCACAACAGGATAGAATAAAGTGATAGGCGTGGCCGAGGTGGCTCCGATTTGCTATAGTAAATATCTCCTACTTAATGCTATTAGCATTATACGATCAGATTGGCGCATCATTTAACCGGCAAGACAATATTGACACCAGTAGACCTTATACTGTTGTATTTTTGGGTTACAGGGAAATACATGTGGTACTATGAAGCAGGCTCGTAAGGTAGGCAACCATTCTGGTATACTATCTCAATATGTTGGATGTGGATGATGCGGTTGGATGCATTAGTCATTGGACAGGAACATGCTGGTGGTGCACACTGGAGAGGCGGGGTTAAGGGAGACTTTGTAAACATCGAGGGTGCGAGCTGAAGGGCTGCACTTAGCCGTTGTTGCCTGGGAATGGTCGATGTGCCATACTGGCGAACTTCAGATAGATGTCCTTCCTCATCTTGGATTCGCGATGCCTTTTCTATAGGCATGTAATTGGTCATGCTGTTCATGGAACCTCCTCAAAAAGCTTCGAGGTAGATATATGGAGAAAATAACATGAACTGCTGACTGCTTATATTCTTATACTTATGTCTCCATTGACTTTCTGTAAGCTTATCGTCCTGTATGTTGTGGCTTTGAACCATTTATGTAAGATCTGAGATTCTGATATTCGTTATTCCCCTATTTTGAGATTAGGTGATAATTGCGTTCCATGGTCGACGATCAAATTTTAAGGGACTGGAGAAATGCTTGGGTCTCGGAGCAATTTATGTACGGATTTGATGACATAAAAGCAAATGAGATGAACGAGATAGGCTTTTATTTCGTCGGCTTTACGTATTTTGTGATTGCCCTCCTTTTTCAATTCAGTGTTGAAGAGTTGAAAGTGAAAATGAGTAGCGAATTTCAACCGTTGAAGTCAAAGCAGGTTGTCAAGCCTCATTGAGGGGCACTCCAAGCCACAGTGCTATTTCAACCTGGTCGTGGCTTCAATCTGTCAATGCCTGAATCGGAGCTGACCTTGTGCTACATTAGGTGCCTGGCCTGCTGGCATGAGCCCTGAGCCCTGAGCTTGGGGCAGGCGCATACCGGTGTTCGCCTGACAGGGAGCATGTGCAGCAGGTGGTGGTTTCCCTTGTCGCCGAGACAACTTGGACGATCCACAAAATTTTAACCCGAAAGAGCGCCATTATTCTCTAGTCTCCACGGCTGACCGATACTTTTATCTCCTCCATCTCCATTCCTATCTTACTAGTAATAGAGGGGGTGTAATCAAACATCATTCGATCACCGTTGCTGCATCTGCTGCTCTTGCTAATACGATTTGCTCGATTTGCTCGATAGGAATCCGGACATTCGGATTGCCTTTCTATTGGCAGCTGAATTTTTCGAGACTTTCTTCGAACATCTTTTTGCAAGTCGTGCATAGCATCGGTATTATTAGCAACTATCAACCACCAATAAATCTATCTTCACCTCCGCTTGTTTTTCGCCCACGATGTCCGGCACAATGAGAGGTACGCCAAGTCGCAACCAAAATCGCGGCGGCCGAGATCCATTTGGGGGAGCTGCCAGTCCTGCCAATTCAAACATTCCTAGACCAGTTCTCGACGGTCATGGCCATTCTCACCAACCCTCGCCGAGCGATGCCGCCTCCGGAATTAGCGCAAGTAGACAGAAGCAGAGCAAACGAGATGAGGTATATGGCGCTATGTCTACTATACTACCTACGCTATTGGATGCTGACCTTAGTCGCTAGGCCATCCGAAAGAAACTGGAGAGCGATCTCTCCAAGAAGAAGCACCTCACCGGCCGAGCTCGACATTCGCGCAAAGCCCCACCCGGAACCGTCCTCGCTCTCAAGCCTAGCCCTGCCCTCCAGATCAAGCCGGGCACCACTGTCGCCGAGGCCGCTCAGCTAATGGCAGCCAAGAGGGAGGACTGTGTGCTAGTTACAGATGATGATGACAGAATCGCTGGTATCTTTACGGCGAAAGATCTCGCTTTTCGAGTAGTCGGCACTAACCAGAAGGCCAACAACGTCACTATTGCCGAGATCATGACTACGAACCCCCTTTGCGCCCGCACCGATACGAGCGCCACCGAGGCTCTCGACCTCATGGTTCGCCGAGGGTTTAGACATCTGCCTGTCATGGATGAGAACCAGGACATCTCGGGTATCCTCGATATCACGAAGTGTTTCTACGATGCCATGGAAAAGTTGGAGCGCGCATACGCATCTTCGACAAAGCTCTATGCCGCGTTGGAAGGTGTACAGTCCGAATTAGGTACTAGCCAACCCCAGCAGATCATCCAGTATGTCGAGGCTCTGCGCTCCAAAATGTCCGGGCCAACTCTAGAGAGTGTGCTGAACGGTACACCACCCACAACCGTCAACGTCAGAACCACTGTAAAAGAGGCAGCGACACTGATGAAGGAGAAACGCACCACTGCCGTGTTAGTTCAAGACCAAGGTCAAATTACGGGTATCTTCACGAGCAAGGATGTGGTATTGCGAGTTATCGCACCTGGTCTAGACCCTGCGACCTGCAGCGTCGTTCGCGTCATGACACCGCACCCCGATTTCGCCCCCATGGATATGAGCATCCAAGCTGCTCTCCGAAAGATGCATGGTCAGTCGCTAATCTACCCAATGTCGTAAAAGAAGCAGGGATGTTATTAACTAACATATTGTGCAGATGGTCATTACCTCAACCTCCCGGTTATGAATGACCAGGGTGAAATTGTTGGCATGGTTGACGTGCTTAAGTTGACCTATGCGACACTTGAGCAGATCAACACCATGGGAACGTCAGGTGACAGCGAAGGCCCCGCGTGGAACAAATTCTGGCTGTCTCTTGACAATGAGACTGAGTCGATGGTTTCCGGGGATGGCAGTCATCACCACGGTGGCACTATGGTATCCCGGTCTATATTGTCCCCCGATGCCCAGCGTGAACGTATGAATGACTTGGTAGCGCCCGGTGATAGCGCTTCCCATGTGGGCGCTGAATCATCGCCGGTACACTCCTCGCTTGCCCACCAACAGGCGGGAGATACGCCGTTTGCGTTCAAATTTAAGGCACCAAGTGGTCGTGTCCATCGATTGCAAATCGTCGCGAGCGATGGCATCGAAAATTTTGTTGAGAGCGTGTTAGGTAAGCTCGGCAGCGAAGTGGACGCCATCGGCGGTGCACCAGTAGTAGAAGATGGCAGGCTGAGCTCCGGCGGTTTTGCTATGAGCTACCTAGATGACGAGGGCGACACAGTCAGCATCACGACTGATCAAGATCTCCTGGAAGCGGTTCTGCTCGCGCGACACCATCACCGCGAGAAAGTTGATCTTTTTGTCCATGATCCGGAGAAGCCACCGGTTGCCGCTGCCCCTCAGCACGATAACTTTGCTACCCCGGCTCCAAGCTCGGCTCCCTCCGATGTTCGTCGCAGACGACATACGCACGATGACGATGAGGAGTACGAGAGCGACGAGGACTATGCGTCGGCCAGGCGTCGTAAGAGAAGCAGTGCCTACATCGAGCCCGAACAGGTTATCGCCGGCGTGCCTAACGAGTTACTACTCCCCGGTGCTATCGTCGCTCTAGCAGTGGTCATTGTAGGCGTTTTCACCATCTCGAGGGCAACCAGCCGGTAAGAAGTTTTGACAGTTGGAAGTGGAAGCATGGCTATCGGAGTTTGCGAGTGCAAGGGGGGAACATGGGGGAACAGGAATGCGAGATGGGGATGTAGATACTTGTTCTCAACCCTGATGGTGAAGAATAGATCACTTCGTAATAGCTAACTTATACCTGGCCTATTGAAATTACATTGAGTTTTCTACATTCACTATCTTTGTGAATTTGCACATGCAAAATACGAGTGACACGTCATTGAAGCATTTCGTGCCCACCAAATCAAAGGGGGGAAATCGCACTGCACATAATTACGTACAGAATTAAAGTTAAATCAAATTGTGGGTCGGCGCGGGATTACGTTGTCCCTAACCAGACCCCTGTCAATTGAATCTTGAACCTTGCATCGTTCAATTCAAGAAAAAAGAGTTGCGATATAGCTGAGCGAAACTACACAATACGCTAGCAATCGTCATAACCATGATTATAAGAGACCTGGGCGTTCGTCATGGTAAGCTACATATACTATACTTGATCAGGTACATATGGATGTCAGCTAACAAGACGTATCTAGCCCGCAGGGCATTGGCGACCCCTCTCCGCCAGGCCTGCCTCCGCTGCCTCTCTACGCAGACCCCAACCTCACCACCGACGAGAATCACAGACATATCCGACGCCGACCTCGCCGCGACCGCCGCAGCTCTCGAAACGCCATCGCAACCACAATCGGCATCCCCATCCCCGCAGCAGCACCCCTCCATCTTCACAGCGAACGCCCGCGCCCCCTCGTCGTCGCGGCGGAAGAAGCCGGCGGCCCCGGACACGACGGTGGCGGACTTCCAGCTGAAGACGCACCTGAAGTCGAAGATCGGCCGGCTGGGCGCCCGCGTGCAGCGCACGTACAGGCCGAACGACGTGTTCCGCAACCCGCCGGGCCCGAAGGACGTCACGCTGGAGCTGCTGATGGCGTCGCAGGCGCACATGGGCCACCACGCGTCGCTGTGGAACCCGGCGAACGCGCGGTACATCTTCGGCGTGCGCCAGGGCATCCACGTCATCTCGCTCGAGCAGACGGCGGCGCACCTGCGGCGCGCCGCGCGCGTCGTGGAAGAGGTCGCGTACCGCGGCGGCTTGATCCTGTTCGTTGGTACCCGGGCCGGACAGATGCAGATCGTCACGCAGGCGGCGCGGCTCGCGGGCGCGTGTCACCTGTTCACGAAGTGGACGCCCGGGTCTATTACGAATAGCGAGGTTATTCTTGATGGCATGCCCATGCAGATTCTGGACGAGAATGACGAGCCGGTTGTCGGCTTCGAAAAGCATCTCCAGGACCGCAGGCCGCTGATCCCGGATCTGGTGGTATGTTTGAATCCCATGGAGAATTACACGCTGCTGCACGAGTGCTCGCTGGTCAACGTGCCGACGATTGGTGTCATTGATACGAATGCGGAGCCTACGTGGGTTACGTACGCGATCCCGGCCAATGACGATAGGTATGTTTCTGCCCCTGATTTTTTTATCTAGTATAGGATTTGATATTCTGGGATATTTGAACTATATAAAAGGCTCATGCTAACTGCTCAAATAGTCTGCGGTGTCTGGCTGTCATCGGCAGCGTCCTCGGCAGAGCAGGTGAAATGGGTCAGAAGCGGCGCATGGATGATGCCAAGAAGGGCATCGTAGCGTGGGAGACGCCACTCGACGTTGCCAAGTTTATGCAGGTACAGCGAGCTATTCGGGAGAAGGAGGCCGAAAAGGCCGCTGCTGCGTCGGAAGAGGGCAGATCTGCCCCTTCTTGATCGGACGAGGTTGGATCTAGACTTGGAGGTAGGTAGAAACTACCTAGGCAAACATCAAATAAGGGGGAAGTACGTTGCTTCCCTATCTAAGATTATGTAAGGCTAGCATGAATGCCTTCTGTATAAAATGATCCACCCAATCAATATACTTGTCCGTGAAAGAAGACATGAACATTCCATACATATATTCATTATCTGAAGAATATCTAGTATCGTTGATTCTCTTTAAAGGCTTTGATTAATCCCGATATCCCGAAACCAGACCACGCTGACCAGCTAACCTATCCACCTCATTTTCCATAATGCGAAAAAAAAAAGATCTTGGGTATCCAATGCAAATATTTTTAAACGCGAAGTAGAAATAGGGATATATGTAAAGCGACGAGAACCCCAAGTCGTTACCCGGGCGTGTTGAATACGACGTTGTAGATGCTACTACGCTTGGTCGTACTCGACCCTCTCACCAGGCCCTCCTCGAGGCCAGCTTTACTGCCAGCTCCGCCTTCTTCATCTATCTGCCTGCCGTCGAGGTCGTGATCGTGATCATGTACTACCACGTCGTCGATGTCCATCTCCGAATCGATCAGCATGTCCAAATCGTCTTGGTCGTGGCCAGGCGGGTCGTCGGGGTGTCCGTGTAATGCGTGGTGGCTGTCGCCGTCGACGCTGTCGTCATCGTTGAGCAGAGCTTGGAAGGAGTCGGGTTCGTGGTGCGGGCTTGGGTGGTGAGTCTGGGTTTGTAAGAAGGGCATGGAGGCGTGGAGGGATGCGGGGTGAGGGCTGTAGGGTTCGTGGCCCGATAACGAGGCGTGCGAGGGGTGGGGGCTGGAGTGCGTTACTGTGTCACTGGGGTGAAAGGAGTTGAATGCGTGGGGATGGTGGTGGGTTGGTGGATGGTGTGCGGACTGGGATATTATCTGAGGGTCTATGGGATGGTACATGTCCACGGCTTCGTGCAACGAGGCTAGAGTGGCTGCGGAGTCGTGGTGGAGCTGGTTTTGCATTAAGGGGTGATGGGACGGCAAACTGTTATCTGACGGCGCCTGCATAGTAGGGTTCAACAAGGTCGTAATATCACCAGGATGGGCATATGGATTTGCTGAGCCGACTAAAGAAGGTAGATCATTGTGCGTAGGCGTCTGTAGCTCGGGGACCCTGCCGGTCGCGTCGACGCTTCCGGGTCCAGTCGCTTCGACAGGAGACATTCTCGGCGGCATAGTATTAAGGCCGACAACGGCGCAGTTGGAGTTTACGGTGAGGCGTCGGGAGCTAGTTTGATTCTGAACTGAAGGCGTCTTGCCCGCTTCCTTGCATTGGTCACACGTCCTAATTACATGCGAAACCGTCTCCTTAACGCGACTCCAGTGGTACTTCTCGGCGATCGTAGCCGTGGTCTTGTTGATGCCGGCGTGGCCGCCGGACTCGTGAAGGTGGCGCGAGATGTCCAGTTGGCGGACGGGATCGCTGATAACCTCCTTATCCTTAAGCATTAGGACGTCGTTTTCGAGCAATTTATAGTGCGTCGCGGCGCTCCGGAGCCTGCTTTTTTCGGCGCGGTCAGATCCATTCGGGTAGCGCCCGTATTTGAGGTAGAATTTGATTTTGTCGAAACGCTCTTCACTCACGAGAAGGGGTTCGCCGTTGCCCTCGCCGGCGCCGGGTCCTAGGTCCCGTCCGTAAATGATGGCGTCGATCAGCCGGTCGGGGTATGACTTAAGGCTGCCGCAACCCTTGACACGCCCGATGCGCTTGAAGCCGAGGGCATCCCAGATCTTACACGAAGCCACGTTCGTCTCATACACGAGGTTGAAAACCGAGTACGAGTACCCAAGCTTCGGCGCCCAGTCCAGGTAGCTCTCGCCCATAAGTCGGCCGACACCACGGTTACGGGTGGCTTCGGTGACGAGAAACCCGCCGTTACAGACGTGGCTACTGCGGCCGGGGTAGTTGGGCTTGATATAAAAACTGCCGAGACACTCTCGGGACCAATCCTTGCCCTCAACAACGTCGGCAGCACTCTCGATCTGGCCTAGAAGCATTATCCCGGCGAAATTCTGAAACCAGTACGCGGAGAACTTATCAAGGGGCATAGGATCTATCATAGGGTAGGTATCGCCGCCCTCGATCTCCTTTGCAAATTGGTCGGAGAGGTATGCCAGAAGGGAGACGGGCACTTGATCACGAGAGGCAAAGGGCACGACGGTAGCGATGGTTTGGCGGTCCCTTAAGGTCACCTGACGAGGAAGAACGTTCGGCGGCAGCTCCGGCTTATTTGGGTCCGGAAAAGGGGCCTGTCCGGTGACGCGGTAGATGGTCGGACTGGACGGGTCATCCAGAATTGCCGGCATCTTGCCTCGGAGTGTGACCTGACCTAGACATGTTACCTATCAACAATACGTACTTGATAAACATATCATATAACTCATCCCCTTATCCATATCTTGTCTTGTTCAGTCTTTCCTTTTCTTTTTCCTTTTCATATTGACAAAACACCACCAATTCCATATTTTAATAATCCTATTTTTCTGGCTCGAGGCAGCGAGGTATATAAAGGCAAAGGTCACGGAGTAAGTGATAACACTCTTACCAAATTTAAATAAGTCCGGCAATTGGTCCTTGATGTTGTGTTACCGTCGCCACGAGCTAAATTCCGTTACCCCTCGATTTGTTTTGCTGGAGGGTAGTCAGGGGTCCGGTTGGCGATGATGCGATGATGAACTGTGCGTCGGGAGGGGAAATTCGTAGATGTGAATATTTTAGAACGAGCCGCGAAATACTTACAAGCTACGGTAAAAGTTCGGAGCTAAACTAGTACACCAGATGAGATCTATGGAAGAAGATTACTAAGCGGATAACCCCCTAAGCCCCTTACATCGACTTACATGAGAAGAACATGAACCACCTCATCCTTTCAGATTTATCAAATTCCCATATATTCAGATGCTCAGATCTAATATGATCTAGGATTAAGTATTAACTACCTAGAAAGTACTAGCGTTGATTATTTCACCAATAAAGAATCCCTACGGTCTCAGGTCTCAATTGATACACCGATCAAGCAAGCCTCTCAATTCTACCCATTAATAATTCTTAACGCACATTTTGAATCGCATTTCAGATCCTAACCGCTCGGAAAGACTTTGCGGTGCGGGGTGAAGTTCATTTTAGGTCATGCTCCGTACGACCTCGGTCGGCCCGGTGGTAGGGGTTGGGTAACTCACACCAACACCAATTCGCTGTTGATCATTGAATCCTCCTTGCATGAACCCATACTTTCTTCACGGAGCCGAGTTTCCAAATCGATCCTAGATGCATATCTCCGCCGTGGAGTTCTCCCAATTCGGCCTTAGCTAAGAGTATAAGGTCTCACAGCTTTAGGGATAGATCTACAAAAAACATCATTCTGGTCTCTAGGACAGACATCATCTGGCAGCTTGATCAGCATCTGTATTTCAATCCCGCCATAGTATATACTATGTACAAGTATAGACCGAAGGATCAGAAGGGAGAAACCGACGCCGTTTCATCAGATATCTCTCCCAGTCTCATGTATAACCTAAGAGATTCACAGTCCGTCTTAGGTCACAACGAAGACGGCCATCTCCGAGCCAAAAAAGTACAACGCATCCCATGTCACATCAACACCAGCCGGGTTCGCTCGGTTATCTTCAGTCATCATATTCGTAACATTAAACCATGGTACACATATCCCCCCGTACACCAACCCAGTAACCCCATCCATCCATCCATCCATCCCATATTCCCTATCACGACCACGTAATCTTTTCCAAGTGAACCGTCATCCCTCCCCGGGGCCGCCACGTCACGGCCGGGTTCTGGACAGGCATCGGCGCGTCGCCCAACTGCTCGAGCCGCGGGCTGCGCGAGAAGCGGAAGTTGCGCAGCAGCTCGACCATCATCACCTTGAACGCGAGCAGCGAGTAGCTCTTGCCGATGCATATGCGCGGCCCGTTGCCGAACGTCTGCGTCGCGTACGGCGTCGCCGCGTCGCTCGCTAGCGCGTCCCACCGCTCGGGCACGAACTCCAGGACGTCCGGGCCCCATATCCGGGGTGACCGGTTCGTCACGGGCGGACTGAGCACGAGCTGTGTGCCCTTGGGTAGGAATTGTCCGCAGATGGTGACGTCTTTGACTGCTTCTCTCCAGGTGGCGGGGGCTATGACCGATAGTTTAGTATAAATGGACGGTTACCTAATTCCTTTTACGAAAGAAAGGACAGCTTACCTGGGCTGTATAAGCGTAATACTTCCTGCAGGAAGTTCTTCATATAGGGGAGTTTCTCGATTTCGTTGTAGTTGGGGATCCCAAATGTTCCCAGGTTCTGTATTACCTCGTCTCGTAGTTTATTTTGGATCTCTGGTCGTGTAGCTAAGACAAAGGAAGCCCATGTCAGAGCGCCGGAAGTTGTTTCGTGGCCAGCAGAAAGGAAGTTTTGCAACTGCGAATATTAGTTAACTTTGGTTGGTGGTTATGGCGGCTTATTTATAACTCACATGTCCACGAATATCCGCAATAGTGAGATCCTCCTTCTGTAATTCTCGTTCCTCTATCATGTAGGTCAAAAGGTCTCGTGACTCAGTCCCGCCGACCTTCTCTCGATCGGTTGACTTGAGATCTCGAATTCGTTCTTCGATGCACTGGTTAAGCATGCTATGAACTCCTCGCATCGCTCGCATGAAGCCCCAGTTAGCTTCTAATGGGAGGAATCGGCGAATCGGTATATGGACGTGGATGAAGCTGATTAACGCGCTTAATGGTGGTTGCGAGAGCATGCGGAAGTAGCATTGTAGGAAATCTAGTTTCAACTCCTCTGATCGTAGGTTCTCTAATTCAATGCCTAAGGCCGCAACTCCAATAGCGTCCAAGGTAGCTTTGCTGAATATCTTCTGAACTATTTATTGTTAATTCATTAGTCCGTGATTTCTATTCAATTTGGTTGGATATGCAAACCTTCGAGATTGCCGTTGCCATTCTCCTTCATCTTGCGCTCGATGAATGTTGTCATTTCCTCTGCCTTTTGCTGGAAGACCGGGATGAGCTTCTTCATGTTAGGGACGGAGAAGACATCTTAGTATTTGATATTAGCAAAGAACGTAGTAGATAAGATTAAGATATTCCCATACTCAGAATCATTCTTCGTTGTTTCTTATGTTCATGGCTCTCAGCAAATAGGAGGCCCGTCCCAACGATCTCGCCGAGCAGCCTTTCGAGGAACTTTGGTTTGACGAAGTCATAACACTTGGTCTGCAATATCTGCTTATGAGCCTCGATGGTGTTTATTAGGAGGATTTCTTTGTTGGCGAGAATGGGATAGCGGATGAATGGTGATTCGGGCCATGTCGCGGACCAGCTCATATATTGATCGATCGGAGTCGCGGCTCTATATAGATGTAGAAGTTGACCGATAAAGAAATGGTTATCCTAAGAAATCGTGAGTAGCTGCCACTATACATAAGTTGGTGTGATTAATACCTCTGGGCCGGGGATGTCTTTTAACGGAGAAACGAAATATGGATATATGAAGACGCGGTAGAATTTAATCACCAGCCATTGTACACTGAAGAATACTAGGAATACAAGTGCTTTACTCGTCGATAGATCCGATAATGCTTCGTGGGTTGGACTTAAGGCGGAGGTGATAAGTGTCTCAAGTAAGGCGAGACCAAAGCAAATTTGGAAGTCCATGGCCGTAGTTTCTAGAAGGCTATGTGAAAAGCCGAGTTTAAGATGAAATTGTCCGGGAATTGTTAAAACACTTATGAGATCCCCCCCAGGATATATCTATATCACTAGATATATTTCACTTAAGTACCCTTCCGATCCACCAACCGACGGATACGACCTAGTTGTGCGGGAAGGTCGCGCTACGCGGCTCCAGCTACACGGTTCAAGAGCTGAATACATGTTTTCTCATTGGATCTTTGCGATGCGAAGCATTCTGCGACACTGCGCCGGAACAAGGACCCGGGATCTAAAAAATAAATAAAAAAATCAGCCAAGGGTTTCAACATAAGCAAGACCATGTACGGTCCACAAAACTACGATGCAATTGCATGGAGGATTCATCCTTCTTCAGTTAAGGTTGCAAAGACTTACATACGTACTACCACGTCTGGACGTAATAACGGTGAACTAGCTATACTAGGCAGTTATCCACGGCCGGTAATGGTCGAAATCCTGGTCGGATACTGACCTTTTACATCTGCGTGCGCAATTCGCTGCTGAAGGCATTTGTCAGCCAAGCCACGATGATATCCATTGGAAATCATCACGATTCAACATGGCATTCGTAACGTACGAGACTTTAAAACGCATGAGAGATCTGAGGATTCGGGAAATTATCCTCTCTGACTAGTCCACGTTACCGAGTCGGCGGGTTTCGTAAATCCCCGGTGACCCCAGCGGTCCCAGTCGACCTAGACGTTCTTTGATATTCAAACACCATCAGTTGATTACTAGCGGCAGAAACGACGATAATCAGCCCGAGCTACATCGGTTTCCTAATTGGGGATGATCAACCCCGCAGCCGCACGTCGCCTGAACCGTTCTTTGGCTGTTCTATGGGATGATACACTTCGGGCGGATACACCCGGTGGACCGTGTCCATTCATGCGTGTACCCAGTCAAACGGAGGGCCATATATCGAATGCAGCTATTACTAGCTTTATCCAGGCCCTGGGTTCGAGTGTGACACGTGTAAACCAAGCAAGCTCCCTGTTAACCACCCTTCGAAGGAGCCGGGTTATTGGTCCACTCGAGCTGCCACCCACACCTCGGCTCCGGTGACGATCATGTCGAACAGTGCTCAACCCAGCCTGCCGGGTCGTGAACTCCTCAGCGATTACTTCCGAGGTTTCCGAGACATCCTAAAACCCATCTGCACCCATCGGATTGATATCATATTAAGCTCGATCGGTTTTCTGATGTAAGAATCATTATTGGAGCCTCATTGTCATTGGGTTACACTGCGGAGGCATTGTAGTGGTATATTTATATTTGCTGCTCACCGCTGTTAAACCGAATTCTTCGTGGCCGAACACGTTTTAGAGCCCGAAAATACCTTACGAAGCCGTTCAGAAAACTCACCAGTTCGATGCCCAAAACCCCGAGGTCGGTAGATTTGATTGGTGTTGGGTAATGTCAATCTTTTTGGTTTGTAAATAGTTTAACGTCGCCTTGCAGACCGTTTTTGTGTTATCTACACTAACGATGATGGCACGAAGCAAGAAACGTCTTAGTGCAAGGTTACTTGAAAAGGCACAGTAGACGCGGTTGTGCATAAACTATGATTCGATTGGGCGCCAACATGACGTTCGCTGCGACATTATAGATGAAGACACTTTATTCATATCATTTTCATTGGTCGTCCGTTCAGCTATCTGTGAGCTTCTCCGACTCGTGCATATATTGCAGTTATTCTAGTAGCTGCAGCAGTTACCTAAATGCAATGTGCCTATACTTGCCGACATAGCATGACTCGTGTACCATTCATCACACTTGTTGAATAAGGAAGGTTGAACGGATTTTAATTCGTAAACCGGTACCAACGAGAGAATCCAGGAGATAAGATGAATGGACGAACTAGTGTTCGATCCCTGACTTTGGCAAATCATTTCGATTGGCTTGCATGAACGAAGACTTGAAAAGGATATAGCTCCGCTCTTACCGCAAAGCTGGTATTCAAGAGCTCCTTTGGACTTAAAACCGACACCACGGGGTCAAGGCGGGGACGAAGATGATGTAAAATGAGGAGTAGGTTAGTCACAAGGAATGTCTTCGAGAAGATTGACAATGATACCTAGCAAAGCGACCACGACGAGTACTTTTACTTTGCCACCATGCTAATAACCCGTCCCTTAACAGTGCAATTGTGTTAGTGACCCCTCATAGTATTTACGTGGCTGAGATGATCTACCTGTCTATGTAATCCGGATGGCGAGCTGAGAAAAGGCAAACGAATTCCAATACGATGACTGAAAAAGACCTATGCCGCCACGTGGGGCTGATTTGGTTAGAGGAACGACGATCATGCTACTAAATCGGGCATACCGATATGTCAAAACGCAGAACCGGTCCATTGTTTAGTACATCTTAGAAGTTACTCACCGCTCTACCACCCGACTCTATGGTTTAAGTTGTGGGATTGCTGAGCCTCAAGCAGGGGCCAAAGAAGGAGCTTGGGACACCATGAGGTTCGTGAGAAAGTCATTTACCTAATAACTAGGCAGCTGAGTGACAAGGACTGCAAAGATTAAATGGTCATCGTACATATTCCGGATCTCTTAAGAACCGGTCTCATGGTTCAAAGATCGTCGATTCTATTACCCCTTTTATTTCCCGGTGAATGTCGGTGTTTAATTCTCCATTTAGGGTTCCTTTCCCGCTCCAATAATGGGTATGGAAAAGAGAAGGAAATCGAACAGCGTTTTAAGACTGTTAAGTCTGAACGAAGGGATGAAAATATTGGAGAAAGATGTCATTAATCACGAATGAAATATCATATATCATGGATTGATTTACGATGTCTGGGACTTTTTTCTGACATGAAACTATCTCGTACTTAAGACATAGTTCGTTAACTACTTTTTCTTCTGACTGTATGCCACCTGACGTATAATGGTTCCAAGCTCCTGCATATGAGCCACTCGGACCGCCAACGCCTCCTGTAAGCACGTTAGCTCTCCTGTTCGCATACCATGCCATGTCTCAGCCAAAATCCACACAATAGGCTTTAACATTTGTTATATCCACCTCTCATATTCTTACTAGGTAGTATCTACTTCACAAGTAGGCACCAAACATGTAAATCAGCTTCTCCGAGCCGAGACTCGGGCCGAGACTAGGCCCTACCATATGTGCTTTTGAAATCTATTAGTTCTGTCAAGAGTGAACATGCGCAGTAGCAGTTGGCCAGTCACTACTTGCATACAAAACTACGGCAGCTGTACGAGAACAACTTTAGAGACACGAAGCTTTATGGAGTTTGTTCGTTTATCTTATAAGTATTTACCTGTGTTATTATTACTCACTCAGTTCTCTCTTCTCACGAAACTCATACGAAAAAGGCTTATACACAGGTGATTAGTATCGTTGTCATTTATTAGGTATTTTAAAAAGGCTTTCATAGGTACTTTGCTGTATAAATTTTAATAATGTCTTGAGTTTGTTACCTATCACACGTAAATCTTTTTTTATATAGCGCGGTAGTTATATACCGCCTTTATATTCACAATACTCACAAGAAGAGTTGACCTTTCATACTAATACAGGTATTCGTGATTCCACCATAATAGAATTGAACGAGTTGTTGTGTTGATCTCGGTCAATTTACGACCAAATAGTCGAGTGGTATAACGACCTGGCCTATGTTACTGTCCCTTGAAACCCAACCACTCTACCATTGATGACTCTGTTGATAGAATTCTCGAACGATGACGGGTAACAAAACTGAATGTTGACACTGTGGGTAGCTTAGCAGCGGCGAGACAGATGTCGATGTGTAATAGGGGGCGGCGTGTTGAACATGGGCCTCAAAATCCCACCTAGAGAACGCAATACCTGATTTCCAGAGAGATTTACTGATGATATTCTTGACACATCGAAGAAATGCGCTGTACATGAACGCGCGAGGCATGAGCGAACATGATTTGAACGGCAATAGCACACCAACTTACCTAGAATCCGGGCCTTTCTTGCCGGTTCAAGTGGAACTGTTTGATCCATAGACATTGTCTCGGCAATCCTACATGTTCCCCGATTAGCGGACAATGTCTTTTGGAAACATCCGGTTGTTGCCGCTCAGAATGTTTAAACCGGAAATTGACTAGCCACCGTCGGGGTACGTGTACGCATTGGGCCCCGACCACTAATAGTACAACCACGTGTAAGCGCCGTACATATAACGAAATAAACGAATAACTCGTATGGTATGTCCCCGTAATGCAGGTGAGTTATCACCTTTGCTAGACTACATACCTAGGTAAGTACTTACTAAGGTATCAATAGTGTCTTGTAAGTGGTTGCGTCTTCTGGGGCAAAAAGCTGCTGGGTACGATATGCAAACCTGTTATAACTCACAATAGTCACCTTTCTGCTGGGAGGTAAGTAAGATGATTGGAAGATCTAGTAATGCACTTCGAACAAGTTATAGTCTCGTTCGGCGGGTTGTTCCGTAGGATTCCCTGTACCGGATTGTGGGAAAGAAGTGTGTTGTTGTCTTATGCTACCTAGGCGGATAGCCACTATTGCTAATACGTAAAAGCTAAACGAATGAGTTTACTATTACCTTTTACAATATGTTTGATGTTCATATCCTAAGTGGGTATTTCTTGAGTGTATCTAGTGTGTATGATCTTCTGTCGTTCGGTCTCGAACGATGTAGCAAGGGATTGACTGTCCTTCGACTATAAAATAACGAATACGATTCGATTATTTCGCGTTCATTATATCTAGCAAAACTGCAAGGTCCTCCGGCTAAGTAATATGTAAGGGGCTAGGGTTTGTAGTTAGGAAATGAGATGACTAAGGTTACATAGATAGCCTTCGGGATGAGAGACGAGAAAAAATGGCAGATTAACCCGCTGGGGAGAATGGCCGAAATATTTAATTCTTAGTGGCCGTCATACCTTACTTATATTGAATACCAAATCTTTAATCAGAACGATGACCTGGCTCATCCATACCAGTAAGACAGGGCTCAATCAGATAATAGGGGTAACTCTGAGTGTCCCCCCAACTCCTTACAACAGAACGTAGGTAGTCAAGCCAACACATCACCCAGCAAGTATTCAAAATTAATCGATTTGATTTTTTCCTTTTTTCATGTCATCTATACCTCGCACATTATACCCGACATGTAAGAATCGTGCGTAGCCTTTTAGGTATCATAGGTACATCACCGCGCGCCCTCTCGAATGCAACGTAGCCCCTAATGACCTTATCATATTCATCGCCTTGGCATACCTCTTCCCCGTCCCCTTAATGCCCTCTGGGCCGCTCCCGGCGGCAGCGGTTGACCGGGTGCCTGCGGCTGCGCACTCTCCTCATTGCGGATCGTCTCATCAACGCCTAGGATTAGGCAGCTGGCCTCGGTAGCCGCCTGTATGGCATTAATCTTGACTAGCGCGGGTTCCCAGACGAACCGCTCCATCATATCGGCGACACCCTCGTTGGTGAAGTCGACACCGGCCCAAACACGGCCTCTACGGTGCTCCACACGTAGTCTATTTAAGATGTCGGTAGCATCGAAACCTGCGTTATCGCATAGTTGGCGAGGGATGACCTCGAGGGCTTTGGCGAAGGACTTGATGACCCCCTGCTGCTTGTGCCGGATGTCCTTGTCGGCAAAGCGGTGTAGGTAAGCCGAAATCTCCATCTCGCATGCGCCACCACCACCTACGATCATGTGGTTCTTGATGGCACGCTTGACGATCATGATCGCGTCGTGTAGGGACCGCTCAACTTCGGCGATGAATTGCTCGGCACCACCGCGGAGTACTAGCGTACATGTCTTGGCCTCTGGGCAGTCTTCGAAGAAGTTGAATCGCTCACCACCGATCTGGCGCTCCTCGAAAGAACCACATGTGCCAAGGTGATGAGGCTGAATATCAGAACAAGTAGATTGTATAGTGGCGCCAGTAGCCTGAACGACCCGTTCCATATCTTCAGCCGAGACACGGCCAGCACAGAACACATCGCGATCGGCGAAGTACTGGGTTGCTAGATCTCCAATGGGTAGCTTCGAGAGTACTACCTTAGCGCCCGTCTGGTAAGCGGCCTCGAGCTTCTTGTAGATGATCTGCCACTCGGCATCGACGATCGCCTGGTACTCGGAAACCTGCTCGACGCGAACTTCGGCGTTGTCCTTCTCTGCCTTCAGCTCTAGCTCGACGTTCAGGCAGACGATCTTAGGCTTCTTGAAAGACTTGGGTTGTTGCTCAAAGCCGGCGTATGAGAATGTTTTCTTGAAGGCAACGCCGTTGACGAATAGGGAGTCGGTGAGGGAGCCGCCGGGAATCTTCTTGATACCTATAAGCTTCTCGTTTAAGTCATCTTGATCCAACGATAGGACAGCATCCACGACCACTACAATCCGTTAGCCTCCATCTTAATGATACGTCTGATTCTGAATATGCATACTCTTGGTGAAGAACGGCGTGTCTTTCTTGATCAACTTGCTGGTCATAGCCGTGCCGGCTAGCTTGGTTAGCGTTTCCCGTTTGTTTGCTTCGTCTGTCCTGACGGCGATTTCTTTGATCTTGTTTACCGCCATAGTCGAAGCTTTTCGTAGGCCCTTGATGATGATCTGAGAGCTGACACCTTGCTCGACATGTTCTCGAACCTCCTTGAGTATCTCGCCGGCTAAAACAACGACAGATGTTGTCCCATCTCCAACTTCAGCATCTTGTGATCTTGCAATGTCGACCAGGATTCGGGCGGCGGGGTGTACAATATCGAGTAGCTATAGTCTGGTTAATATAACAATCAAGGAAATTTGGCAGGGATATAGGTCTAACCTTCATTACCGTTGCGCCATCGTTGGTAATCGTCTGTTTTCCGTTCTCATCCACCATTAACAAATCACCACCGTAGGGTCCCAAGGTCGACTTGATGGTCGCCTGAACAGCCAAGCAGGCATTTATATTCGATATAATCTGACCCTTGCCTTGGGAAGTATCGGTTCCTATATGCACAGTCAGCCCAAGAGGGATTCTTAATTTATTAGACTGTGGGGTAGCTTCGTGTGTTCACCTTCTTTCAGGACGATGATGGTGGGGGTCTGGCCTCCGAAAGACATTTTGGCGGTCGGGTCGCGGCAGCGTCTAGACGAAGTATGAAGACGTGTAGTAATACCTGGAGGAAGAGAGGTAGGAGTTGCCCGCCTTAGAAAACGACCGATATTTTGACCTTATTGACTTTGTATCAAGTGGGCGAGCTTTGAATGGTGGAAGCTTCAAAAAATTAATGCAGCCTCGCATGGTGGGTCCTATCGTAAAAGCACAAGCCACTATCAGTTAGCCCCGCATTAGTAATCCCATCACTCCCTTATTCTTTTTGATGCATATTACCAGATGAGCATATATGATAATTAGGGGAATGCTGACGTAATTGGAGAAGATCATTAGATTCTTCGTGTTTTAGATTCCGAATTCTGAACTTAAGAAATACAACTCGATTACTCCCCAGCTTCAACTCCATCTACCGCAGTATCCGAATTTTCACTTTATCATGAGAAAATATCAGAAATGATCTGATTAATATCTATAAGCAGGTTGCCGGAGAATATAATATTGCCCATACAGCACACAGGGGTTTGCACAACTACTAACAGCTGGGCCTCCGTTTTGATATCGGTGCTTCAACCCCACTTAAACACAGATTGAAAAGAAAACGAAACCGTATCCGAATCCCAGGATGTCAATACTGTATATGTACATGTATGCTAGTAGTCACGTCGTTTCCGTTTAGGCCTGTTCTCTTCCACGTCCTCGTTCCACGGCCATAAATCTGACTTTTAGCTCAGGCTTGACCCAGTATCCCCATCCCTTAAGGTTCTTCTCTAGATCGACCCTCTGTCCCGGGATCATCTCCATATCCAACGACCATAGGACTTTCGTCAACACCAGTCTGGCCTGCCACCACGCAACCTCCTTTCCCGAGCACATTCTCGGGCCCTGACTAAACGGCATGTACGCATCTAGCTGGTCGCCAGAGTACCTTTTGTCGTAAAGGCTATGATCAGCAGGCAGCCAGCGCTGAGGCCGATACAGAAGGGGATCCCGGAAGTACGTCGGATTGCGTGCTACGGAGAAGCCGCTAAATTGACATGTAGTGCTACGAGGTATGTAATTACCGTCGACGACCGTGCCCGGGCTGTAGACAGGCATGCCGTTGATGACAGCGCTAGTAGGGAAGAGGCGGAGCGCCTCTTTCATGCAGACATTGAGATACGGCAACTGCTGCGCTGCGCTGGGCGTGATCTCCTCGTAGTTGGTGAAAGCAGCTCTTATCTCCTGCGTGAGGGTCTCGAGGGCCTCGCGGTTGTGCAACAGGTGGAAAAAAGTACCGTAGTACCAGTCCGACGGCGGCAGATACCCGGCAAACATGAGTTGCGTTGAGATCTTGGATAAATGGAGGATCTCGTCCGGATTATCACCCGCATGACCCACGGCGGGTGCAAGCTGGTCAAAATAATCGGCGTGCTCTGTGGCTCCTTGAAGCGACAGTCTCCGGTGCATTTCTTTCAGGCTCGCCTTCCTTAGTTGCATGAGCATGCCGACGAGCGAAACCGGGAAGACGGCAAATCGCAGGAAGCCGAGCCATGGAAACCGTCTCAAGACTTGCGTCATGGTCGCAAACTTGTTGAAACTGAGAACGGCGTTGAGGTAGGCCGAGTTCTTGGCTAGTAGAGCCATGTGGCATTAGTGTGTTAAGCTAGGAGATCGTTCGCGAGAGCGTGGCTCACCCTCTTTCATGCAATCCACCCGGTGACTATATGCCATGTCGGCTGCGATATCCATGGCTAGCCATTGAGTCCAATTTGAGAGACTAATACCACTCTGCGTGTCTCCTATTTCCTTCATTCTATTCACGAAGAGGTCTACATAGTGATGAATCACAGGGTCCGTCTCTCTGATTGCCTTCTGACTGAAGGCCGGAGCTACCTGTTTGGCAATTTGTCGGTGTCTGAGGGGGTCTTGCTGCCAAATGAGCCCGCCGTCATTGTCTTTCGCGAAGTCGTGAATATCTGTCTTGACGAAGGTTTCGAGGCTCTTGTCGTGAGAGGAGTAGATATCTAAGCTCATTCTATTGGCTTCTTGAATACCTAGCTTGCGAGCGAAGGCGGAACGAAGCGGGTCCGAAACTTACCTGCAGCGGCTCGAGGATGACCAAATGCAAGCTCATTCGGTGCAATTCGGACGACGTCGCCTACGGAGCTATCATTGGCACTGGGCGTAAAATCGATGAGGGTGTACATACCATACTGCTTTATTGCGGCTTCGACAGCCCATGGCCATCTCCCAGAAAGCCTCAGTCCTATTAGCAGGAACTACCATGAGTTGCTTGTTCCTCGGAAGCCTTACCAGTGATACGCGTACCAGACATTGGATACGGCTGCGAGTCTGGGGCCGGGAAACTTGGAAAGGGGATGAAAGTACAGAAGGTAAATGCACCGGGCTCCTACGTAAGCTAAGACCTGCAATCAAGACTGTGAGAAATCCAAAGAGCCAGGTGAAGTGGTGTGTTCATACGACGTTAAACACGATGATGCCGATAATGCCGACGTCTTGGCCTTGGGTAGTCTGCAGCGGCAGGCGGGGTACATTGAGGTGGAAGAACATCCTGGTACTTGACGTGAGTAGCAATCAGGGACGACCATACTGGTGGTTAAAGTTGTGAGGAATCTCAAGAACGGGAGGACCGCTTCTAAGAGGCTTTTCTAAGAGGTTTCTGAAAATTGCAGATGAAAATCAGACGGTGGGCGGAGATTTCGTCATTTGTCACACAAAGACCGCCCGTAGCGGCGTAGCGCGCGTTGCACAGAAATTGGGGGCTGAAGCTCACCGATCCTATTGAGCCACCCGCTCGCTGTACCATTTTGGTGGTTGTTTCATTTACCTTGCGATCAGGTTTTCAACTCTCCTATCGCACCAACAGGTTTCATCGAGTAATCTCAACGTCCCTCTGAACATGTATACCGTTCATGGGAAGACCGTTTGCGTCACCCACGGCCAAGTCGATGTTGTCCCCTTGCGTTACTGACCAGACCAGCCCTCGCGCGCTGCCATCACCTTGCTGCAGCCAATACTGTGGATGATCTTGCACAGTCGTATTCACATGAGCTTTCTGCCGCAGGCTCGAAAAACTAACTTTTGACCCCAGGCGCTTCCAAAACCCGGGCGCCGGAAGTATCGGCTTATAGACAGGAGCGCAGCAGCACACTATGCCCACACCCGCCTGGACGTTGGAATACAAGGCCACCATGGTGAATACGTCTCGCCGACCGAGTCAGATTAGCCGATATCCCTCGACTTAGGGTAGGTACATATAGAATTTGGCTAGGCTACAACTTACAGATCGCATCGTCGTTAAATGGTATGCCGATCTTGACAAAGCCGATAACGCCGGCTAGCACGCCCAATCCGAAAAGGACGATGAGTTTCCTTTTAGTAGCACTGGACACCTGAAGAGTTGGGACGACAGCCACGGCGAGTGCGACAAGGAGAAAGTCGCCTAATGAGTTGATTCCCTCCACCACTGCAATCAATGTGCCCTCTTGGATACAGTGGCCGGGGAGCCAGGGGTTCCAGAATTTGTCGAGAGGCTGGCAGTGGAAGCCTAACATAAAGCTGACCACCACAATCCATGCTACGTGGTAGACGATTAAGGCGTTGATGCACCATAAACACTTCGGCCTGACCCAGAAAAGTCGGCGGTATAGGGCTATGATACTGAATTTGGCGAATAGCTGCTGCCATAGGTAGGTCCAGAGCGCTGCATAGATGAGCTGAAGTCAATGATACAAGTCAGCGTTTTTGCTAGAATGTGCCCATGATTGATAGCACGCTAATCGTGTACCTTGCGTACGATGGTGAAGTCTTCTGGTGTGTTGATGAGGACTAACGCATTCCGGCCATTTGCGACCTTAGCATCTTGGATTTGCCATTAGATATTAGTCTCTGATGAGTTGTAATCCGCTGAAATCAATCGTAAGTGGACGTACCGACTAGGTTCACGCTGCCGAACACGAGGTAGATTGCCAACGAGAGTAGGGCAAGCCAGTCCTCGACGTGAGGCTTTCGGCCGGCACGATTGCTAGCCCAGAACCTCAATATGACGGCCAGGATTGATAGTGGAGTAAAAACAACTGCTACAACCAAGTAAGCCCTCTGCTGCTCGTTTTTCAATGCACCGCCAATGCCCATTGTGCGTAATTAACATAGGGGCTTCGAGCTCGCGGTTACTTGCACGTTTGGCAGAAGTTAGAATGTCATGAGAAGTTAGGAAGGAAACAGACGGGAGATGTTTGTCTAAATCGAACAAGGCTCTCCTATTACTAAGGAAGCTAGGTGGATGAGCACATTAAATAGAGAAGGTTGATATACATTTCAGCACGTGTAAACTGCGAAACGTCTTGTCTATTCCAAGCCTGCGAATGAGCGCATCAGGACCGAAGCTGGGCTAGACTGGTGTGGCTACACAACATACCTACCCAGCCAATCTTCTCCAATCGCTCACGAAACAAGGAGAGATATCGATGATGCCGCTCACCTATCCACTATCTATGTGGCCTATATCGGTTAAGTACCTATTCTCCAGTAACCGAAAAGCTTGTGGCACGACAGTCTGCGAGTCCCTAAATTCCATACAACATAAAATGACTATAAGAGAACGTAAAGATACCTGGGGAAACATCCTCGCTGGGACTTTAGAAGGAGCATGTCTCGGCATATTATCGCCACTCTACTGACCACGGTTGACCAAGGAGTTCCTCGAGCGAACGCGGCATCGCTGTTCCACTAGACGAGTCTTCCGACTTTAGCAACTAACGCTCGATTCGGACACATCTTGGGAACCGGTGCTACGGAAGGAAGAAAAGAAAAGAAGGAACGATGACGAGCGCGCGCACGACGAAGATGACGACCTAGTGCTGCAGGAGTTGTAAGTTCTACATCTTCTAGCAAGACAAGCCTCTGGCTGCTCATGGGCTTGATAACCCATTAGTGGTAGAGTTACGTGGGTGACTACGCGCACGTTCGAGTGTCGAACAATGGCTGAGAAGGCCATTGAAAGGTTTCTTTTACTTGTAATCGACGCGAAACGGGATACGGCGGTTTCATTTTACGTACCTAGGTAGGTTTCGAGTTGATAATGAACTCCCATTCTATTTACGACTTCCGGTAGTGATGCTGGTATCGCCGTTTTGAGTGGGATACTGGACATTTGCTGCGATGGTGTTGTTAGGTTCGCCATCGCTCCCCGAGTCTTTTTCATGAGAATTCTGTCTGTTAGTACCTACGATCAGAGTGAAGTTGGGCTGGTCAGTTGCCGATTTGAGGTAAGCGTTGCTCGAAAAACTTCTATGCTTAGAGGGAGGAGACCTAGAATCTGGGACTTCGAGGCCATCATACACTTGCCCTAGAGAAGGGTTGTTCCTTGGTGAGAGCCCGAGTGCTTTCAGGGTATCTCTCCAGACTCGCGGCCATTGACTGTCATCCTCACAAGGATTGCTCAATTCTACTGGCAGTTTCCCCTCTCCAATCTTGTTAAGATGGTACGATCTGTGCGTAGCATTCGAGAAGTCTTCCCAGTTTCACCCTAATTCCCGAGATTTGCGCACGCATCGATGTTCCCCTGAGAGGTGGTACTCGACGCGATTGCATTGGGATCGCTAGAACCTCCGACAAGACGGCCCTGAGAAGGTAAGGTTCAGATCGCGGTAGGCAGCAGGATTAGGTCACTATGCCAATCATGACAATATTCTCCCTTGATGCGTTGGGCCCTGGGAGATGGCATCGTATATGTTGCGGACGGGTCTGGGTTTAACGGAAAATAAAAGAAAATAGATAGAACTAAAGAAGGGCAAGTTGAAATAAAGCAACTGCTACCCACATCGGACCGGGCTGACGCTACGGTACGGTGATATCACCCAGCCTATCCCACCTAAGTACTCCGCAACTGCTCCGAATCTTCCAGATTGTTACCAAAGACCAAGGTGCACAGAATTGTAGTACAATGTACTAATTATACCAACGTCGTCGCATTGTAACAAGAACGCGTCTCTTAAAATTTTAAAATCCCATTAATTGTTGGAACAAGGATTTTTGCGAGTCGCCAAAAAGTCGCTTTTCAACATCGACATCCAATTCTAGCTCCACTGGCCAACCTGTCGGGATTCAATCGGGCTCGCTCCGTTTTCACCAAATCGGATTCGTACTCGACCTTGCACTTACGCGCGAGAACACGTCAAACTTCAACATCTCAAGCATGGAACCTTAGTTCATCTACCGCGGCATTTCGAAAATCTACGAATCAATTTTGACGCATTCCCGTACGAACAAATCAACATCGCAAGCCCATTTATTCGCTCACTCATCCTCGCTTTCCTCCGGTACCTAAACCCGCCGCGGGGCCTGTACCTACCTTTGCTTCTTCCCGTTATTTGTCTTTTTTTTGTCTCGGATAAAAATAAAAAATAAAAAGAAAGAAAAAACCCCCCACCCACTGTCGGGTACCTATCCATCGGTGAATCTACCGCAATGTACGAGTACCTCACGAACCCGGCGCTCATCTACGGCGGCCCGTCGGCGCGCCAGGCGGCGCTGCTGACGAAGCAGCGCGCCCCGCTGATCCTCGTCCACGACGGCGGCGGCACCAACTTCAGCTACCACCTGCTGGACCCCATCGACCGCCCGCTGTGGGGCATCGAGAACGCGCGCCTGCACGACGGCGGCTTCTGGGAGGGCGGCATCCCGCAGATGGCCGCGCACTACGTCGGGCTGCTCACCAAGATTCTGCCCGAGGGCGGCGATATCTTGCTCGGTGGTATGTATCTGTTTTTTTTTCTTTTTTCTTTTCTTACCTAGCTTGTGGACTTGGAGAGATGTGATATGGATGGGAAAGCGAGTGTTAACGAAAAGTCGCAGGCTGGTCTTTGGGCGGCCACCTCTCGCTGGAGATGGCGCATCAGATCGCGCTGGCGGGGCGCAAGAGCAGCAGCAGCGCCAGCAGCAGCGGGACGAGCACCCCTGCCGCGCCCAAGTTCCGGGTCATCGGCATGATCTTCATCGACACGGTGTTCCCTCTGCGCCTGGGCGAGCTGCGGGGTCCGCTACCCAGCGAGCCCGTGTTCCTCACGCCGGAGCAGTCCAAGGCGATGGTGCTGAAGGACAAGGTGGACCTGAACATGACGCACGCGCGCATGATGGTCCAGGAGTGGGAGGTGCCGCGCTGGGAGGGCCTCAAGGTGCCGCCGACGATCCTGATGCGCGCCAAGGAGTTCGTGAGCGACGACCCGACCAAGACTTTCGTCGACTACGTTCGCGAGTACAAGCTTCTGGGCTGGGACGAGTATAACGAGGAGCATGGCAAGTTCATCAAGGATATCGTGGAGGTGGAGGGTCACCATTTCTCCATCTTTCATATCAAGAATGTAAGTTTTGAGCTCGTTGATTTTGAGGAGTAGGGAGCTGGGGTGTGCTGATTTTCTTCGCAGCTGGATAGTATCACGTGTAAAGTCCGCAACGCGGCAGACGAACTTGACCCGCCCGAATTCTGATGGATAGGTGTCGTGTTGGGGTTAACGATGCTATGAATTTGGTTTCGATATGATTGGGCAATGTTTGACGAGGCGTTGATACATACTAAACGAGATTGGCGTTAGGTACTTGGGGATTGTACATTCGTGGATGCTCACTATCCATTTAGACACTAGACCATAGCACTGTCATTGTTGTCATATGTTGAGCTACGTACGTTACCTAGCTCAGCAATACATTTCTTGTCCGGGAAACCCATCACTTTTTACCTACTCTTGGTGCCTAAGTACACGACTATTGCTCCTTCACAAACTCCTTTAGCAAATTCTTAATAGCCAGTTGCCCCTGCTTAAACATCTTCATCCTCGTATTCTCAAACCCGCCCTCCTCAAGCCACGCCTGGCCCGGCCCAACAGCGAATTGATCATCGCCCTTCAGCAGGCCCGCATACATGCCGTCTATATACTGCGCAAGCGGCATGCCGATCTCGCCGCCGTTGACTAGATCCGCCTGGTGTTTCGTATCATGCAGCTCCGTCTGCACCGCCGGCGGGAAGACCTCCACCACTTTCACGCCAGGGTACCCGCCGTCCTCGAGCTGCTGCCTCAGCGTCGTAACGAAGCTATGCAGCGCCGCCTTGCTAGCGCAGTACCCAGGCGCGCGCACCAGCGTCGGCAGCAATCCCAGCGTCGAGCTGACGTACACCAAGCTCGTCGTCTTGCCGCCCCCTTCCTTACTACTACTCAGCTTCTGGAAGTGCGGCAGCAGCGCCGCGGTCAGGTGCACGAAGCTGACGTAGTTGGTCGTCAGCTCCTCGCCGAAGACGCGCAGGTCGGCGCCGCCGGGCCGGTCGAAGAAGAGCGGGCGCTGGATCCCCGCGTTCAGGATCGCCGCGTCGAGGTCCGGGTGCTGGGCGACGAGGTCGGCGGCGAAGGCGGGGATTGACTCGAGCTTGGTGATGTCCAGCGTTGCGGCGGCCGAGCCCGGGTGCTGCGCGACGAAGGCGTCGAGGGCTTCGCGGCGGCGGCCCGTGACGATCACCGATGTGCCTTCGGCGTGCAGGCGTGCGGCGAGGGCTTCACCTATGCCGGATGTGGCGCCGATGATTAGGGCTTTTTTGTAGAGGGGTGCCATTGTGGGATGCTTTTACTATGTGTTTAGGAGAGTGAGTAGTATGGTGACTACGTAACTTAGTAGGTATAAATAGTAAAAATTACTCGGTGCCGTGGTGGTGTTACGTTATCGTATCAATCAGGATCTTCGTCCGCCGTCCTTCGGCTTCGGCACATGGAGATAAAAGATGTCTCATAATATGTAGGGCTATTTATCCCCTCGTTACGTCAAACGGACTTTAGCGTCGGTCTGGCGCATGTCGAAAAAGTAACTTTTGTAGTTGCTCTAAAAGGGAAAAATGTAGGTCCCAATGATATCACCATATCCAAATGTCCATTTTTGCTGATTAGGTATTTATTTATTGGTAATATATAAAAAGAGGCTGTGATAGTGACCTCGCGCGGAGATAACTGTACCAGTAAGCGTAGGTTTTCCAATGGATGTTGTATTGACCATGGACAAGCATGAGCGGCAATCCATTGCCTATTAGATCCAACACCGATGCAAGCTTCGTTTATGATATTATAATGGTTCTGGCTCTGAGACATTTCGGTAGCCTTTCGCAATACTATGGGCAAATGGCACGAATCAACTCGATATATCGCATCTCCTGCTCGAGCAGCGCTGGGGACTAAAATAACATTCCTCCCGCTAATAGCAAACCGAAGTCCGTACTCAAGATACAAGTTTAGTGTGGTGAAGGCATCGTCCCAGACTTGAAATATAATATCCCTATTCGGACGCGTAACTCTCTTCGGCACAAGGCTTCTTTCATGCTCAAGATATGCCCTTGCCCAGGCTCGTACACGAAAAGAGCTAACAATGAGACCTCCAAGATGTCTCGACACTTCCTTCATGTACGAATTGCTCCCGGACCCTGTATTCATTCGTCGGCACAGGCGATGATGTGAACAAGAGCCACGGTTAGCTCTTTGTATTAAGCCGACCGCGACCCGGGAATTTCTGGGACAATAAGACGATGTAATTTGGTAGAAAACCAATCCATGGTCGCGACAGATTCTTCGCGTCCTGCATACAGGATTTGGGTTGTAGGATCAATCGACACATCGCTGACCAGGTAAACAAATCCAAGCAATTACCCTCAACCATGCAACCTGACCGAAGATGATGGTGCGCCGATTGGTACAAGATCGTGGCCGTCTCTAGAGACTTATAAGAGCGTAAACTTTATCTCGTGGAAAGGTTGCAAGAAAATGCTGGCTTCGAATCAGAGCTTGTGGTAGGGTCATCCGTAGGCCTCCCCGTCTCGCGTATGATTCCTGTGATCGAAATTCATGGACAGTAGAAATCGCAATGATGGAGTCTGGGTCGAAGCAGAAAGAGCCACACCTCGCATGCACAATTCGCGCCTTCGCTACCTCCTGTATGATCCATACTCGTTCCCAGTAAGATCTTGTCAGCAGATCATGTAGTCCGTGCAGTGATTTAGCGGGATGGTATGTATGTCTGAAGGCCCTTGCGAATTCGTCGTTTGACATAGAGCTCAGTTTGTCCACATTGCCCAGGTTGATCTCTTGAAGGAATGCGTGGGCATATCGAGTGTCTCGCTCCTCATTTCCCAGCCACACCACCATAGCGACTTGCGCTCTCGAGTAGAGAAGATCTATTAGCCGCACCTGATGGGCTTTTTCGTTGGCATCGTGCTAATTAACACAAACAGCATCTACTCAGACCAGGGACCTTGGCTCGAAGTTCGAGTGACGGAGGGCGGCGGCTAAACTTTCGTGACACACATCGTCTCTCCGTTAACTTTGATAGGTGATCTTTGCATAGCATCACCCCAGCTGTAGGATAGAGCAAGGTACTTCGGAGGCGGATGAGCGAGCATGTCATCACCTCGAACCTCGGGGGCTTGAGGTGGTCAGAGGGAACGTCCAGGATTCGTACGAGTCGTGCCTCGAATCTGGAGGTATCTAGTGCCTGATAGATCATGATGGTTTATAGATATATCGCCCTGCTTGAAGAAATTTCAGTGATAAGCAATCTCCTCACATTCGAAGCGATATCGTGCTAGATAGGGTTTCCAATGATTCTCGTTCGATGCGATACTTCTTAATGACAGTCTCCAGTTGTTCCTGAGAAACAAACGGGAATTCTCCCAGATGCAGTGTATTCGGCTTTCTATCTTTTCTTATCGCCTCATGCTAATACTAGAGAGTGATATAATCGTGTTTGGTGAATCACGAAGTATACGACACTCGAACCATCAAGATTGATGCCAGTCAGAGGCATCCGTACATCGGATCCTTTCGAAACCTGATATGTCCACTCGACGTCAACATAGAATATCGCTAGTTAGAACGAAGAAAAAAGTGAGAGTGATGAAGTCCATGAGTTTACGCGAAACTTGACCTAATTAGAACATTGATTACAATATTCTTACTGTGATTCCGGTTTGAACATCCGATGCCTGTCATGGTCGTTACATGGCGATATAATACCATCACTTAGATATTTCATCCATATTCGATCGTGATGAAAGTTAAGAATGGCTGCGCGCTTGCGCGACGGACGTGACGTTGGCATCAGAAAATTCAGCCATTTTTTCATACCAGACCACATGTATGCGAAGCGATTTCGAGACGAGCATGGTAACTAATTGTCGAATGGCCTTGAAGTTGGTGTGGTGGCCTGTTCGTACATCTATGCCAAAAAAAAATCAGAGCGCCGGAAAATAGTTTTGGCCATTCCTAATCTAGTAGTGGATATGCAGCCACTACTAGTAATTGTTAGATGAGTACATATGGAAGTAATGTAATGGGCTAGCGATTACTTACCTAGCAAATTCGACAGGTAGTACATAAGTTTATATATAGATTTACTTGCATAAGTAAGTACCTGCTGTCACTGGCAGTTGAAAAATCCACTGAGCTTCGGTTGGCTCTTAGATTATGTAAGTAATCAAAATATTTTGAAACCTGAAGCCTACTGAATAGGTAGGTAAGTATGTAGGTAGGTAATAAGTTAAGTCGTATATAACACGTTGGCTTAAAATTTACTTTGACAGCTCAACTGCTTGGTTCAACTGCTTGGTTCAACTGCTTGGTTCTCTAATATTACTTGTGTTACACCAGTAATAAAGTTGCAAGTACGGAGTAAGTAAGGTTGGGAATAGCTTCATACAATGTACCGCGCAGTCAATCGCTTACGTAACATTCTACCACCTATTCAATAGTTCAAACATTCAACCGACCAATCATTTAATCATTCAATTACTCAATCACTCAGTCACTTAATCATTCATTCATTCAATCAATAGCTTACTTCAAAATCAAATCATTAAAGTAACATGCCTTGCCACTTAATTTTGTATGAACGAGCTTGTACCGTATATGCTAAACCAAAATTCTAAAATCTGATATCCGAAGTACTGACCTATCGACGCTAAATCAGGGAAATTAGGGGCTAAGGTGTATTCTTTACCCCTTTGGGTAATATTCTTAGAAAAATATTTTTTTGGCATAGTTGAACGAACAGGCCGCCGTAGTTGGCTAAGGGTAATGCGACCAATTGGACTGAGCTGACTAACCAAAGCCACCAATGTTCCAATGACATCTGATCTCATGTGCCGTTCTCCAGGCTGGTGATGTTAACTATAAACTTCAGCACCAGCTACCTACCTAGTTAGGTTGACCATTTAAGAGTTGTCCTGGCGAATAACTGGTTAGACTAACCACCGAGGAAAGCACAGCCTCGAATCCCATGTTGTAAATGCGATATCTTTCCTAAGGTTGCTATCAGCCTAGGCGAGAGCCTGGTATAGTCCAGCACAAACTCGGATAACTTCAGGAAATCGACTGGAATGAAAATGCAATCAGCATTTAGAAACCATTCAGGTCACCCATCTCTTGCCTCAATCAACATTCGTTTAAAATGTACCTATGGGATATTCCCGTGTTTGAGGCGAGACGTTTAGTTAGCAACTGAAAAATGCCTTGCTTTTTCATCCCTAAAGCTAAGGAAAATAAGGGAAGAAAGGAGGCCTGGGTACGACGGAGAATTAGCGTATGATAGAAACCAAAAAGAGTCCCGAAATTTATCCACCTAGAGTTTTATGCTTATCTTAGCGCAGGTACTCGATGATAAGGGACGGCAGTTGTGACGGAGGAGGCGGATTTCTCGGACTAGGGTAGCCAAGCCGTTTAAACCAGCCTCTTTTAAACGGAAATTGTTTCAGGGTTATCGAGAAGCTTAAATTTAAATAGCTACACCTGACATCATGGTCCATATTTGTTTGTCTATCAATGTATCAACATATAGTCTTACAGGGCTGAACACATTCTCTAAAGGGGCTGAGTTTCCTTCGGCGCGTATCAGACGAACTGCGTACGCTCAACTTCATTCACTCTCAATGTCCCAAGGCCTAAAGGTCTCAATGTAATGACCATTTCAACGTTCATCACTAATTTCAGTCTCAACACTTACAATAGAGCCACCAGCGCAATATCACCCTCTGAAATAAAGAGACCGTCATTTAAACCCTTCCCATGAGTGTTTTTATAGCGCAATTGTTGACAAGACAGCATGTGGATCACATGTGGCCAATCATATAAGCTACGTTAAACATTAGAACAAGTTTAACCAGATTCTTTAATCGACATCCAATGGATGGCAACGAGAGGCTGAGAACGAACACCAATGAGAGGGTGATCGGCGATGATTAACTGGCCGATCCTGTCACAGTCGCCCCCCTTGGATTTCCGTACACCGTTGATCACCGGCCATCGTCTACCTAGAAATGTTTAGCGCTGTGGACCGGTCCGGTTTGATGTGCGAACCACCACAGCTACCACAGGCCAACGAGGTCCGTATTCGTATGATGAGAGGCCAGCGTCTAAGGGACGCGGTCGCGGCGGAGCGGACACCGGAAAGCCGCTCCTGTTTTTCTATCTGATCTTGTCAGTTGTCTCGAGCCAACCTCTATCCTGCCTGTTATGGCGTAGGCTCAAGATCCACGGAGTGTAGATCCGCCCATCAACATCCAGTCGCAGTGGTACACAAGGGCGAACTCGAGCGGTAACGTGTGGCGGCTGGAGCACCCTCCCCACGAGTTCGGTAGAGGATACTGTAGGATGGAGGATAAACGCTTCTCGAAACGCTTCGAAGTAGCCAAGTCTACGCGACCGGGAGACCCGATGTTTTGATAACCCGGACAACCTGGTGGTCTGTTCGGCCCTAGAGTCTATCCCAACAACCACTCACGGTGCTGCTGGGGGTTGGGTGATCCCAATATGTACTTCCTACTGAATTGGTGAACTTGTTTTTAGGAATGTTGTGTTGCTCAATGAAGTATATATTGTCATCCGCTGTCCCTTTCGGTCCAGTTTTGAACCACCAGTGTAGCACACACAAAAGTTGTTCAATTCTTGTACCCCATCTTCCGCTTGATTTCTCGCGTTGCATCGCTTGAGACTATACCTATGTAAGTCGTGGACGCCGGATTCCCCCAACCTGTATCACGAGCATTACGACTGACATGACGTTATAGCTTAATACAGCCGGACTACAAAGGAACCCCTATTCCCCCTGCCAGCAGTAGAATCAGAATCGGAACCAAACTACAAATCACCTTAGTCACTCGAAGTCGCTTTTGCAAAATCAACACAATGAAGAACGTTTTCGCCATCCTTTTCCTGGCCCTCGTCAGCTCTTTCGTGACGGGCTTGCCAGCGGTTGCTAACGAGAGGAGGGCCATCTCGACTAATGGTATGTTCCATATCGTGCCCGCCCTTTAAAAGGGGGTGAGTAATATTGAGGAGTTTGCTAACTGAAGACTACAGCATTTGAAATTGCAGCTCGAGCGTTGGAGTTGGGTATGAAGACTATTAGCTAGTGAACCTACCGAGTGACAACTCGCTAATGATATATAGTACCCCGAGTTAAGATGGGAAGCAGGGCTTCTAACTTCACCGAGAACATCCCCAGGTCTCTAGGTATGCCCTTGAGCATGAGATTAGTCACTCCAAAACTAGATAAAGCTAATCCCAGATATTAGGTGCGAGACAAGGAAACGGTACATCGTCGTTCGGAGGAAGCGGAAGCGGAAGCGGAAGCGGAAGCGGAATTGGGAACGGCGCTCGTTCTCTGGGTACGTAAAGTCTAGACAATTAGTTACTTGATAATGATCGCTAACCGGAAAAACCGTAGTCCCAAGAGCCCTTAACTCTTCGGATAGCAGTGATATCTCCTCGCTATGTATGTTTCGCCCAACATGTATGATTTTGAAATAAGTTAGCTGACAGAACATTGCAATAGTCGGACGTAAGGTCAACAACACCGATGCCGGAACCGAGAAGCGCACCCCTGGAGTCAAGCGAGTCCACGTTGGCGCTCGCGCTTTCAACGAGACCGGTGCCTAGATGCACTTAGCCCAGCATGCGCAGGTCATGCAATGGAAGTTATGGTGGAATTAATGGTACGCGACTAGCAGTCTGCACGTTGGAACGAAGACGAAAAGACGAAAGGACGAGATGAAGAAGCAGTGTCGCCCGGCTCGCGGCTTTAACTTGAGCTGGGCTTCAGGACAGATTTTACCCCGGGAGGGGATCTAGATAGATTTGATTTTTAGTTAGGTAACCCAAGTCAATCCTTTGGAACTATGGCGCAAAGCGTAGTTTTACCACGTTATCAAGATATTAGCCCCATTGTCATGCCTTTTGTGATATGTATCACCAGCTTCCAAGTGATGTGCGTTTCTATGAACCCAACATATCTAGCGTGAGCGGTACATTCGGCAGATCAGGCCTAGATCTGAGATCTAGATATTATGGTCCCTACTTATCTAGGCAGGTAGTTACGCGTAGCATGTGATCGTGACGAAATTCGAGAAATGGGATATAAAATGAATAATATTAAGATATATTGCCATCTAGCTCAAATTGGCATATTAAATTGTGAACGTCATTTCGAACTCGACTTCTATCCTAAAGCGTCGCAACCCGTCGATAGTCTTATAATTAGCCCACCATCAGATCTAGGTGGTGTTATAAAAGGGGTATAGTACCGTGAAACCTCCACATGTGGTAGATACAGCTTGGTAGGATTCGTCCCGAACCCCAATCGGGACGCATTTCAGCCCTCCCGCTCAGAGTCGCACCGTTGCAACAACTTATCGATCCGTCGATCTATGTAATACGCCGCGAAAAAACGTTCAACGTCACTTAGTCAGGCCTTCAAATTGGCTACTGAATATAAATCTCATGTGAAAACACTGGAGTGGCATGTAGAATATTGCTGGTCTTATACTGTACATAACTAAAATACGTATGCGAGTGCTTGGGTCACGAGACCTCAAGTCCAGGTAGAATGCTTCAGAATAACGTTCGATTTCTTCCTGTGTCATGAGAGAAATAATATATACAGTCGAAAAATCATACCGGAGCGCCACATCCCAAAGGGTTTCCGCACGATTGGGACCATGCACCATCGTGTTTTTATGATTTGATAACGACACAAAGAACGACCCGAACGATTGTCGTAAGAGCCCGTGAAGGCGAACGGAGAGAGTTGAAATCTCTCGTCAAAGTGGTATATCCAGAAGTCCCCAAAACAAGCCATGTACACCAGCCTAGAATTGTTTGTTTCGTTTTACGTTTTCCTCGATGGGCCATTGCCATGGGATATTGATGCTCAGCGCACCTCATTTACGTCGAAAGTGCTGGTCCTCCAATCCCGGGAGTTGCTGCTCTTTGTCGAAGAGCCGAATCCTGGCATCGATGAGAATCGGTTCAATCGCTTCTTTTGTTGCGGGGTTGGCTCCGTAAAGTGCCTGCTAGGCTCCTCGATCGCCACGCTACGACGTCTACTGGTCTCTTCCATCGGCGACGATGCGGTTGTAGATGAGCTGTTGGTAGACGAGCCGGTGTTGTTGGGGGTTTGGTAGACGTACTCGCCGTCGACGTAGATGGCATTGCTGATGAATGCGGAGCGACGGTGTCGGTTACGCGTATATCGCTGCTCGAGCCGGAACAGCTCGATCTTGGCTTGTATTTTCTCGAATATACTCGGCATTGTGATGATTTAGAAAGTTCCCAATCACCGTACCTCAAGTTATCCTTTACCCTGAATGATACGAGTCAATGACTTTTTTCCCGTCCGGTTGCTATTATGTGACCGAGACAAATTGGTGGACGAGTCAATCGTGTTCCCCGATTGTCTTTGATTGTATTGGTTCTCCGATGTCTACTGCCTTTCAAAGGGTATAGATGTGGGTGTGTTACGCCTTGTATACGAGAGTGAAAGCGTGTATACAGTAGCGATCGATGTGTTTGGTCACTTGTGATAAACGAGGGAACGGGAACAGGCCTGTGTTCTCCTATTATGTATGCCGAACGAATTACGACTAGCAAGGAATAGCAGTTGGTGGTTGGGAAGCGAGAAAAATGAGAAAGCGAGTGGATAGAAAAAGTGTTGGACAGGGGAAGAAGTTTACCTACATATTAAGAAATGAGACTGGAAAGGGACAAGGACTCGTATGAGGAGGGTACATTAGATGAGTATTCAGCTGCAATTAGCTAAGCCAAACTAGTAAACTTTAGGCCTTGGCCTCCCTAAGCGCGCAGGCTGTCTAAGCCTATTTAACGACTAAGCCAGCCACTAAAAACCACGCGAACGGGCGGGATACGGGGCAGTGGGGTGGCCAGTTCTAAGAAGTTCGGTAAGCTAGCTCGTTCCTGGCGTTAGTGCCAAACTAAGATCGCTAGCAGCACGTGTTACCCTCTCAATTGACCATCAATTGACCCCACAGCTTGCCTGATTCACTTGATAAGACCTGTAAAGACCTATCCAATGTGCATAAGGCTTTACCCGTCCAGGATTAGGCGACCGCATAACCAATGCAGGGGCGGACCACGTTTCAGGAAATCAGCAAATGTAGTCCATTAAATGGGAAATGTAACTCCATTTTGTTGAGGGGGGAACTGGGGGACAACTTGCGAACACGTCTACGCCGTATTATCGAACCAGAATCTGGGGTTCTCCATGATCGAGAAACATTTCGTGATGCGCTACTGTTCGACAGGACAGCACAATGCTTTGCATACAAGTTTAGGGACATCACGTTCGTAATATGAGGAAGCCACGTAATCCAGAAAATGCATTCAAGTGGAAGAATGGCCCAGGAAGTGGGAACATAGGTATACACGCATGTGACACCTAACCTTCTTGGGTGCACGAAGATAAGGGAACGAGAAAAGGGAAAGAGCCTCCGCCTCCGCCTCCTCTTGGAACTTGAATGATGCATAGCACTTGAGGTGGTACGGAAGAACTATGCATACTTTACTATGAACGGTACTGAAGGCCCGACGCGTATTCAAGCAACTGCCACATAAAGCTTAACCTAAATCCTCGCGTCACCTACTCTAATTTTTTAGGTTAGAAGGTTATTGCCTGCCCTGGAGGTGGTGATGTGAAAGAGTGATAAGTGATTCGTGGATATTTCGTCAGGCGCATTCTCAACGAATATGCGCATAAATCAACGTCATCGAATGGGGTATAACATTTGTCACTCTTCTGGAGTCTGTCGCTTCCGAACGTCGATACATGCAACAAACTATGGCAAAACACGTAAAGCCACCGCACAGATGGAGTATAATCAGTCGTCATCACCCCTCACTCCTCACCCCTCACCCGTCAATCATTTACACTTGGTTTAGTGTAATGAAGTGTTTAGGTAGGATAGAATATGTTTCTAGGTTTCTATATGCAAACGACGGTCACGCATTGTTTGCATAAACCATTGCTCGAATTACCTGGTTCTTGGAATATCGTCAACTATCGTCTGAACTCCCTCCCACAGCCCATAGCTTCTGGATTTGCTCAGCCAGCGAGATCGATGTCGTGTACGCTTTTCTCGTCTTGACATCATTCACGTGTTCCCTGTTCCATTCTAGTATCTCAAGCGTCATACCCTCGAGCGTCGTAAGCACGCCGGAGTACCCCAGGCCACCCTGAGAGACTGGTTTCCCGGCTTCGTTGTTCGATGCCACCAAATGCGTGCATATTGACATAATGCCTGGCTTCAGGTGTCTTATATCGCCTTGAAGCTTGGGTAATACCTTGCCCAGGAAGGGATACTTGTAAGGCAGATCACCGTACATCTCGATCGCATGAGCGAGCAGGAGAATCAAGATGGGAGGTACGTTTATCGTGTGGAATGGATGCACGGATAATGTCCCAATCGCGGTATACAGATCGCTATACGTGATTGGAGGGTTGGGATCCGTTACCACGAATGGTCGACCCGCGTGTTTCATGCTTTCTGGCCAGGGCCGAACGAGCACAGCCTCATGATGAAGATGAGCGATTGCGACATTTGCGCCGTGCACGAAACTCTGCACAATATGGGGAACCCAACTGTCGTCATTCATAAGCATATCCATTTAGGCAGACTGAAGAAGAATCAAGCAGCGGGGTGCTCACGTTGGTAAGACCGTTCTAGCTAAAGGGTCCCCGACAGTATTATCCGTCGGATTCCCATAGACACCGTTTGCAGGCCGTATACATCCAGTGCGGAAGTTTTCGCCGTTCTCACCGCAGACAAATCTCTCCGCGACCGCCTTCGACGCAGGATAATTGGCAAAGTACTGGTCGCGTTCCCTTAGAGGTAAAGAGAAATCTGTCACATCCAAGACCTGCCAGAAATGCCGCGGAGAACATTCCCATGGCGCTACAAACGGCTCAACAGGCTTGATAGAAATGGACCCGGATGACGTGGAGCTGAAGATATCCGCACCGGCTTTGCGAGCGGCTGCCAACACGTTTTTTGTCCCTGTCACGTTGACGGCTTCTGGGAAGGCGTACTGGAACTTGGATCGCTCCGAGGCCAAGATAACAGCTGCGGTGTGGAATACCGTCAGTGGAAGGTGGGCTACGCTCGGATGCCACGGAAGTGCAAAGGCAGCTTCAACTGAATCGGGTGATGTGATATCCGTCTTCACGAACTCAACGTCGGTGGCTGGGCTTATGCGCATATCATTCCGCTCCGTCTTCCGAATATCAACGATGCGGATACTTTCAGGTGGGTTGCCCCGGGCCAAAAGTTGCAGCACAATGAAGCCGCCAACGAGTCCTGGACCGGAAGTTTAAATCTATATTTAACAATACGAATAGGAAGTAGGTAAGTTTTGCATGGGTCTACTTACCCGAGCCGCCTATGACAACGTACCGACGCTCTAGTTTTGGGGGAAGCTTGTCAGTATAGTCAATTGGATTGTCTTGCAACCTCTTGTAAGTTGCCTCGAGTTGGTTCGGCGTCCAGCGCGAACCCGACAGCTTTCGGACCTCATCCGGCGTCTCGCTTAAAAGTTGATTCACTCGGAATAAGTACATAATAAGAGCCACCAGCGCGGTCCATAGGGCTACGGATACCCACCCCGCCCAGTCAGCCATGATTGTACCAATAAGTAAGTATTGATCATTGACAAGGAATTGCGATGTAGAAGTCGAAACCTTGAAATTCGAAACTGGACGATGTCACCGCTCGAAATAGTGGGCAATTTTCGGCTTTTAGGAATTTTTTCCTGCTTAACCGAGAAAAGAATTCCGATTTATGCAATGCTATCACTTTCGCCCTAAACGTGATAATGAATAATGAGAAACACCAGCATCCATACTGGTATACAAAGACCATCTTATAGAAAAAGATAAGGAAAATCACATAATTCATATTCTCCCATCAACCATGGCTTTCTGTATCCACTCGCATCTTCGCCCCTTTAAATCGTCCACCCTTTCCCTAAATCCATCGTACCCTAACTCCAGCACCCTGCCCTCGGCCCCGTAAACCGGGAACCGCACCGGCATAGTCGTATTATTCCTATTGTACCCGGCGTGTCCCAATCCCGCATTCGGATCCCCGTGCTTCACAAACCCCACGATGTAATCCTGCAGCTGCGCGGCCAGGGTTCCGTTGATGGGGTGCCCGTTATCGGGCGTCGAAGCGTCCCCGTCGAAGAACACGTACGGCACGTCCGTCTCGTGCCAGCCTGGCGGGTACGCGAATATGTAGGCATATGTCGCAGCGTTGGTATTGGTGTTGGTATCAATCTTAGCGTTGAGACTGGGATTGAATTTCGTGTTTGGATTCGAAACAGTCCCGTTCCGTCTCGCGGAAGCGAGGTACCGCGCCATGCACGCGAACCCGATGTCCGATGTGAAGCGTGCCGCGCGTCCGTACTCTGTCGTCCATGGGTAGAGCGCGCTGTTGTTCAGCACGTCCGGGTACAGGGCCGGGTCCGTGAGCAGGGTCTCGATGGTGGAGTTCGCGGCATGCCGGACGCTGGCGCTTATGTATGCTAGGACGTCGGCCGAGGTGTTGATTTCGGCCGGGAGGAAGGGGATGGATTCGTTGGATGTGTGGCTTGCGAGGATCTGAGATGCAGTGAGAATGTAAGTTTGGAGACGCTTAAGCTGACTTGTTGTTATGCATTAAGAAGAAGAGGGGAAGCGAGTAGGGAAGATTACTCACGTTGACGCTAGAGTCGAATTTGCCCTTGTAAAGGAGGACTTGCGGCACGTCTGTCACGTACGTACCATCGAGACCGGGTCCAAAGCCGAAAGTCCCGACTGGGGCTTGCATGACCGTCGCTTGGTTAATAGCGAATAGTGCTTCAGCCGGCAACTTGCGCAAATCCGCTACCCCCTCAACCGCAGTCCCCAGCTGCTTTGATGCTACGGCCAACGTCAAGTTGTAGCCTGCGGCTACGTCGATGTTATACTGAAAAGCCGGCGACTGCGGAATCGCCTTCTGGAACGGTGCGGGCAAGTTCCCGCCGTAGGCGGTGATGTGGTGGACGATGCTCGAAGCGCCCGCGCTTTCTCCCATGGCGGTTACTTTGCTCTTACTACCGCCGAATAAGCCGATATACTTCTGCACCCATTCCAGCGCGACTCGCTGGTCGTACAGCCCTAGGTTGGGCGTCACGTCGTCGCCGGCTAGCCACCCGTACATTCCTAGGCGGTAGTTGATCGAGACCACGATGATGCCGTCTTCCCCGTTAGCCCGCGATTGGGCGATCAGCCCCGAGGGGCTGCCGTAGAACGACTTGGAGCCGAATGTGAAGCCGCCTCCGTGGATCCATACTAGGACCGGGGCTAGAGAACTCAATGCTGTCAATTACGAGGACCGAGTTGAACTGGTAAGACGGGGAAGGGTTAAGAGGCACATACCTTCAGCGGCGACACCTTGCGCGAAAATGGCCTCCGGTACGTAGACGTCTAAGACTAGACACGCCTCTGTCTGGCCGGCTTGCCCATTAAGCGACACAGCTGCCGTGTCCCAGTCTATCTCCCGGCGCACCGCAGTGAGGTTGATGGCCCATTCCGGGTAGGCCTGCGGGCACGCTACCTTAATATTGTACCCATTATTTACGATTTTTGTTTCGTTTGTTTGAAGCCCTGTATCTTCTATAGGAACAGGCTTCTGGAAGCGCAACTCGCCGACTGGCTGCTCCGCGTATGGTATGTTACTGAATATGTAGTAGTTGCCAGTTGTCTGTCTCGAACTGTCAGCTTTCCTATAGGTTTGTTCATGTTTCCTCTCCCCTTTATGAGCAATAGAAATTACTTGACGTGGTGAAAGTGGACTGTTTAGAAATTGAGTGGTGGATCTGCGTAAGAGGAACGTACGTTGATAGAACCCTGATGGATTTCATATCCCAAGTCCACCATGGGCAGCGCGCTCGTCAAATTCGTCTCCAAAGGCCCGAGAGCCAAAGACAGGCTGGCGCAAGTGACCAAGAAAAACCAAGATGTCTTGACATTGGCCATTGTATGCAGGTGCGTTAGGCTACTTACGAGCCGTGAACGAGACCGAGTCCCGGGTGGGCAAGAGCAGGAAAAGGGGGAACATAAAACGGTCAAGCAGACACCAACAGCGGCGGCCCAGAATATAAGAAAATGCGCATCATAGGGTTTTCACGTTACTTTTAATTTAAACCGCGAACTACTTAGATAGTGCCCGTTTATCCGTTTTTTGTCATGACGATTTCTATGGCCAACCGTGCGCGCATTTATGCTGCGGATTAGGAACGAGCGCAAAGTCTCATCGCTCGAACTGTATATAGGTACATAGAAAAGGACGCATGGGCGCGCGGCCGAAGGAGTAAGCAGCGACGATACATTCTGAGGCGCAGCTCGAAATCTACGAGTAATTGAGCACCGAGGAAGGAAAGTTATTCGGCGCTCGTTTGCATATGCGGGCCAGGATAGGAAGGTTGTCTGAGTAAAATTTAAAAGCCAAGATCCGATATATCTTGGGCGCATGTCGTCACCGGCTGATGATTTAGAATGCGAGGTAGGAGTAAAAGAGCCTCGTAACCGTGGTGCAACTCTACACATTGTAGGTATATATGATGTGTAGGTATGTATAGGTAGACTCCCCGGAGAATGCTACGGAGCTAACGTCCCCGAAGATATAGGTTTATGCTTACAATTCTAGTGGTCATGCCATCATTGTATAAGTTTATTATCAGCCTCAGGTCTCACATTGGATTCAACTTTTATTCGAGCATTCCTACTAAGCAGATGCGGCGCGAGATTGCATTCGATCTCAACAGTTTGTCCACTAATCTACCTGCCATGGTAAATTATGTCCTTAGCGTACCCCTATCACCTCGCGAGACTTATATACAAGCACAGAGTTATAGTACAGAGTTGACAAGATGGTCGGCAGGTGGCTACCTCGCGATAAAGCCGGAATGGTGTCAACTTCACGTCCTAGGTCGCGCGTCGCTGGAGATTGCTTCGCCATTCTTAGAATCACCGACTTCTCTTTCTTTTTGCCCATCCGAATTGAACAAGGTCTCTTGGGCTATGAGAAGTGAGTTAGAAAGTTCAAACGAGATAATGTCACCATTAAGAATCAGACTTACCACTCCAGAGTTCCGAGTAAAGACCATCGCGGTCAATTAGTTCTTTGTGCGTCCCCTGCTCAGCAACTTTTCCCTCTTTCAATACGATGATCAGATCGGCATCGTATATAGTTCGTAATCGGTGGGCTACGAAAACGCTCGTTCTTGCCTTCTCTCGCAGGATGCTGTTAATGTTCTGCATGAGAGCCTGTTCTGTGTGGGTATCGAGTGCGCTTGTCGCCTCGTCGAAGAACAATAGAGGTGGGTCCTTCAGCAGCAACCTGGACACCGCAAGGCGCTGCTTCTCTCCACCACTGATCATCATACCTCTTTCGCCCACTTTCGTATGATACCCAGAAGGCCAACTTGATATTATGTCGTGAATGCGGGCACGTTTTGCGGCGGCAATAACTCGAGATTCAGGTGCTGATATGTCACCATACTTGATGTTATGTTCAACGGTATCGTTAAAGAGAGGCGTGTCTTGTGGGACAACTCCAATCGACTTTCGCAGCGACTCCAACGTAACATGGCGAACATCTTGGTCGTCAATGAGAATCCGTCCAGTCTCGACGTCATAGTATCGGAAGAGAAGTCTTAATAATGTAGACTTTCCACACCCGCTTGGCCCGACGATTGCGACTTTCTTACCTGCAGGGATTGTCATGGTTAGGTCTCGAAGGATAGGACGTTCCTTGTTGTAGCCGAAGTTTACGTGCTCAAACTTGATCTCGCCGCCTTTGACAAGAAGGAGCGGTTTCGCATCAGGGAGTTCCTTAATAGAGACATTCACCTTCTGCAAGTTGAAGAGCGTCTCCATATCAAGAAGGGATTGTCTCAGCTCTCGGTATACGGAGCCCAAGAAATTCAACGGGACGGAGAGTTGGAAGACGAGCTGGTTGACCATGACCAAGTCACCAACTGTCAATGTGCCATTTGCCACACCACTGGCGGCGAGGTACATCATGCCTGTGAGCGCGCTGGAAAAGATGATATTCTGACCACTGTTGAGGAATGCTAAAGATGTTTGAACTTTAATAGAGCTCTTCTCATAATCGTGCAACGCCTTATCGTATCGAGAAACTTCAAACTTTTCGTTATTGAAATACTTCACAGCCTCATAATTAATCAAAGAATCGACTGCTACTGTCGAAGCCTTGTTGTCGGCGGCGTTGGCCTGTCTTCGGAACTTTGTTCTCCAGGCCGTGGTCCAAATAGTAAACGCGGTATACGCCGTCATCGTAACGGCAGTGATGGCGGCATATTTCGCACCATATTGCCAAGTCAGGATCCCACAGACCATGCCAATTTCCAGCGCTGTCGGGAAGATGTGGAAGACCATGCTGGTAAGTAGGAAGCTAATACCCTTGGTACCTCTGTCAATCGCCCTTGTCAGACCGCCGGTTTGTTTGGTGAGATGGAAATTCAAATCCAGGCGCAACAGGTGATCAAAGACATTGCAAGCAACTCTCCGAATGGCCTTCTGCGCGACCGAAGCAAAGACGGCATTTCGAAGTTCCTGAAATACGGTAGCGCCTATCCTTGTCGCGCCGTATGCGACTATCATGCTCCCCGCGATCATAGCAGCCGTGCCACCCGTCGCCCCCACATCGATATTCATGGCATCAACAATGCTCTTGAAGTAAAACGGCACCTGGACATTCAACACCTTTGCGCCGACGAGAAGCACGACAGCTAATGAGACGCGCAACTTAGTGCTCACACTATCCTTAGGCCACAGGTAATGCGCCATCTCTTTCATGATTGCCCAGTCAGCCTTCCGTTGCTCGTGTGCGCTCTTGTCGATCGTGGCGAGGGGGTCTTTGTGTTCGGTTGGCGGCTTCTTCGGCTTCGGAGCATTGGGGGCCTTGGAACTAAAGCTGGCTGTATTCGACAATATCTTCAGGGTTGGACTTAAGCCTTGATGAGGGCTAGACTGAGGTCTTTGTTGCGACCATGGGGACGTCGCGAATGCACATGCGCCATTGCGCGGTGGTAAAGAGAGCCATGGACCTAAGTGAGGTCTGTTGTAGCCCAGACAGCTTTGGCGAGGGCCGGTAGCCCTAGAAGCTGTTCGGACGATCATGGCTACGGTGTCGTTGAGATATCAACCATCGTGGACCACGCGTATATGCCGGGTCGTGAAAGTCGTCGGCGCCGGGATTGTGGGAACTCGATGATGAATGCAAGGGAGAAGGGCGTAATCCGATCAAGGCGCTTTTCAATGAGAAGTCATAACCTTGTAATTATCCGGGACGAAGTGCAGGATAAGTAGGTGAGTTATAAAAGAGGAGGCAGGAACATGTAGAGCTTTACCATTTGAACTCGGTTCGCAGGATAGGTAGGTACATAAGTGGAGGGGCATTTGGAGCTTCCCTCGCTTCGCATTTTCTAACATGAAAGTCGCGCAATGATTGATCGATCTGACGTAGAGCCCCTTCCCTTAAGGTCATTACCTAACATAGTTAGCCTACCATATTTATAAACTCCTGGTTGCCGAATCGGCGGGGGTAAGGAGCAGGGTCCATATCCGAGATCCACTATCTCCGAATTGCTGGTGTAAATGGCAACTGCTAGGTCCCTACTTGGTTCTATTTCCTACAACTACCTACATTACCTAGTACACATATGACATTTGGTCGCTGCTAATTACCGGAACTCCGAAGTCTCAATAACATCCTGCTTCTTAGAAAGGCAATATCCCACCAACATCACTGGCTGACCAATCCTATGTTCCTGTGTATCTGGCTCCGTCCACTCCGAGAACTGGGCGAAACCAAGCTTTTCTAGGACCTTCCGGCTTCCGACATTGTTCACATCTGTGTAGGCGTAAACTTGTTCTGTAGTGTCCGATTCAGAATCCTTTGTTCTGTGGATGGACGAAGAGCACACCAGACGTTTGACATGGAACCTGGGTAAACTCCACCAAGCTTCAAGAAACGCCTTCAGAAACTCCGTCGCATATCCTTGTCTCCAAAATTCTTTTCTAAATTTGTATCCGATTTCCGGCCAGCCACAAGACGAAGACTCAAGGTTATGAACGCCACCTTCACCAATCAATTCCCCCGTGGACGTGAAGAAAACGCCGAACAGGAACCTCTTGTTGTCTTTTGGTGATAAGAAGTCACTCATAGCCGCTCGAGACTCGTCCATATTCCGATCAGGTGTCCCGCGTGTCGTGCCGGTCATTGCTTCTGGCTGTGAACGTAATTCGTGGTAAGACTGAAGGTCATTTTCTTGTATAGGTCGAATCACTAGTCGCTTTGTTTTGATTGGCTGACGTTGGGAATTTGGTGGAAGTGGTACGTATGGAAGCGTAGTCTCCACAAATGTCCACGAGCTTTCCATAACAAGAAGTTATTGTTTGAAATAACAGGAGCTTGATGCGATAGAGATTTTTGTTGAGGCCAAATATTGGATTGGGTTTAAGTCTTATATAATGTTCAATTCTCTTTGGACATTTGACATGACTCATCCGGCTAGAAAAATTGCTGTTAGTCTAATTTCATTTTAGCAAATATACCTAATGACAACCGTTGGACGAAACTAGGTACTAACATACCTAGGTAAGCATCACGAGATGGTAGTTGCTCTATTACCTAAACTCACGAACAGTTGTTTTAGCACTTAGTGTTTCTTCAATGACAATCTGTATAAACATTGCATTGTTTAGAGACAATAGGATAAAGCACATACAATGCAGTGTTCTAATTTGCTATAAAGGTACCTACTAGGTAGACTAAGAATACCTACATTTCAAAGAACCACCCAAGAATCACCTTGATAAATATTCAATATGGCGACCACAGTAACAGACAACACTAAGCCAGATGGCACGACTAAGTCAAATATCCCCGGAATCTTGGGTATCATATTTGGCAGTGTCGTCTTCCTTGTAGCTGTGATATTAATCATAATACGCTGCCTATCGGCGAGGGTTAGGGCGAATCAGCGAGTGCATGAGAACGAGTTTGATGCAGTGGAGTTAGGTGAAGTACCAAGCACATCCCCTTTCTCACAAGCAGGTGTTACATCATATGTACCTAACAGGAGGACAGATGAAATCAAGACTCGTGCCAATGCCTGGGAAGATGAACTGAAATTCTATCGGAGTATGCAGGCGCATAGGGAGACTCGCATCCCGAGAGACAATTCGCTTTCTCCACGTTCGAAATCGGTTCCCAACGTGTCCCATCCAAACTCTGAGATGGATATCACTAATGCAAGACGGAGGCTGGATCGTCAAGCCCCCAATTCCGGATTGCCCGTATTTGGCATTGGCCCTCTCGTAGATGAACCCGAAGAATACGATGAAAGCCCACGTTCATATGCTGGTCAAGTATCAGTAGCGGAAGCCATACCGATAGTAAAAGTGACTAGAAAGTCAAGGCCTGTTGAAGTGAGAGTGGGTATAGATCATATCCCTAGACATGCTACCATTTCATACTCTCACTAGGCTGTCCCAGACTGGAATATCACTAGTTCTTGGCGCGGAATGACATGAGTAAGAAGGAAGAATGAGTATATTTAGATGACTCAGTCTGAATAGGGGGTAGGTGAGTTCAACTAAATATGTAATACTTAGTAGTAAAGTAGTATACAATATGAAACAAACCTACATAGGTACCTAACATTTGTTATATGTGTGACTCAACTGATGATGTAAGTGCAGCTACTACTATTTGGTAATAATACTTATTAACAACGTTTCTTTCCCTTTTGAAGATCCGAAACTCTTACGATAGACATTTTGTAAGAAGTTGCAAGGGTGCAAGTGCCCATATGCCATCTATCCCTACAGTGCTAGGTAGGCACACGAAGTGAAATCATATACTTAGTTAGACCTTGGAAGCTACTCTATTTACTTATATGACAGGCGCACGATGAAACATATATATCTGATTGGTTAATCGAATAAGCACGGGTATGAACTCCCGTTCGTCGTTTCCTTCCCTGATATTTGCCGGCGCTCGCCGGACCGTCATGATGAGCAACTTCCTCCTTTCCATCAGTGCAGTTGCCAACTCTACCCACTTGTTCCGGATTGCGATTTCTATCTTGTGGAAGTCGCGGGTGCCTTTTGAATCGACCGAAGGATTTCTAAAAGTATTTAACAGCACCGTTCCCTCATCACTTTTTTTCCCTTTTCCTCACATCTTTCAACACATCGTCCAGTATCACTTATTGTCATACACACATTTCACGCCGAATCATACTTCTTCACTCTTTCATCTTACATTGACTGGACTACAGATATTCAATATCAAGAGTAGCAAGCACAAATAAGTCTAGTCACTTCTTCATCTTCCACGTCTAGAACTTAGATCACGCCTGTCTTTATTTGAGAATAGTGGTATATCTAAGATGGAACCACAGCATAGTAAGTCCTCCTAGCATCACAGAGCACCTACTTAGGTAGTAGGCATCCATTGACGATGATGATGTTATTTTTTTTTCCCATGCGATATCGCCGACGCTGACTTCAATGTAGCTACCAATGAGCGCCCTTTCCAGTGCGGTAAATGCTCATACAAGGCAAAATCTTCTGGTAACCTGCACAGCCATTTGCACTACATTCATATTGGCACACGATGTCTCTGGCCAGGTTGTTATATGCAGACCAGCACGGAAGCAGGGATGCGTGCGCATCTGAAGAACGCTCACTGTGAGCCGGATACGCGCCAGATAAGAGATGGTGATCGCATCAGAATGAAATTTGCTTGTACATGGCCAGGATGCAGCAAGACACACTTCTGCCATGGAAATGCAATACGTTGTTGTCATTTCCATGTCTATAACATGATCCAGGAGCAAAATGCTCAAAGGAATAGCCCGCCGGATGGTGCTCAGAATAGAGTTGAAGGTGAAACTGCCCATGAGACGCAACATGATGTTGACGTCGAGGAGACTGAGGAGATGGAAAGTGAGGTCGACGATCAGGTCGAGGTTAAGAGTGAGGATGCGAGCAGTGAGAGTAGCTCTCGCAGCGAATCCGATCATGAACCAGAACCCGAGCCCGACACGAACAAGAATGGAGATGAGAAAGGGTTACAGATGAGCAAGGCGATCCATATGCTTGAATCTATTTCCACCCGAATCGAGCGACACCACGACCAGTTTAAGGGAAGGCTCGACAACCTTAGCCGCCGGGTGGATGAACTTGAAGCCGCCATTGAATCGGTCATCCACGAAGGAGAAGAAGAAAAGAGAGCGCGAAAAAGGGCTAAGTTATAATGATCGACGAATGTTATCTCTACTTCAACCGAATAAGTCGACAGCTGATCTAAAAGGACGGAGGGGAGTTAAGGGAAGGTTGCATTTGAAATGGAATTAGTACCGTTGACTTTAACTTGCATTCACAACATGTCTTCGGCCTTTCATCTCAGGCATATCTCTAAATTCCAATGCTTGATATCAATCACATTTGCGCATTCTTCCTTAGTTGCTTAGTGTGAAGTTTTACCATGATTAATCCATCTTCCTAGCCCTTTTAGCTGGGGGGACCGTGCAAACCGGATGTCTTCTCAACAAAGACCCTTCCCGATTGTTTATACATGGTATCCTAAAACGATGGTGGGGATATGATAGCTTGAAATAAGGAATACGCTGGAAAAATATCATGTCAATTTCCCCCCTTTCTTTACTTACCTGGTTACCTACCGAAGACATAGGAGAACAGGTTGGCGATCTGGACACTGAGTAGGTCAATTTACTTAGGATATTGGAACTATCCCAAGGACAGTCATTCCATTCGTAAGCACCTGCTGTGCATATTTGTATAAGACCGTCTGAGCTAGAATGGCCTCGGGTGGTTCTTCGGATCCCGCTTCTCCCTTATCTTTATTCTCATCTTCATCTTCATCGTCGTATTCATCTTCTAGGCAGTTTTGGAGTTCCTCGCTGAGACGGAATAAGTATGTGAGGATCATGGATGGTTCATGGCTCTTGATCGCAGCATCGACAGCGTCCGGATATTGAGCCATCACGCGAAGGACCTCCGTCCAAGGATCTTCCTGCAAATACGTGTAGTCGACGTTGGCTAAGACTGCCTCTTCAGACTCCGATTCGCTGATCTTTGCGCGGAGTTTCGCGTAGCAGAGTTGTAGGCTTGGGCCTGTGTCTCCTTCGAATGAAGCGAGCCACTGCGTATTGATGGTGTAGGAGGTGGCCCGTTTGCCGAGACCACAAAATTGCGTGATCAGAGAGGTAACACTAAGGATATCGGCAGATTTCTCATTGCCATCAATCCCAGCGTGGTCATATGGGTTTGTTTCGAGTACCTTGAGCGTATCCTTGGCTGATTGATCCAGTATCTCTCCGAGTAAGTGAACTTCGCCCAACTGCTTCGGTAAGCCTTGAACTTTTCCAAAACTCACATGCTCAAGCTGTGCTGCTAGGTCTTCATGACCCATGTATCGAAGCGCTTGGAATACTTTTTGGAAGTGGATGTCTTGCTCAGCGGCGACGACATAGATCATTTTATCGAATGAGTACTTCTTATGGCGATCGAGAACGGCGGCAATGTCTCGAAGAAGATACGATGTGCTTCCCGTGCGACCCCTTAGGACCGAAACACCGAGGCTCTTAGGGCCATGCTTGCTGTAATCAATGATCCAAGAACCATCACTTTCTTCATAGATACCCCTTTCCTTGAGAACCGCCTCGACTTCTGCGATGGACTCCGGATTAACCTGTGACTCACCAGAAAACTCGTCAAAACTGATGGCGAGCCGTTCGTACGTATGCGTATAGTAGGCGATGCTGGCATCACGCACCCGCTTCCAGAAGCCGATTTCGTCGGACTCGCCGTCTTCCATCCTCTTCGAGAACCCATCTCGCTCCGCGAAGATTCCCTGTCCTTCTATTTCAGCAGTGTCATGGCCTTCATCACGAGCCTTGCGACTAGCCTCTTTCTCCGGCTTGAACTGCTCGTTGATCTTTTCATAGATGTCGTGAAGGTGGCCCATCGGGTTCTCCTGAAACGCCTCTTCTGAGCCAAACTTCTTCCACCCGACACCGAGCAGCCCGATTTCTTTTCCCCAATCCCCTAGAAAGTTTAACCTTACCACATCCCATCCCACGTATTCGTACAGATTAGCAATTTGTGCGCCGAGGACTGTGCTCCGGAGGTGATGGGAGTTGAACTTCGTGGCGAGGTTTGGGGACGAGAACTCAATGACTACCTTTTTGGTGACACCATCAGTGAGGGGTAATGGCTGACCATACAACAGTCTGCCTTGTCCATGGTTCTCCGTGCGATCATTGATGTATGAGAGTATCAACCGGGGTAGTGTTAAGGTTGAGAAAATGAAGCGTAAGTGTACGCCATCGGGAATTGGCATTTGGAATAGGGGGGTTAACGAAAACTGCGAATCGGAAATGGGTGAGTCTTAATGATTGAAATCGGGCTTGATACTCTGTTACCTTCATGAAAGCCTCCTTGGCAAGGTCCTTCGGCTTAGAATTGCCCCATTTTAGTTTCGGTAAGACAAGCGTTAGGTCAGTGTTGTCTTTGACATTTGCACTTTGGATAGCCTCATATGCCAGACCTGCATCGCAGCCCAGCGCCTTTGAGGCCATATCGGCTAAGTAGCTGCGGTATATGTCGATCGGTTTCCATAAGGCATCCGACCCAACATACGTAGGCATTGCTATACCTACGCCGAGCTCTCTCAAGAGACCCTCGAGGCCATCAATAGAGCGTGTCGCCATCTCGTAGAGATACACTACAGCCGCCCGGAATGTTAATTAACGGGACTCGCCTAAAGTGTCTTAGAGGGCTTGCGCGGCTTTACTATCAATATGAGGTTCATATAATTCCCAATTCAGCCGCACTCTCCCTAAGTATCGTTGGGCACGCATTTTCAATGATGCCCGATAAGCACGAATTTTGGATGAGATTAGGGTCGTTACATGTTATTTGTTCTACCGAGTTTGGGGAAATTAATGATATGATAGGGCGCCTCAGCCTACCTATATATACGCTGTGAAAGGTATAGGTAAGCATCGGAGCTTACTGTGACTGTCACGCGCGACTTTGCTGCCTACCGACTACCTGGGTATGCTGATATGTCGCCTGCTTTCTATGTGAGTAAACACCTATCAGTCTTGACGTCAAGGATAAAGATGCCTATTCAGGAGTTCCGCATACTACCCAAACAGCTACCTTGTCTAACTACACAGCATTGTCGTGGCTGTGTTCCGATTATCCTGCCCCTCGGCTAGGGCACCTTCTCATGATTCTCGACAATCTAACTCGATATCCTTTACATATATGTGCCAACGAAGCAGCCTCAGGTAAGACAACAGCATTCAAGCTCCTTTTGGTACAATGCTGCATGCAATATTCGAATTTCTCGGGCAATCGCGACCTCTTAGCAGTGTCTCATTCTTCACCGCCAGCTGATCGTGATTCGGATGGTAAGCACTTCATCATTGGGCCACGATAATGAACCCTAGATTTTAGGGGGAATGTGCATTTCGGCTAAGCAGAAGTCTGCCCGTTACTTCCCCTTTCGCTTTCATATTTCACGATGGCCTTCTACTCAACCAGGGGTCGATGCACGAGGCTCGTGGCAGTGGGGCCTACGGACAGCGTTTATGTGATATTCAACCAACATGGCCTCATCACGAGGAGATCACTTCTCACAACAGTCACTTTATTACTGGGACTCGACTTTTGATTCAGGACAGAAGTTAAGCGATAAATATGATGAACCTTTCGCCAAGGCGTTTAGCGAACACGACTCCGCCTCGGACTTTATCAGTTTTTTCATGCGAGAATGCGATGAAAATGAGGCCTGTAACTATGCGACAAGAGTGGTGAGGGGATTCTGTCAAGATGCAGACCTCGCGGGACTGCAACAAAATATACGTGCGACGACTGAGCCCGTTGCGTTGCTTGACGACGGCGTCGGCGCCACAGCATTGGATCTTTACGAGGCTTTATTAAAACCAAAGAAAAAAGTACGTAAGAGTCATATGTACATACGTAACGGGCGTATATATGTAAGTGGTACACTGAGCGAAATAAAATTCCGTACAAGCCAATGTGAATTAATGGAAAGGCAAATAGAATAGGAAGGGGAAGGGGGCCGAAACAACCGCACGCCAACAAATGATACGAACTACGGACCAGGATGGGGGGATAAAAAGAGTGTAAGGAAGGGATTCATGTCATTATACAAGTCGTCAGCTCATCCATCACAGATACATTCCAAATCTGACCTCCTGGGCGGTTATTGCTCTTGCAGCAAGCGCACCAAATTACCAAGCGGGTATTCTAGGCGAATTCATATTCAACCACCTTCGCTTCGACCATTTGATCCACGCAAATATCCAAGTACGATCTTGTGTCATCACCGTGCCATGTGGCGTATCGCTAATATGAAGTTTCTAGCGTGAACATATCCCATCTTTCGCACTCGAGTTTCAACTACCTTACTTCGTCCTGAGAGAACACAGGTTGCCACAGGAGGATGCTCGAAGATTAAGAGGATATCAAGACATTACATTCCTACGTAATATGGGCGACAAGCTTGATAATAGTCCGACTAGATACATCTACGATACTAAGTTATCTCTCTTAATTTCCGGTACAGGTAGCCACTCATGGACCGGATTCCTTCTTGACGATCGATACTTCGGAACGGATGATGAACCCGAGAGTATTGCAGAGTACCTTGACCAGGGAAGCGCAGGTCTTATGCCGGATCCCTTTGCTGCTGGTAAGAAGCCCATGGGAGACCTACCATGCGATCCTCGGGAGCACTTCCTCATAGCTTTTGAGACCTACTTAAGTCGAGTAAACAAGGAAATGTGGCATGTGTTTATGGCTCTAGATGAAGATATCCGGTCTTATGTGGGTAATATTTCTTAGAACACAATTATTCCCGATGGAGGTCATTTTGAGACGCACATATGCTAATAAGGTGATCAGGAGAAGAACTATTGGGACCAAAAGATTTGCAGAGTATCATATAATGCGAATGACCACCAGAGAAATCGTCTAGGTACGGATAAAAGTAGGTCACAACTACGGAAGGATCACCAGGAATGGATGAGGCGCGTTGTTGGAATTTTACGAAAGCACATCGGCATTTTGAACCAATACAGCGATGAAAGGAAGATGTTCAGCGATCATGGGCAAAATTACTTTATGCCAACTGATAATGTTGGTCGCTTGAATAGACTACGGAAATCGCTTGCGGCTGTGGACCAGCAGTTTACTCGCTTGGAGCGTCTTCTGAACAAGTATAAGCACACATTGGACTGCTGCGAAGACATATCCCGTGTCGTAAGTTACGAAGGCTTGCCTTTATATCAAGAATTGAAACTTAACTTAAGCAGTTTAATCATCGAATTGCTCTAGAAGATAACGAATCAGCGCTTTTCCAGCAAAAGACGGCGAGGGACGTGAAGGTGCTGACCTGGATCACATTTGTAAAGCAACTTAATTCCCAAGTCCCGTGTTGGCGTATGAGGCTAACAAGCGGTTGCGCCAGCTTTCCCTGCCAATTACATTAGCCGCGAGCCTCCTTAGTACACAGGCGGGCTATATTCCGATCAACCCGAGCCCCGGGGCACTTCTAGCATCAATTGCCGTCTTGGAGGTAGTAGTATGGCTTGTTCTTGGCTCGTTACTCGGCTGGGACTGGTTTAGAAAGAAAATGAAAATTTGGTTACCGTATCAATTCAGGTCCAGGAAAACGGGAATACAAGAAGCCGAGCTTCAGCAAGCGGAGGGGTTGACCTAATACTCGATTGGGGTTAGGAGACGTCAAGGGTTGTTCTGGGACTATGGACGGGACTTCTTGATGCCATATTTCGACGTATCGTGTTCGACGCGACGACCTAGTCTTGGAATGTCAAAGCTGTCAATTTAAACACCACAAATCGGTTCCAATGAATTTCCAATGCGCGCTGAAAACCCTCTAACATTGATCGGTGGCATCTCTCTGGCTGACCACCGAAGGATGCATTCCCTTTCCCCACATTATTATTTCCACGCCCACGCCGACGCTCTAATTCCGTACTTGTATCTTGTCGACCCTGCAATAGGCACATCTCGGTTCCCCACAACTCTCGCAATATTCAGTATGAATATTCATTCTCGGATGACCGCAAGAGCACTACCAGTGATTAGGAAACGCGAAGCATCTGCGAGAAAAGGATGTCGATGACTTACGCAGCTCCATATCCAGACCCATCGTTTTCTCGGCTTATATTATTATCTGGTTTAGTACGCTTATCTTCGCATCCCGAGTTCACCGAGCGTTTAGCGACTGACCATGGACGATTATGCTGGCTGGACAAGTTAGGTCAGGTGAGCGTCTGTGCTCTCCAATGCCTAGGCGGATTGATGATGAAAAGATATTAGGCGTTGCGGCTCTAATGTGGTCCTTGTCGTATCGGCCTTTTTTTCTGTCCCTCTCTTTTGGCGTAGGATGCCCGAAATTAACCACTACCCAGGTAAGGGGTCGTCATTCTTAAGTAATATGAGAAGGAATCTCAAGAGTACAATACTCTCAAACCTGACACTTGAACGCTCAAACATGTTGGGCATGCTATTACATATGATAAAAGGGGCCAGCGTTGTGTCAAGGAGTACTAATATTTGGACTCCGGTAAAGTACTACTTAGGTACTGCAGGGGGCCTAAAGACAGTGGGACAGTGGGGCTCTGGTGATACATCACAATACAACATTTGGAGGTACCTACCTACCTCCTAGGTATTATCAAACTTTCCCAAGATTGCCCCTTGGTACCTTAGCTGGGCAGGAATGGATTGATTCTTTCTGATTATGATAAGCCACAGAACAGGCCGTCCTCTCAATCAACAACATTCCCAACGATGTTTCTAGACCATCGCCATTAAATGCCCACGTAACACACATAAGATCCAGCGCTCTACACTCGAACCAATATAAACAAGACACGCCAAACAAAGGTCGCCATAAGCTTGGGCCCAACAAATCTGGCAGATATCAGATTTAGCATGCAAGCTGAGCCTCAATAGAGTTGTATCTATCAATTCCCACCGTAAGCACCGCCCCGTTACGGGAAGTAAATTACATCAAGTTTTATTTAGTAATTTGATCCAGATGTATATTTCAGTAGAGGATGCTGGAGTAAGCTTCCTTAGGTATTCCGATTCATTTTCTGGTAGTCTACCTACATGTACTCATCTCGTTATGACCGGTTTCTATATTTACGAGAAGGTTATGTATGAGACGGGACGGAATGGGATGGGGGAAAGACATTTCCCTCGTCCGTAGAGTACATTATATCCGCACCTGAAAACATTTCCGGTCGAATCAACCAATATTTAGCCATTGTTAATTTCCACATTCGTATTCATTCCGCTATCATTTTCGTCAATACCTACCAGGTAGGTATCGTTACTTTTCATGATCTACGCGACCTCCCGAAAGATGCTCTATGTTGTACCTACTAATTTAAACGCTAGATAAGTATGTATATTGACCATTTCTATGAGGGTCTCGGTTAGGTACTTACGTACGAAAGACATGATCACCAGACTATCAAATGCCACTATAAGCCCTTGCGCTACATTCTGTGCTTCATTTCCACCACTGGCTGAAATAGCACAGCAGTCCATGTGCAATGATACATGCTGCCAAGTGAATGATGGACTCCAGGATTAAGTGAAAAGCTTACTCGGCTTCAGTTTTTCTCCTCGATAATTCTGGGCACGAAGTCCACAGATGATTCCAGAAAAAAGCAAAAAAGAACACATAGAAATTTTGAGATAAAATAATTTACAATTCAGCAAGGTCAATAAAATCGCATGAGTAGATTTTGAGGTCAAATAGGGGTAAATGAGACGAAGCTTCACTATCGTATATACCAGAAAGGTACCCACTTCCCCAAGTATTGTTTACAACCTTTATCAAAAGAATCAACATTTTGACGTTTTAGATTCGTAGCTGTGGGAATTGTAATAATCAATAATTCTATGCGAGACGATAGAATGGCGCTAATAGACTTATGAATGCTATGTCCTGTTTAGCTACTAATGTAGTAGATACCTAATCTTATGGGGCGGAAGTGCATAGAATATAATAGGTAGAGCTAGTTAAGAATAACATAACAATGTTCTTTCATGATTATGTTTTACCTCAAATAGGCAATCCCGAGATAATATAGTCCATATAGATCATAAGTCTACTGACCTGAGGTACTCAATTCTTCAACGAATTCAAGCCTCGAAAGATAGAGTTACCTCGAAGATGCTTGTGATAGGTTGTTTGTTCACGACAGCTAGGTACATCGTGAAATACTTGATATACCTAGGTACCTATTGTAAGATGAAGTATATAGATTCCCCCTTTTCTACAAGCTAGGGATAAGACTATTCTTTCATTTAAAACAAAACCTGTTTGCAATGAACACATACCTAATTTCTCATATTTACCTAGGTACCTAATATTAATAGGCAAATAATCATTAAATCATTACAAACAAACGGAGACATTGCATTGAGTGCTCCTCGTTCAAAGGTCATCGTCTACTATGGCTACTAATACCAAGAGGTAGGTTACGATGTAAAATCTACATAGAGGCCATACTACTAGCAATGAAACTTTAAATGGCAAATCATAGCTACCTATCAATTTGTCACAATGTATTGCCGATGCTATTCGTTCATTTTATCAACAGATGGAATTTACCCAAACTTGTCTAAGTGATTGAAGTGTTAGTGGCTCATCAAGTGAGCCAAAATTCTCTAACACTGTCAACAAGATATTGCAAGAGATAGATAATATCCAAGAAACTCCCTATCCTCCTTCATAACTTTGCAAATTCTATTTAAACCAGGGAAACTTTCTTTCATAAAGGCACCTTTTCAAACTCGCAGCCAGTACATCTTGGAATTGAGCATTCCGGGCATGTGTCTTCGCTCCTGGATACTTTCCCAAATCCACAGGAACACTTCGAACCGTTAGTAAATCTCAGTGACTAAGTAATTAAGATATTGTTGGTTGAGCTACTCACGCAGGTCCAGACCCACATCCACGTTTTTCTAATCTATTGTTTTGCTATGATTAGCAGGATCTCGGTGTGTTGATTGCTTTAGCTGAAAAAGTAACTTACTCCGGGTGGCCACTGGTTACCCTCTGGCATAGATGGATAGGGTGAGGGTGGCATCATGGAAAATGATGCCTCGTATTTAAGGGCAAGACCAAAGCAACGTAATCCTCTCGAGTCAGTCGTGTCTTTTGAGTCTTCCAATAGTCTAATAAGAAAGAAAGATGCTAGGTAATGTCCTAGGTATTCAAATATCCAAAATAATTGACATTTAGCTGTAGGTATTTATAAGAATATTACGGAGAATATGACTATGGGACCAGATATTATCGATGTAATATCATGAATATGGAGAATGACTCTGATATTAGGTGGATAATACCTTGCATCAAGACCATATCCTCTCCGAATGTTACCTACTCGGCATTATTGCTGTTGATTACTTAGTGATAGATTTAACTGGAAGTTCAACAAAGTACCATGATGGGGTCTTATGATTATGTAGGGTTATTCAGATGGACACCGGCATGACAACTACTCAGTCATATGAGAGCGAGGATACCTATACAGGCAGTATTATTGAATAAGGGCATGTAGGGCTGTGAGCGGATATTTGCGACGGCAAGGTTCTTAAATTATGATTCATGCTATAGTTGTTCAGGGCATGACTTGTAAAGGAACCCGTTATGAACGTTTAAAGCTCCTGACCCGACTTGAATCCAGAATGAGAACATTCTTATGTCATGGGGCTTTGTTTTCCTAACCCTGTGTCATTGCTCGAGTCACTAAATATCCTATTCCCCGGTTGTTAATAACGCCAACTCGTCGGACATAAGCTCCTACTCGTTATCTTCATCATGAATTCGGATAAGAAGGGCAATACCAAGTGTCTTGATGCAGCCGTTTCTCTAAGTGAAGGGATGGAACGATAGAAAGAAGCATGATTGAGTGAATAGAGTGTGATCAAATGGGGATTCTTGATACAATTTGTGGCTCAGGCTGGCCAGACACGCATTGAGCACCTAATCCTGCGCATGAAACTTATTGATCGGATTTTCAGTTCTGCATTCTTCGATCTAAACCCCGACAGAAGACTTCCACCAGTTAAGGAAATATCTTACTACAGATAAGTTGGCCTCGGCAATTAATAGGTACCTAGGTAATGTATCAGGAGGCCGACTTGCGCAAAGAGATCCAAGCGACAAGATAGTGCCGTTTCGCAACTTAATAGACTTGCACAAACTCCCATGCGGTCCCCCTACCCTTGCCAGATATTTCAACTAATCTAGTTCCACTTTTGTTGGCTTCCATCTTCATCAAAGCGTCCCAGTGTTGCGACAAGAGGAGGTAGCCACCGTCTGGATGCCTTCTCGCACAGAAGCGTTCCCAGCCTCTGTGCTTCTTGACTTTGGCCATATAGCCACCTTTGTTATCGCGACCCATGTACATGCCATGTATAGGATCATAAAACCCAAGCCACCCGTCGTTCTCAATGCAGACCCAGTGGTATCCGCCTTGCTCGCCTGTAGAATGCTTGAGACAGAGCTCTCCTCCTTCGAGGGTGATCTGTCGTCTCGTGGTAGGGTCACGGATTATATATGTATTGCCTGGGCACGGTACTGTCTCCTTACGAGTAAAGGTCGAAGAGTAGTAGTCGTAGTCGGGTAGTGGATCCTCTGAGGGATCCTCTGAAGGGGGTGGCGTTAGGTCACCTGCTGTTGTCGAACTTTCTGTGTTGAGATCAATCGGATCAAACGCAGATGCCATCTTGATATTTATTTAATAAGAAGCCAGCTGCAGGTTTCTTGTTGAAGTTATGAAGCTGAAAGGATGGAAGAACAAGAAATAGACTGCTTCGAAGAGGGAGGGGTAATTGGCTGTCTTATGAGACAGTTGGTCGACGTTGGAAAAGCGATTGCGCCACGCCGGCGGCCTCGACCGCTGCGACCGTTTGTTACGGCCTCAGGCACTCTTTCATTGTCCAACCACAGCGTTGATTCCTTTTTTATCTACGCAGATAGTAGGTTGCACGGCTTCTTGCAGAAGGTTGGAGCCATTGACGTAAACAATGTAAGACATTCTACGCTACTTAGTGATTCTGCTTCATAGCGGCAAATACTCCTATGTAATATCCATGTAGGTACTAAGCACGTTGGCCTGTATTAAAAGGTACCAGAATATAGGGGCATACCTTGTAATGAAGCTAGCGAAGTTCGTTTTAAGGTAAGCGGGGTTGTAGGGCTGAGAGGTAGGGGTTGAAAATCCGAATCTCGGAGTTAACCTTGTTGACTCCAACTGTTCCGATAGGATTATGTAATACTCCCGCTGACTAAATCTGGAATCTGCCGCTGGCTTATCTCCCCCTTTTCCCCACCTTGGCCGTTTACGACCAACGCTGTTCGGACGGTCGTCCAGCTTACGTACTATTTGAGCGGAAACACTTCTGGAAAGATATATCATTTAAGAAATGCCATGCAGGAAATCTCATAGAAATTCTCATCATGGCTGTATTCAATGCAAATCAAAGAGAGTGAAGGTTCGTGAGACTCTGTATCCTAAGATTAAATACCTAGCAAACCCCCTGACTCTATTGACAGTGTGATCAAGAACAGCCTAGTTGCGCACGATGCAGGAAGAAAGGCCAAGATTGCACTTACAGGCATCTCATGTCATCGTACAATCCATTCGAGGACCGCAATCATATTGGATCAGCATCGACTTCTGTGACTAGCCCCTCCATTATTGACAAGCCGGTCTCACAACACGACCATGAAGCTCTCGATCTTACACCTCAACTTAATTCTATAAAGCAACCACCTTCAATAGGACCATCGTCAGCTATAACGGTCCCACTGTACAGAGGACCTTTGATGTTTGACCCAACTACCGAGCAACTTTTCTACCATTATGCTACAGAGGTCTCACCTGTCTTCACTTCGGTGGATGTCCCGGTTGAAGTCTTATCGAGCTTTCATAATGCCGTCATTCGGCATTCGTTTGAACATGCTTATGTCTATCATGCCATGTTGACGGTTTCGGCGCTTCATCTCGCCTCATTGACATCTGCTTCGACGCCTGCTTCTCAAATCCGCTCACCGCACGTCATTACAGCTTTGGCACATAAGGCGTCCGCTCTCGAAACACTTCGCTCAATCGTCAACTCGATCACCTCTTTAACATGTGAACCTGCATTGGCCGCCTCGGGCCTTCTTACAGTATGTGCCTTCGCTATGCTCCATGCCGGGGTCGCTATAGATGTTATTGATCTGCTAGCCCAAATCATGACCTTATACAGAGGCACCGTGTCTATCTTTCGGTTCGGTAGACAAGATTCTATCGCCGTCCTCAGTACCACAATCCCTACTATAAGACAGGCTATTTTGACTGCTATAATAGGCGAACGACCGTGGCCAAGCGCCGATGTAGCGGCTGATAAAATATTAACCAAGATCTTTGAGCTTAGCGAGGATAGTGATGACGCCAAGCAGAAAAAGAACGTCCTTCTTGATGCAGGACTTAAGCTAAAGGTCGCGTTGAGGCGCATCTCAGGAACGAGGGGCGTGTATAGTGTTGCTTGTATGTGGCTTGCTATGGTACATCCTGCAATCGTCGAGTATATAAAAGCCCGGGAACCCTTGAGCCTCGTTCTACTAGCTCATTGGGTAATCGCTCTGAGATATATCAAGCATATCTGGTGGGTCCAAGGTTGGCCTGAAAGGACTGTGCAAGCCGTGTGGCAAGAAGTTGGAGAGCGATACCCAGACTTGTTCGAATGGGTTTTTGAAGAGCTGAGGGACGAAGCTAAAAATGAATACCACTCGATGTTAGAAGCGCGATCAATACCGGCCGGTATTATAGCACCACCGGTCGACTAGGCTTTCACAGCAAATCAAGTATATTCTCGACCGATACGTTCATTATTGGCAAATTCTGCGAGACATGTTCATCCATCCTACTCGAACTGAGTCGACCTCATAAACACTAAAATACAAGACACGATGCGACATAATTATATACCGACTGGATCGTTTCTCTATGATAGAAGCGAAGTAGAATCTCCTAAGCTAAGGGTACTCAAGACAACTCCCGTGCCTGGTAGTAGCCGGTTCCGTATGCCTATATGCTGTCCAGTTGAAAGGCTCAGGGGTAATCCAGGAACAGGTTCCCAATTCAAGAACATCTTTAAGCAAATAGAGAAATACTAACATGTGATTTAGCAGCTTCTATTAGAATACCAACGCCTCGGCTGAGTACCCCTCTCTCTACATCCCAGCTAACATGCCCATTCACTCCACACCGCTAAACTACTTTGAATATCCTATAGCCGTATTAAGTCAAGCTGTCAGCCCTACGAACAGGGTCTAATTGTAGAATGGGGGGTTTATCAACTTTTGGTATGTCAAAATAAATGTAAGCCCTAGTAAGATTCTATTATCAATCGTCTACTGTGACGAGGGCTTATATAATAAAGGCTAGATTCAAGAAACAAATCAATATAATAATTATCTAAGGGTCCTATAGCCCATGCTTCCCTCCTTTCTCTTCTCGAGAGCTCGAGGAATTGGAGGTCCTATTTATGCCTGTAGGTCTATGTTATACTTAGGCACCAATATCCTTATTCATCAATCTAGTCCTAGGTCCGTTCATGACCTTGCGTAGCGGCTTAATCCTTCCTGACAACTTGTGACTAATCATCCCGTTATCTTGCCGCTCCAGTTCTCCTCACCGCCGTCCTTGGTCAGCATGTCAATCAGCGGTTTCGTAGCGCAGGTGGCCGTGTGACATCTACGACCTCTTCCTCTTTTCACATCTCGTTTCTCTCTTCGCGAGATAAATCAGTGACAAGGTTTCTTATAGGAGTACCACATCAACAGCTTCCCTGAAACAACAATAGTTGTGTCTTACATTACACTAACTCCTCCTCTACATTGACTTTATTGCATCTTATTTCCTACCTCGTCGAAAGTATCAAAGATGACCAATACTTCCGAGGAAACACAGGTCTACGACTCAACCACATTTTGGATTGCTCCGGCGCGGAACTTTAGAACCTCAGCACGGCTACATTTGCAACATCTCCTCTTCCAAAACACTCTAGACCACATCTTAGAGCCAAACATCCAAACCTTCGTCGCAGGCCGTAAGGAACTAAAAGTCGCCGACCTCGGTTGCGGAAACGGCGCCTGGTTGAACGACCTGTATGATGAACTCTCTAGCAAGGGCATATCGGCCCAGTTAGACGGCTACGATATCAACCCGATCAACTTCCCCGCATCCGCGTTCCTGCCGCCGTCGGTCACCTTGAAGAAGTTGGACATCCTTGCCAAGCCGCTGCCGGCGGATATGGTAGGCGCTTACGATATCGTCCACGCCCGCGCTCTGACCAGTATCATCGTGGGCTCGGACCTCTCCCCCGTGCTCTCCGCCGCGCTGGCCTTGTTAAAGCCCGGCGGCTGGCTGCAGTGGGAGGAGTCGCGCGCGGATACGTGGGTCGTCCAACCGCCCGCGCCTGACGTATCGACCACTGCATGTGACACGATCGCCCACATGCTGAAGGCGGCAGGTCAGGCGAGGGGCTCAGGTTTCGAGTTTTTGGGAGAGCTAGGGCGGCACGTCGAAGAGTTCGGCTTTAGCGACGTCCATTCGCTCTCGGTTAACCTCCGGCCGCGCGATCTCAAGGCTTGGACCGAAGATTATTTGATGGTCTGGGAGGAGCTCTACGTGTTCTTCCCTCCTAAAGCTGAGAAACCGGAGGCACCTATGACGAGAGAAGCATGGGTAGACTTGTTTGCCAAGGCCGTGGGGGAAACTGAAAAGGGGGTGGCGATTCATCAGGGCGCGATTGTGTCCGTGGTCGGACGTAAGGCTATATGATACTTTCTCCATAAAAGCAAATATGAATCCTGGGCCCCATCGTCTTCATCCTTGGCCGGAATGTCTAGATACTCCTAGTACATTGGCATCCCACGAGACATTCCTATCCAAGCCAAGTCCGGCTCTACCATAACCCTTTTCCTCGCATTGCGATGAACTTCCAGGGGCTCCCTCATAGGCAGAGCCATAGGTTTAGGGCGTGCTCATCCTACAGTCGCTCATTTAAGTAGGTCAGGGTGAGGATTTTGTTGTACTGATCGATGGCGTACGTAACAATACCCCTCGACAAGTTAGCACCAAGGTACGTACGTAGGTAGTGTATGCATATACAGGTGTCTGATATCTATATACCAAGCATTCATCTCAAAATAGAAGTTAAACACTTTTTGAAGTTTGCGAACCCTTATGAAAAAGATAGTTGGAAAATCCACGAATCACCTAGAACGGCAACTGGTGTCACAAGGAATAATGATAATTATGACAATGTCAACAGATGAACTAGGTCAAATTAATGTGATGAAATCAATAGAATTACCTACTTAAGAGAATATAGGAACAATTTACGGACCTTAAATGCCTTAGATATACTTACCTATGATGTACCTGGATGAAACTCAACTAAAGCCTGAATAAGAATCGAAGAAGCCGACGGATAGAACTTGCTAGCCGTTGGAAGAAGGGTTTTGAGTAATTGGAAGACATTCCTCCTTCCGCCTCATTCCGTGTATCTTCGGAGCTTCCAGGTCCCTTTTTCGTCGCAGTTCTCTCTCTACGTTGCCTACCCCATTCTGCTCCTGTGCTCTGTCGCTCTTGCTCTCTCTGTTCGCGTGCGCTCTTGACTTTCTCTTCAAATTCTCGTTCCCTTTTCGCCAGGCATTCCTCAGTATGTTTGATTCCACAACCAATGTCGAAGTCATAGGTGCAGCGATTCGAGTTATGGAGGAGAAAATCGAAAGACTGGTTAATTTTGACCATCCTCTCGGCTACTTGTGCTTTCTTGTCTCCCTCAACCTTGTCGGGATGATACTTCCGTGCTAATTGACGACGCGAGGCCTTTATATCCTCATCCGGCGAACAATTGGGAATCTCAAGAATTTCATAATGTGTTGGTTCCCGACCTGAAGATTGACTGAATTTCAAAGGATCCAGGAACTCCTTAGCCCAGGTATTCCAGGTTTCTTCAGTTTTAGGATGGACGGGCGGCAAGTCCATCGCATCCATGAGTAAAATGAAGTTGAAAATAATAGCGCCTAGTACAATACAGGCTAAGAAGGCACAGGTTGTGCCCAGGAAGCGAAGCATTTTGAAATGTAATGTCTTAACGTAGACCGGGCTACTAAGATGTTGAGGCTTGCTCAAGATACAAGAATAATATAATTGAAGTTTTTTGGGTCTCAAATTCCGAAGTATGTGTGTCTTAGTAGACGATATGGATGGGTGTGGTGAGCCTGAGAATGGATATTTGACGAAGGAAGCTACGTAGCAATCAAAGCCATTATATAGGTGTTTTTTCAAATGTTTGTTTGATTGTGTCCAAAAACAAAGGTTTCTAATACTGCTGATAATTAACAATACAGGATTCATATTTTAGAACAAGTATGACCGCTTTGTCTAGGTAAGCAAAATATTCTGCTAGGTACCCTATATCTCCTTACCTGCCTAATTACCACCTATGTTCACCCACAGATAAGTAACGGGCTCGGCTCTTGGCTACCTACCTACCTAGACATTTATAATTTTCCTTCTATTCCCTTCGGTCGGAAGCTAGCTCCTAAAAAGATCTTGTGGTCGAGAGTTGCGTCGTCCGATCGGCCAGGATATTCTCGCTGGCTTATATTGTTGGTCACTGCTTGAAACCCAACATATCTTGAAGCAATATGAGAAGCGATCTCGTCACCGTCTGTGCTAGCGTCGTATAGTAGAATGATGGCGCTACTAATCGTCTCTAGATAGCTTAGTAGATGTCTGCTTCGATATTCCAGCTCTTCAGGCGAAGCTCCTTGCACAAGCGCAACTAGCGCCTGCAGCTTCTTCTCGATGACTTCACACTCTACCTTAAAAGACCCTCGGCAGTGTTGAAGAACTCCTAAAGCCCAACGGCAAAATACTGCTTCAATAACATTCCCACCAGCGATACGTTTGTCCTTGATAACACGGCAGACATCTTCCGCCATAACGCTAGCAGTGCCCTCCCAGATTGTATTAGCGATACAGTCACGAAACAACTTAGCCAGGTTCATGGTGCCGCCATCCTCGTTATTTTCGCAGTACCCTACACCACCAAGACACTCCATAGTCTCGCGGAGTCCGCTTACACTAGCGACAGGAACCCGCGCTTTAACAACAGGCGTCAGGAGTCGCAGCAGGGCTGCTTGGTGAGCAGGATCTTGCGGTATAAGAGTCTCCGAGGATGTGTTTTTGGCAGTCGTTTCCCACCCCTGAGTGCTGCAGCCCAACAGGGCGACAGCAAAAAAAGTAAAATGAGTCGCCGCCCAATATTTTACAGTCTCGTCGGCCATCCAGAGGACATGTCGGGGATGGTCGTACAGAAACCTCCCTCTTGCTTTGCGCACCTTGGAGAAGGCCCTGCAGACAGCTAGACCACGGGACCAATACGATATACTTCCAGCCGCCGAGTAAACCCTTGTGATGTTGAGGATAGCAGATACCTCTTTGACTCCCTTGCCCTCCTGTCCTATAAGCCAGCCGCGTGCTCCCTTGAGCTCAACCTCGGCCGTAGGGAGACCCTTGGTTCCGAGCTTATCCTTCAGCCTTTGAATTCTAATGCCGTTCAGCTCGGTCGAATTGCTGTCAGATAAGCGACTGTGCGCTTTCCGTCGCATGGGGACGAGGAATGCGCTGATTCCCAAACAGGTTCGCGCCAGAAGCACTACCACATCCGAGTCGGTGGCGCTGCTAAACCACTTGAATCCATCGATGCTCCAGGGTCCTAATGGCTGACCTAAGCTGTCTTGGTTATGCCCTAGTCTCTCTTCGTTGGTGACCTCATCCCTGGTGAGCCTACGGGCGACGGTCTCTGTCCCACTTACGTCACTACCCCCTGTTCTCTCAGTCATCCATTGGCCACTCGTCCAGCTCTGCTTAGGATCCTGGGAAACCAGCCGGCGATATGTCTCATTTAAAACGGCCTGCCGGCCTGGTTGATCGCCGTCGGGATCATTCAAGTGTCTAGACAGAAGTGCCGCCGCCCCATCTGTCATAGACATGGGGCACATAGTCATCGCGGCTGTGTGGCCCCAAACGTGACCTATGCCGAACTGTGCAACTCTACGGTTATAATTTGGTTTATTCTTATCGTATGCTGTTGAAACAGCACCCTCTTCGACACCTATTGCCTTGAGGGCTTTCCATCCTTCACAGGTGTGGAGTGAATCTGTTTTGTTTTCCTTGCCGAAGGTCGTCAAGGGATGTAGAGTTGGGACATTTGTTTCGGCCTCGACAGAATGCCAGAGGACGGAAGGTTCAAGCACGCGACGCGACAACTTATGAATAGATGCGCCAACTTCATTCTGCGCTTCGGGGGGAAGATAGAGACGAAGGATCCGGGCGAGGACGGGATCATCTGAGAGTTGCTGGGATGATTTAGACGATTTATAATTCAAGAGTTTCTCGGATGTATACTGCGGTTCAAGGACGGGGAATGGCTGAAAGAAGCCATCCGAAGATGATGAAGCTCTAGCCATGGTGTGTTAGTGTAGATAGGCATCTATCTACTACTACCTCTTTGAACGAGCAAAAGTCACCAAAATGTCAACCATTAGTTAAAAATGAGTATTCATAAGATGTCATTTAGCTACCACGATGACTGGGCCGAGGTATAATAGGGGAACGTGGTTGGTCTAATGGACATGGAGCTCAAAAGGGGGACTGAGGGCGGGCCCCACATCCCCCGCAAACCCCATCCTTTAGTGCTACTACGTACCTAAAGGGGGCCTAGGCATCTGACGACGCTACAGCGGGGGAGGGCAGATATCAACTTAGAAGTCATATAGTTCATTTTGTGTACGCTCGAAGATCGGATAAGATCAAGCTCTCCCCAATAACTAGTTGCCTATATTTACTGTTAACATAAAATACCTAACCAAGTTCAAGCCACCGTTACTAGAGTTGCCAGCCAGTTAGTACAGCCCCTATTCCAGGGGTTCAGTGCACCATCTCTAGGATCGCCTCCTGAATCTCCTTCGGATGCGACACACTCAGAAAATGAACACCATCCTCAATGAAGCTAAGCTTGGCTTCTTTCGAGCCCGTGAAAAGCTTAATTTGCTCCTGCGGGACAGTCGTACCGAAGATCGGATCCGCCGTTCCCTACAAACAATATTAGCTCGGGCTGTGTCTCGAAAGCTGAGATATACGAAGAGAGAGGTAGAAAAGTTACCTGATACCAATGAACGGGGCACTTGATATCCCCGATCCGAAGAAGCAAGCCGTCCCTCTCCGCCACATTAATGGTAGCCATCCTCAGCTTTCGGCGCCCGTGGTCGCCCGCGTAGACGCGTTGGATTGATTTGGACCAGAATTCCGCGATGGCGGGCGTAGACGCGGACCCGAGCGCGAGCCCGAGTACGGGCTGGATCCAATCATCGCCGACAACAAAATCGTGGGTCGGCGTAGAGCTACTCCAACTCTGGACGAAGGGCGTAACAAACGCGGCCGGATCCCTGTTATAATAGGCAAACAGATATTGTCAGCGCTTGCTAGTCGACAGCATCATAGCTATGCCTTTTCATGTATGATGTCAAGTTCGAAGGAGGACTCTTCCTATCTCAAATCCCAAGGAAAATCATCAACTTACCAGCAGCCCTTCGTCCGCGAATCAGCAGACTCGCAATCCATCGACGTAGCAATCGTAACCAACCCCAGAATCTATTCACCTCGTCAGCCTCGCCTCACCTCCCTATAACCCCCCCTCTCCTCTCCCCCATCCCCTTTTCACCTAGTAGGATACCCAGATAAGTAAGTAAAGTAAATAAAGTAACCAACTCACCCTCTCAGGCGCCAAAAGCGCCATCCTAGCAACCACCCACCCGCCCTGGCTCACCCCCAGCGCATACGCCTTACTCACACCCAACGCCTGCATAGCCTGGAGCGCGACGAGCGCCGAGTCCCAGTACGTGAAGTGGTCCGCGGCGCACGCGGTGGCGCCGTGGCCGAGCGGCTCGATCGCGAGCAAGTTCATCCGCGCGCCCAGCGCCGCGTCGTCGAGCTGCGCGCGATAGTACTCGGCCGTCGCGCAAAACGGGTTGACGAGCACGAGCGTCGGCTTCGCCGCGTCCAGCTTGCCGTTGGATACCTCGTAGCCGACGGTCGCGTCGAGGTGCGGGACTTGGATTGTCTGCGTCGAAGCCATGATGGTTTTTTTTTTGTTCGGTTTTTGGGTAGGTTGTATTGGATTGGATTGAGTTGAGGAGGGGCTTGGAGGGTGAGGATTGATGTTGTAAGGTAGGTAGGTAAGGCTGTAGTGTAGGTACAAGGTAGCTCAGAGAACCATTACACAGCTGTGATTCCGAGGGCTAAGATGTCAGTGTTCTCTTTCATCCTAAATAACCACGTAAAATCAAAGGGCTTTGACCCCGTTAAATGCGCCTGCTTTGATGTATTTACGGTTCTTTCATCATGCATTCCAGCAGCAGCGTATGGATCCATATGGATAGCTCCTATTGTAGGTACTTAGCACAATGTACCAAAACGCAGTTACAAATTCGGGGTGTCATTGGCGGCAATCAAATGACCTAACTCATCATGACACCTATTTAATTTAATTTTCGATACCTACGGCATAGTACCGGCGCCTTCGGTTACAGGTAATAAAGTCGTAATGGTCGATAGGCTCAGGAATTTCTCACTACGATCAAGTCAAGTTATTGCATGTAGCACTAGCTTGGTGAAAGTGCTAGCATCATCCCATCCATCCCAGTTTTACTGGACTCCAGAAATTCGGAAGTAGTTTCGATTTGGTGGAAAGGTAAGCCGCATGAAACCTCAAAAGGCTACCATCTTCCTAGGTAGCTAGAACAAGCTGGCGAGCTATCATCGAGCTATGCGGTCCGAGACCGGGAGTTCTACCCACACTATCTTCCACCTTTCTCAGCCTTCATCTCTTTCTGAGCCTGGGCGTTTATTTGGATGGCTTCCTTCAGTTTAGCCACCACCTCAGGCTGACCGCCAAAGGCGGTCAAGAGCTTCTCGTCCAACTCCTTCTCAGTAGTCACGAGGCTCTTAGCGCCACGTTTACCACTCCTCGCTGCATTGATCAGTGTTCCCCACCGCTGTGTGAAAGCATAGATGCTCTGCCGGAGCAACTCGTCCAACTTATCATTCGCATCTTGCTCCGGCTGGGCCTGGCTTCTAGGTGGCACAGCTTTGCCGTTCGCCGGAGTGCCTGTTGCTGACGACCACAGACCAATCGATAGTGAGCCGCCAATAATACCACGGAACAGGCCTAGCCAGTTTTGGGGACTGAGAGCATCCCATATTTGGCCAAAATGCTGCATCGCCGTAGGATGAGGTCTGACATCACCAAACTCAAGCGACACCAATCCGTTCTTGAGGATGAGTAAATTCTTAATCATGAACAAGTCGGGATCAGGGTCGGGATTAGCTGCTTTGTTGGATTTCAGTCGAGACTCTACGCGTTGCATAGCAAGGATAGTCTCGTCTATGATTCGAAAGACAACAGGACTCGACTTTCAGGTGAAAAGTTAATTTTCTGTTCGTCACAATAAAAAGACCCAGGTTTCACTTACACTTCGTTCTTTTGGCATTGCTTGATCATACATGGCGAGGAGTTCGAGGGCACGTTTCGTAATCGGGTGGGCATTGGACGATGCGACACCATTTACAACCGGGGTAATCTTGAGAGAATCAGGAGAGATGGTAGCTCTCGAAATGGATTTAGTGACTTCGGCGTCGAAAGCGCCATCGGTGAAGGGCCAAAAGTGTTCAATGAGTAGCCGCGCAGTAAGATCGTGGCAGTGAACGGCATATTGTTGAGTTTCTTCCTCGTCATATTCCAATAGCAGGTATTCATTCGTAATCCATCCAAGAAGATTGCATACTGTCTGGAGCTCGCTCGTTTGTAAAGTTGGCTGTAATGTTGTCGCAATCGGAATAATGTTTGCAACAGAAACCAGTGCTTTCTGATGACCCTTTAAGGCAACATAAGCGGATTGGGGATCCGCGCTATACTGCGGCTCGATGGAAAATATCTTTGCGAATAGACTAGCTTCGTCATATGATCGTTCGTAACATTGCTTAATGAAGTTGCGGCAGGCAGTTTCTACATTAATATCTTTTATGTCTTTCCTAAAAACTTCGAGGTCGTGTTGGGTCATAGGGCGAAGATCACGATCCCTGACATCCGAGTAAGAGGAGAAAATGCTAAGGGCGGTATTCGAATAGTAATCAAAGCTCTTGCCAGGTATCGCGTTTCCCAGCTGATCAAAACAACTGCTAATAACGCGTTGGGCGTTCGTTACCAAGCCATCCGCCTCAAGTACCATCTCCTCAAACCGGCCATATGCAAGGGCATGTCTGGCAGAATCGGATTGGGTAGCTATAATGTGCTTCGATATCTCGGAGGAGACTCGATCAAGATGGCCGGTAAAGCCAACTTCAAGCAGATGAAGAGCTTTAGTAAGCAAAGATTGGTATCTTGCGAGATACGATTCAGCATCTCGGTAATCAGGCTAGTTCGGGTTAGCGACAGGATTCAAAGCTAAGGATGCGTCAAAACTAACATGCTCTATCATGAATTCTATGCATGCATCTAGATTCGTCAGAATTTCGCCGAAACTCTCATGGTTTACTAAACGGCTAGCCCCTGGAGCATTCAACCTCCTCGTAACACCGTCCAGATATGCATAGTAATGCAAGTCCGTGCCAACCTCATCGGCAAGCTTCTGCAGTCTCCTCTCTTCCGCTAATAAGTCGTCACACTGGGCCTGGAAAGATGAGGTTTGCGACTCGACCGCACGAAAGGAATGGGTCAAGGAGGTAAGAAGGTCGAGGGCACCATTGGCGTCGGTAATGAGGGTGTCTAGATGGCGCTCAGTCATCTCTAATTGGTCTCTGTAAAGTCTGGGTTACTGTTAGCGACCGTATCGTCGCTTATTTCAGGATAAGGCGCCATACAAGTATTGCTGTTGGCTAGCTTCGATCAATTCGTTATCAAAGGATTCCAACTGCGGTAATGCTCGGTGACGGTCGACCTTCTCAACTTTCTCAACCATCAACGCATCTAGGTTCCTCTCCTTGACCCTCCTCCGCTTCTTCTTTTCAGCTGCAGCATCTTTGGAGAGCTGCGCACAAACGACATGGTAGAAATCGGAGTATGACTTTGCTCTCCGGCTTAATGTTGCTTCGGGAGGACTTATTATCGTCTCGGGTTCTTCAAGTAAGCCTTCTAGAGGTTCGATTGGGTCGGTTTGTTTACTTCCCTAGAAGGCTTATTTATTATTATCACCATGCATATACATGTATGTAGAGGATCAAGGATGTTCGATCATGACAGTAGTTTAATACTAACATTCGGCTGTTGGAGGAGGGACTCTCGTCTCCTATGTGCGGTGGTCGAGGTTTGTGGTATGGAAGGGTTCCTCTTATGAGTGTGGTCTGGTACGAAGTTGTACCAGGAATCTTCATACATGATCTACGACGAGTGGTGATTGTGGGATGGTGGGAATTTTAACGTGAATGTGGAAATTGTGAAATTGTTTATTACTTATTCTTTGTCGCGGCAGCTTCCACGTACAAATAATACAAATAACGTCAGTGGGCAATTGAAAGTTGCTACTAGGTGCCTGCCTGCTACCAATGCGGGTCGGAACCTAAATTGAGCCGCGAACTCGAAGTCGATAAGATTAGATAAAGTATTAAGGTACGTACCCCTCTTCCTGTTCCTTGCTTCTGCTCTGCTTCTATTATAAAGCAACTTTACCAAATTATGACCAATTACCAATCAGCGTAGCTGGGTCCCATAGCTCAGTTGGTCAGAGCGTCGTACTAATATTCTCCTCTCTTAAGATGGAAATATCCTGTAATGCGAAGGCCGAGAGTTCAAGCCTCTCTGGGACCATCCTGATATTTTTGTCAATGGTCATGACAACTCTAACTACCTCTTGCGTACACGCCTTTTCGATTCTCATCTCTGTTTCAATTCAAAATCTATTATAAAAGAAACAATCCCTCTATTAAGGTTCATTAATTAATACTTCACAACAAATATTGTACTCACCTCCCCATATTTAGGAAACACTACACACAGATCTGATCATCCGCCTCCGCACTAACGATATCAACAAATACCTCCTCGACATACGACAGTTTCCCCAATACTATTCTCATATTTCCCCTTTTCTGTTTTACTTCTGTCCTAAAGCTTGAGGCTTTCAGTAGTACGATTCCATTTCACCAGCTACCTAGATGGACTGTATGCGTAGGTATATATAGATATGCTGGTACCATCATGACCTTCACACAGTTATGTCTGAGCCAAATACTCGACATTATAATCATCACAATAATATATAATATGTACCATAACAATTAACAACCTAGCCAATCTACAGTTAACCCCTTTTAATGTTTACGAGCCTGAAGTGGGTTTATTACCCATTAAAAATTATGAACACCTTTCTTCACCAGAGAAAAGTTACCTATCCAGGACTCAAGTCTGCTGTACTTACCTAGGTAAACTATCAGGATCATCTAACCTAAACACCCGATCCTGTAAGATAGCAAAGAGTTCAGTATATGGAACCATTATATTCGCGAAGCAAATAATCTTATCTAATTCTCATGTCTCCAACCGTAAAATCCATAATATCATCCCACGATCCAGTCCCTTGCCCCTTTATTTCTTCGTAGTGGGGGTATCTCGAGGAGCTGCAATCGAAAAACCGTACGAGCGCATGTCAGGATTAGTAAAAGATCGATTCTGGTAATAAGATCACTGTTAGACTGTGATCCGGGACCGCTAGCAGAGCCAGAACTAGCTGATGTTGACGCGTTCGAATCGGAAGGTGTAACTGATCGCTTCTCCAACCACTGCAGGGCAACGTTTAGAGAATTGTTCGAACTGCTACTACCAGAAGACATGATGTTACTGATATTATGAATCATTCAAATTTGATTTGCTCGATAGCAGAATAGGTAGGTAGAAAGTGTGTAAAGGTGACTAGTAAGGGGTGAAGTTTCTATAAGTCTGAAGGCTAGCATTTATACGATTCACCTTGAGGCATTTAGCAAGCTTCGCAAATGAACGCTCGTAATTATATTCGTGGAAGATAAGTACAATCTTCTTCCGCTATCTGAGTAGTTATGAAGTGGCTAGCTGTAGGATGAATAATCGCACTACTCCAACGCGAGGGGCAGAATGATGCTTCTCGTTGAAAGTCACGATACATCCCCCTTTGGAGCTGACTCTCGATCATGATTCACGTACACTCCCTCTTGATGGGATCAAATTTTGATGATTTGAACCATGACAAGTCGTCGGAAGAAGAGAGACTTGTTACAAGCCATTGATACACCGTCTTGGTCGATGATTCATACCTGAGAGTTTCGATTTGATATGACTGGAATAAACCAATCGGTGAATTAGTCAACTTGAATTGATTTCTAAGCCATTAAGTATAACCCCATTCATCACATCCTGGAATGTGTGATCGATGGTTCCATCAGTAGTCATCTACCTGAGAGGGTGGGGTGAATTAAACCAGACGTCCGTGCTGGCAAGGGAACACTCGTATTAGATGTCTGTGATTTGGAACCTTGCTTGTCGCCTGCCAATGGAGTTGTCGAAGTGTTAATAAACGAAGCAATTAATAAGAATATGGAGCGTAATTCGGACAAAGATCCAAAGACCAGGTAAGGACCGGCCTATGTCCTTAATCAAGTAAGTCAAGTGAGGCTAGATAAGAAATGCTAATGGGCAAGACCTTAGCAATTACTAGGTACTCTATATAAATAGATCCATACTACCTAGGTACATCAAGAAGAGAAGTGGAAGCAAAGTGGAATCCAGTTTAAACTTCTAATGTAAGGTTAATATTAAGGTTAGCGGCAGATGAACCACTACCTCGGGTCGCCTGTCAAGTTCTGAGGACCTTCCACGGACAGACCTAGACAGATTAATACGACGGTATACTAGGCGACAGCTTAGTTCACACGGTGCGGGGTAATTAGAGTCAAGAAGTTTGCAGGTACACTACGTTCGCAGCTGAACAATAGAAGTACCTTGGTACTGAATGTTCTTGAGATTCGATGATTACTACCAGGAAGGTACAATAGCCCTGCGCATCCATCACCTGCTTGTGACAAGTATTTGACATCGATGTTACAGCACTCTCCCTTTTTCTTTTTTTTGTCTCTTTAACCTGTAACTCTTCCCATACATGGAATCCAAAAACTCAAAAATCCAAAAATCCCGACATCTCCCAGTACACTGGGTTTTCGCCTAAATATAACACTCCGAAACTAATCCGTCGCCCCTTTTCACAATATCATTGAAACATCACAGATCCATCCGCCGGGTATGTATGGGAATGATCAGCCACCCTAGCAGCCCTAGTTTTGTATCTCGGTAGCTGCCATCCCCATAGGTACCTATATGTACCACGTGTATGTACGGGCAGACTGGCAGGTCATCCATTGTGTGCTACCTGAGACATCCACATGCATCCAATGATGACCCACATTCTGATTTAATTATCCCAATGCCCCTGCCCTCGTCGCCTCTCCCCAAACCCAGGTGAATGGCATTCGTCATTCTTCGAAGAAGCAGCTACACCACTTCTACTTAAAAGAAACCTTAGATCATATTGAACTATTTAATCTCAAATTTTTACTTCCTTTCCACACCAAACTTTTCGTCTACCGCTTGTATTCGCATCCAGCGCCATCGACCGTCTTCTTCCACACCACTTTTCTCTCCCCGTACCACTTTCGCGCCGACGACGTAAGGCCTAACCTAGCCTTGTCGTGCCCTGCCTCATTCCCGAGAACTGCGCAGCGGCTACCACGTGCCAATCATTTCGAGCTCGTGGCCAGCACCGCCTCTTCTGTTTTACGACTTTACCATTCCCATCACTCTATTTAATACGATACTTGGCCCTGGGCAACGCTACATACTTTTTCCATCCTCAAAGTACTGGCGCCCCGAATTTTACTCCACTCCGCTACCATACGATTCTCGTCTCGATCCTTGACTCCTCGTCCTAAACTTTTTCGATACTCTTCACTCTACCCGGCTACGATGGACCATATATCTTCGCGCTTTAGGCGCAGTAAGAGGGGTTCTCCTACGACTCCCCAGCTAGGGTCGCCAGCTGGCTCACCTCCGGACAAGTCGTCATCGGAACGCAAACTTGGTCCTACCCCTGATAACCAACGTGAACAACCTCCGTCTCTCACCATATCAACCGCCGAAATTCCTCGCGAGAGCATGCCACTCAAATCCCCCTTTCGACGGGGATTCCACTTTCGCACTTCTAACAAGCGTGCACGATCACCCGCCTCAGCTTTGCCGGCCCCCACTTCACCTGCCATCGTTAGTCAGGATGGCATAGTCGAGCCAGACAAGTTAACCCCGGCAAATGGCGACGATAAAGATGGAATGGAAGCAGTCACGGAAACGCCCAAGCCGAAAATTCCAGCTTTCCTCACTCTGTCGGATCAAGGTATATATGCTCTATATCGCACTAGTATTTTATTACTTAAGCTTTAGTTACATTGGTCTCTTGATATACAGTCGCTAACCTGTCGCTTTACTTAGAGATCGACGCTAAGTTCGTTGACTTGAACTGGGCAGAGCGCTTGCGCCTTCGAGAGAGTCAAGACAACCCGTCTCCCAACTTTCAATTCGCTCGCGTGACTGCGCCCGAGGCTAAGGTACTCGACCGATACGCCAACATCCAACCGTGGGCCAACAACCGCATCAAGCTGCAGGTGCCCGAGGGTCAGACCGATTACATCAACGCATCTCCTATCGTTCTTTGCTCTCCCCTGGACCCGGAAGGCAAACCGGCCCATCGCTACATCGCCATGCAAGGACCAAAGTCAGCGACGATGGCTCATACCTGGAGAATGGTGGTAGAACAGCTGGAAAACCCGGCTGTGATCGTTATGCTAACCGAGACCCACGAGAGTGGCATAGAGAAGTGCTACCAGTATTTCCCTCGTGATGTTAATGAAGCTCCGATGGTGATTGGAGAAGCCGACGAATTTGGCGACGGTTTCCAAGCGCAGATACAATGCGTCAAAGTCGAAGAGCACGCCGAGGGTGCTATCGAGGTGCGACAGCTCGAGATCCGTGTAGAGGGTCGGGAAGAGGTTATGACAGTATGGCACCTTTTATACTGCAGGTGGCCTGATTTTGGTGTTCCCGCCCTTGAAGATATCGACAGCTTCTTCGAGCTGATGCGCCTATCCCGAGAGAAGAACGCATGCGAGGACAATCCCCGAATTATTCATTGTTCAGCAGGTGTGGGGCGAAGCGGAACTTTCATCGCACTAGAACATCTCATGCGGGAGATCGAGTCGGGCGATGTCGATCGTCGCAAGGAGAGCGAAGACAAGGACGATGGGGATATCGTGTACGAGACTGTTGATGCCCTCCGGATACAGCGGAAGCAGATGGTTCAAGCCGAGTCGCAATATATCTTCATCTACCGCGTCCTTCGCAAGCTCTGGTTGGAGAAGCATGGACTTGCGGAGCAAGATATCGAGGACCAGGAGCCCGCAGCTAAGAGGTTGGAGGTTGACTGTGATGACCCCTTCCTTGACGATTAAGGGAACTAACGTTACCAAGATGAGAAAACCGGGCGATACATACATTATACCCATTTCATAAGCATTGCGCCGGTGTTCAAGGAGAAGCACATATCGGTCGCCGATACATTTCTTCCAGCCTGACGTTCCGCACACGAAGGCATAGCATAGATTAGGCATTGGAACCGTAGGAAATCACATGGTCGCATTGGAGGAAGCATAGGGAACGGCGTCTAAGGCATGATACAGAAACGATCGGAATCTCGCCAGTCTAACTTCGGGGTCACGACGAAGGCATGGAATAAAATCCCCGCAAGTCCTACGGTTGGGGTTCATAATCATTCGAGATACCCATTACATTTGGTGGCGTACAGTAGCTATAGCATTTTGTTTTTGTTTTTGACTTTCTTCCAGGGACGTCGTCGAGAATTTTCATCATTGATGAGGGTCCTGGTTATCGCCGACAGTTGTCTCTATCACTGAAGATTGTCCTCGTTGACAACTCGGTGTCTCGGAAATATGTGCGACGTCACGAGTACCGGGAGACATCACATAATGGATGGGCGGATGCACACAAGTATTTTGGCTGGAAAAACACATGGTCAGACCTCTGCCGGAGCTGGAGCTGCGGTTACCCCGCCATTCTTATTCACCCTGCATATCTCCATGTAAGGGCTGGATTAGGTTGAGGTAGATACGTTAATGTTTAGTATTAATGAATACCTTAACCATGAAAACCTAGTTCCTTTTGTGTGACGTCAAAGTGAAGACATGGATATAAATATGGGGTGATGTGTTCTCGTGTAACGATGGCTGACTAAACTAAACTAACCTTCCAATCTAGCTTTCACCACTTCTCATATTAGATTCATCCAGCTACCTCTATATTACTATTCAATGTCATAATCGAACATGGCAAGCCCGCATGTAAAACAGGATCTCCTTGAACTGGGCAAGAAGCTTGTGGAGGAAGGACCCGTCAAGACTCTCCCCACATCCCGCCGAATACGGATCCTGTTCGATGGCGAGTATATCGTTGATACGACGTCTGCGCTATACGTCTGGGAACATGAGTACTACCCGTACTACTACGTACCGCGGAACTCCATCCAGGCAAGCCTGCGCATACTACTTCCGCAGTCCCCGTCCCCGTTCTGGACGGCCAGGGTGTCCGGCGTGACGCGATCTACGGACCGCGTTCTCGTCTTCGGAGACGACGTCGGCCAACGCGCCAAGGTCTTGGAGAATATGGTGCGCGTCGAGTTCGGCGCGGCAGACGCCTGGTTCGAGGAGGACGTGCCCATCTACGTGCATCCGAAGGATCCGTTCCGGCGCGTGGACGTACTGCACTCCTTGCGACCGCTCGAAGTCCGTGTTGCGGGCCAGCTGGTTGCGAATACGAATTCTTCTTACCACTTATACGAGACGGGACTGCCGTGCCGGTACTATATACCCGCCACGGCGGTGGAGCGCAATTTACTGAGGGAGAGCGAAACGACGACAGCTTGTCCGTACAAGGGCGTGGCGAACTACTATAGTATCGAGCTTACGGATCGTGGTCTTGAAAAGTCGAAATTTGAGGATCTGGTGTGGTACTACAGGACTCCGACTCTCGAGTGTGCGAATATTGCCGGGTGTCTGTGTTTCTACCATGAGAAGGAAGGGGTTGAAATTAAGCTTGACGGAAAAATGTTGGAGCAACCAAAGACTCCTTGGTCTTGAGCGACGGCAATTTTTCTATTCGTTTCTGGAAAAAAAGGAGTCCTAAAGGGTCATGTATGGCTGCTAATGAGGATCTCACACGAATCAAGTTCTTCGTCTTGAGAGATCTGCTACCTCAACTTCATAAGGTCGTATTCCTTACCTAAAAGTGTTTTTCAAAAGGACGATGAGCACGCAAACTTTCAATATCAAATGAATATTATAGGTGGACTTTTACAGAACGGGATCTTTCTGCGTGCCGCATACTTGGAGACCTCATCGATTAGAATCGCGGATGTAAAAGTCTTCAAAAGATTATATAAATCGAAAAGGTACCTTACCTACCTACCTAAATATTAAACACGGACCCCTGTTCTAGGTTAGTGGAGCAATCATCAATCCGCGCGGTTACGTCGATCACGACGATGATCCTTACTAGTCTCATGCTCTTCCCCGTCCAAGATAAATTTACTCGAAACGGCTAACGGACAGTGAGTCCACCAGGGCATCTACGCTGTAGTGAAACACTATTTAGCGAGATATTCCACTAATGAGCTGGTATGGAACGTATAGTGGTCGGCGAAGTCCATCAGCCAAGGCTAAGCATTTAAGAAGTCAGATGTTCGACCGAACTTAGATAATATCAACTCAAGTCGACTTTCGGGAAGCATATTTTGATAGACAAAATTATAGAAATCCTCAGCCCAGTCAACCCTTTAGGCCGTCGAATCAGGATAGGAGTATCTCCACGTGGAGATCGACTACCGGGGTCTAGACTGAAGGAACTGCAAAATAGGTATATCTCTGGACGCCTTCATAATGGGTAAGTCTGAACTTGTTAAAACCTTGGAGAGAAGCTAAGTCAAAGGTCAAACAAACCAAGCGCAGACTTAACTTACCGAACATCCTATTTACCACGCTTGGCGTTTATGCCAATTTTCCAAAAGTTCATCTCGAATGCTTCCAGATGGACCATCGTAGATCATCGTCCCTTTCCGTTGTAGTATAGTCCTCGGAATTCACCATATCAGCCTGTTAGCCTCGAGATGGGATACAAGCGACGGGGAGGGAAAAGAAATCTATAGATCGCTTCACCTGACATACAAGATGAGATGATTCCATCAACGAGCATCTAGGAATAGAGTAAAGAGATAGGGAATGGTGCAGCAATATAGTGGATTCCATTACGTTGTCTCCTGGGGAAGCCGTGCACAGTTTCGACTATACAGACTAGGAATCCTAGAGATGGTTTCCCTTTGCAGCGACTATCCCGCCTTGGCAGGAGTATCGCCAAGATCATTTTCAGCTCAACATCAGACGAGATCTCATCAGCTGCGATGAGATACCGTGCCTTTGTTTAAGAGCATATTGTGTATAAAGGGGCAAAGATCTCAGCGCTGGGACTGAAGAGAAGATCCTCTATCCCCAAGGCCATCCTCCCCCCTAGCCCACCAGTGCCTCTCTTTCCAGCCTAACTTGGTCCTACGTTCTTTAACCCAGGTGGTTCATTCGTTATACCCATTCGATCATTCTCCTTGTAACCCAATAGCCCTTTAGCCTCCTTACCAGACCACCAGCTCCCAACAACCACAACTATGAAGTCCACCACCGTCCTCGCCCTATTCCTCTCCTCCGCCCTCGCCACACCCACCCTCCTCACCCCCAACACCCTCGCCGCGCTCTCCAAGCGCGCCACCTTCCCAATCCCCGCCTCTAAGGGCAGCGTCACCTTCTCCAAGCCGCAGCCGGTATCCGCGGACGCGCCCTTCGACGGCGGCAACCGGACGTACGGGCGCGGCGCGTCGTGCACGGAACAGTCCGAGGGCGGCGACGCCGACGCCGTGTTCCTGCTCGAGGACGGGGCGACGCTGCGGAACGCCATCATCGGAAAGGATCAGATCGAGGGGGTCCACTGCAAGGGCGCCTGCACGGTGGAGAATGTGTGGTGGGAGGCCGTGTGCGAGGATGCGTTGAGTTTGAAGGGGGATGGGGACGCTAGTGTTATCGGGGGGTAAGTAGGTATATGTTTTATTTTTGTGCTTGCGGTTATGGCTCTTGAAATTGTGTGTGTTTGCATGGGGTGGGGGGTTGGAGAGTGTGCGTTGTAGTTGCTTGCCTTAGTAGTCGGGGTCGGAAAAAGGGATAAGGGGCTAGGCTGACGAAGTGGATAGGGGCGCCGCGGGAGCGGAAGATAAGATCATCCAGCACAACGGTCTGGGAACCGTGACCATTGACGGGTTCACCGCGGTCGACTTCGGCAAGTTGTACCGCTCGTGCGGCAACTGTAAGACCATGGGAGAACGCAATGTCGTCGTGAAGAACGTCAAGGCCTACGACGGCTCCACGCTTGTGGGTATAAACTCCAACAAGGGCGACATTGCTACCATCGAGAGCTCCTGCGCTACTTCTGTCAAGGAGATCTGTGTTGTGAGTACTCATTCTCTACTATTCTTATGGTCGAGTTTTTTTGCTTGGTGTGCAATGAGAAGTGTATACTGACAAACTTTCAGGAATTCGAGGGGACCACACCCGGTAATGAGCCCGAGGAGATTGGCTCTGGCCCTAGCGACAACTGCCAGTACTCTACTGTTACAACTTGCTAAATACCTACGTACGTAGTTGATTGGAAGAAGTGTCGCCTCCCTACCTAGCCTTTGCTTGACCCTCAATTTAGTTTCAGAAGATTCGATGTTAGGATTGGAGGTTGTCTAGTCCTTGACTCACTGATGAATGACTATACCCTCCGATTCTATTGAAGTGAGCAAATATTTCGTGTATATATTGATCCTTTGAATCTCAACTACATACGTCTGATTGGTTCTGAAGCAATATTAGTAGTGCCAGTAAATTCCGCAACTGTCCATTCATAACACCCCCGATGATGAGAGTTCTGACACTTTACGATAACGTAGGCAGTTAGGAAAGCTCTTAGACTAGGAGATAACGCCTGGGAATTGCTCGGTTGTTTTTTTCCTAATCAAGAATACCCTTGTTTCTCTCACGTTCGCCAGCTGCGTCGACAGATTGGTTTCTTTTCCCTTTGCGTTTCATTCGTTAGCCGACCCTACAAGTCAATTATAAGTTGTAACCCCTTTATCCTCCTACACATACTCTGATAGCCTTCGTCTAACAGCGAAGTGGCTCGAACTCCTCTCCGTACCTCTTCAACTGGCAGTAGTCCCCAATTGGGGATTAGAAGGCAAGATATACCTATCTAAGTACAGTAAACCTTGGCCATAACGATACTCAAAAAACACCACTCTTATATCGTTATACAAAGTTATCGCTATGGAGGGGGTTATCCACCCGAAATGTAGGTCCTATACTTAGTAAGTATTTTTGAACCTAAATTATTAGCGAGAGTACTTTAAAGCTACTTAAAATACCTTTCGATTGTCTCCTGCCTCGAATTCAACTCTAAATCTCGTAATCTCTGCCCCTTAAGCTCCCATTCTTCAGTTTTCAAGCTCTTAATAAGCCCTGAATCTAATCGAGGATTTTGCTCGCACCATACTAGTAACTACTGGCAAGCTGCAAGTGCGGCTTTGTTAGATATTTCCTCGACTTGCTCCTCCTCCTCCTCCAGCTTTTGATCTCTCTCCTGAACTGTATAAGCAGCTACTAATTCGTCAATTACTGGTTACAAAAAAAAAAAAAATAATACAAACGCATGATTAGCTAATAAAGGCAATATTCCACTCTACTAGTGCTTTGTCTACTTGATCCATGGTATTGTTTAATTAAAATTTAACTTCCCCATAACGATTTTTTAAGTAAAATACCCAAAAGTTAACAATATTCGTTATAGGAAAAATATCGTTATTTTACATACAAAATCGCAAAATCCCCTTGAAAATATCGTTATATAAAAATATCGTTGTATAGTAGAATCGTTATGGCCAAGGTTTACTGTACCTACAAAAGCTTGGTTTAGGGCGCTGCTAGTACAAATAGTAAGGGGAAAATAGCAGTAAAATCATGTACCTTTCGTACTTTATATTCTGGGTCTAGTCTATCATATCATGTGAAGCTGTATTTTGCCTCCTAATCCCTGGCTGGGGACTAGGTACTGCCAGTTAAAGAGATAATCTCACCATTTGAAATATACTAGCTCTAGGTCATACAACACTAGCATACTTGTGTTGAGCGATAATTATTTTCCTCACTAGAATACGAGAGTCAATGAAAGGAATGGAAGGACTAAGAATAGGAAAGCGGGCCGAGAGGGAGTTACCGTTTTTTCCCCATTTTGCAAAAAAAGAAAAGGAGTAGACCACGATATCCAGCTAGATACTAAACTTGAAGTAATAAACTCAGATATTTACCACAGCATTGGGTTATCGAAAAGGAAAATTCAAGAAAAGCAGGTGGGCATTGGATCTATAGGTGAAAACTGGGAGTAGGTAGGTAGGTTACCATAGTTGAAGCCTACATATTTTTGCGTAGTTGACACGTGTCTCTAGTAATGATGCATAGACCAATACGCCATCGTAGTCAAATATTCCCAAACTTGATACATATTTCAGGACTGTTAAGTAAAGAAATATATGTAATCCTAGGCGATGCCTACCTAGGTAATCAATATTTGATGTTAGACATTAATGGTGTTTCATTCTTCTTATGAACTATCCAAGGAGTTGGCAGCCAGGTGAGGTAAACCCCTTCCGTTTGCCTTTCACATCGGCTGACAGCCAAATGTTAAATTTACTACCAAAGTACATTCTGAGTCTACTATCAAAGCCCAATGGAGATCCTGATGCCGTTCTTGGAAAGATAGGCTATATGGCAATTTCTCGATCACTTGGAATAACACATTTAACATTCCATGGAGGCGTAGGGCCATTGGAATATGACAAAAAATGAAACCAACACGTTGTAATTTCAACATGCGGTTGGGCTTCAAGTTACGATATTGCATAGCCATGTTACTTGGATATTTCAAGTAGACGGAGGTTAGAAGAGCGAAAGGAATGCATGAGACGCAACTTGACTATCAGAGCACCACAGGAAGTAGATAAATGGTTGCTAAGAAATCCCTACCAAGTTACTTGATTTGGGTTTAAAGTGAATTGAGTCTACATGACTGATACTCTAGGAGCCAGGTCTGTGAAAGAGAGACCGGCTGACATCTATAGTGGGTAGTTATATTCGACGTGCGTCAAGCATTCCCCGACAATTCTATCGCAACCCGAATTCGTCAAACCACAACTTGAAACGTACCCGATTTATCAAATAGTTTCCTAAAAGAGTGGTTAGTATATTGTCTTTCGTAATTTTATACGTAATGCCGGCCTTGATGGGCTCGCCTGATGCAATCGAAATCATATTTCATCGGACAAATCGGGGTCATGTCACATGGGTGTTTCCAAATCCGTCGCCCCATGCCACATGGTATGGTTTAGGCTAAATAGGAAAACATAGTAAGGTATTTTGGAGACGTTCGAAGCGTCCAATGGAGGCAACGTTGATGACGGGATGAGTCAAACTCACGCGGCGTCATTGGATGACAGGCGCCGCTAAATCTAATATGTGATTGTTGGTTCATCCGATCTTGATCTTGACCGAAGTCTGAGAACTATGGGTCCGATTTCAAAGTGGGCGGAGATTGCGGGATTAGAAACCGAACCGGCTGAGGTCGGTTGTTTAGGGTCCCTGAATTGACGGGCCGGAGAGAGAGGGAAACCCAAAGACCCGGAATAGAAGGTGCTTATTTTAATGAAGCTTGAAGATCATCCCATCTCTGGTAGGCGATTATGGGACCCTGGAGCACATGATGGGAACGGGCGGGAGATGTTCATAGGCGAATGCACCTTGCCGCGCCGCAGATTAGAGTTAAAACGTAGGTACGGGCGTAAGTGCGCACGCGATGGGAATGACCTCTGTCACTAGCCGCCATAGCTAGGGCGAACGAGAGAGTCAATTCGACCTACGCATCATAGCGGAACGGGACGGCTCGCTATGCAGAATAAGTCAGTCTTGCGCTACATGAAGCATATGATACAAAGCTAAATAGAGTACATACTCAAAAATAGACCTGGACGGAGAGAGACATGCATCTAGTCACTGAAACTCCCCTTCCGAACGCGATGGTTACATCCTATCCCGTGGGATGCGCACGTGTGCATTGCTTGATGCTTAATGCTTGATGTACCCCAGACTCGGTGAAGCCCTAGAGTTTACTCATTGGGCTTTTCAAAACGGCCGGGTTGACATGAGAGAATGCTTAGGCGAAATGATTAACGAATTAAACGAATTGACAATCACATATCCTACTTGCTACCTACCTAGGTAGTTGACAGCGTGACCTAAGAGACATATTATTAGTGATGACTCTTGGAGTTGAGACGAGTCGGTTATTTTGTAGTGGACGGTTATGATGCACTTCAGTGGTACGTCACTGCTACCTTGCAAGCATGCGACAATCGTCCCAAAATTCCAATACTCTGGGTTCGCTGGTTCGGGCTAACATGCAAGAAAGAGAGACGAGCGAGATTAGCATCCCGGATCCCTGAGGGACCATGCGCTGATCTGGGAATGCACGGGCACTCTCGTCCGGCGAAGTCGCATCGATCAACCATTTCTGGCGCACTGGGCTGAACGTTTTAGAAACCGGTGAGCGTTCAGCTGCGGAGAGGTGAGGGCAACACCTCGGACACTACTGCATGTTCCATTATGATAAAATGAGAAGGGCTCTGGAGGTGAAAAGAAAGCCGGCGCGGACCAATGAAAGCCGATCGTTTAAGATCGCCGGGAAGGTATGGATTACCCGCTTTGCAACAGTATGTTGGGATAGGGAAGAAACCGGGGAAATTCCCATGATCTTAAGACCCAGCACATCATCCTGTTATAGGTGGAGACGGTGAAAGCTAGGGCGGTAGTAAAAAGTTACACCGACGATAACTTGTGACCTGAAAAGAAAGCGAGAAGTTCAGCTGAATACCTATTAGTAGAATGTGCGATGTTCCCGAACATGCCGAGAACTGGGGTGAGCCGGGCCAATTCTGGCGGTGGAATATATTCCTAGCGCATAGAAACCAAGGGCCGAACAAAAGGCTAAGCGTGGAAATGAGGATTTCTTGTGTGGGTGTGTGGGTTTATGTGTTAGGGTTGCGCTGTCATTTTGAAAAAGGTCGACGGTTACTACTCGGTGCGACACCAGTAGCAGTAGTAACGGCACTTGAAGGCTCTCGATGCTGCACGGGTAATTAATGAATTAAAAGGCTTTGCTGCTGATTATAGAAAGCATGGGAAGCATGTGAAGAGTCTGACATGCACGGAAATATATGCATGTACGTGCATGTATGGCGAGGTAGCAGACTCGCCTAATAAATGAGTTGGAGTTTAGATGGAGTGATGTAATGGTTGCAGAGGTAACGAACCAAAGATGACGGCGAGTTTCTGTAATGATCCGTAAGAATATGATAAATCCAAAGCTCTATGCATGCTTACCGCCAGTGTATCGCGGTTCGGAAATTGTTACCAACTCTGCCAAGCTTCGCCCTCTCGTCGATATGCTGACATTTGCGGAGGTTGTAAGGGTCTCACGCTGAGGTCTAATGCTGTATTCCGATTTGCCGAGCAGGTTGAATTTATTGATTTGAGATATCAGAGAGGTGTTACGCACCTGACCACAAACGGCTAGCAAATATTGAACTTTTGCGGCATATTTTCTTCGTGATGGTGCCCCTGGAACAAACTCCGACGAGAATGAGTTTGGAAATGTCTAGTAGTCTTTGACCATGACCCGGAATCGCTCGGTTACTTTCCTGTTTGAGTGTTTTGATACTTGACCTTGACTCCGAGTTCCCTGTCGTGGATGGGGAGATGCTCCGACTTAACATTCCCCATTCCCCAGGGTTTACCATCAATTCAGGACCTGATATCTGGTATGCGAGGTACGCTCTCCCTGCACAGCGATGACGCTAGATGGTACCCAAAGTAAAGCAGGGGGATGATATCCGACGGCCAGGA